TGGACGCTCACCTCATCATCTGGCGGGAACCAACTGGAACCCTTCCAGACCAGGTGGCAATAACATCTTACTTCTAAGACGATCCCCTGTAGTGTCGCATAATCCATTGCCATCGTTGTGGCTTTCTACCCACAAGCTCTTGATTTCCCCATACCCGCGATCTTTTACCGGCTCTTAGATACCGACTTTTCCTCTGCTCCACTAGGAACAAAAGAGCCTTCATATCCATTGCTCACGACATTCAATACATTGCCAAGTACCTAGTCAAAGGAACGAACCAACACACATTTATTTCTAACCACACTTAGTTAGCAGATGGCAAGATTCAAGTACGCGTAGCGGCTACGCAGAAAAAAAATAACCTTGAACCGATATCTATGCCACATAAACTAAACCAATGCCAGAATATCATAATATATCATAATATCAAAGTAGTTATACTACGTTATACTGCTATGTACACGATAACACAACCCTGGCTTCCCTACATAATTTTTCTATCTCGTGCAAGGAATATCATGACAATCGCATTGTGTTTCAGGCGACGCGATTGCATGCGTATCTCGCCTGTTTGATTGATTCATCCCCTCCAACAAATCACCATCTCTGCCTCGCCGCAAAACTGCGTGCTCCTTCATTGACACACTTGCGTTCCTCGATACCACCTACCTGCCTACAATCTGCGGCACAAGCCCATCTATTGTAGGTATAGCTGACAAGATATTTCATTTCGATCCTATATGCTAAGATCACCCCTTGCTACCCTAAATCGCTATTTTGCAGCTGTCCTTGTTTCTATTTCGGGTTTTGCATATGCGAGCTGAGCCGGCCATGCTGTTGTTCAATCTCTGACAGGCACAAGCTTACAGCTCAAGTAAGAGTCAGCAAGGTACGATACGCATAACTTGCCGATCATCCGCCAAGAGATGACGATAGATATCATGCTATGTTCAACTCCTTATACTTCTCGACCATGTACCTACAAGCTGTATGCGCGTGTGTGAAATTGGTTTCTCCGCCGACATTGATGTGTTATTCGTGGGGGAGGACATGTCATTGAGCCTAGCCGTTAGAATAGAGGCGTTCTCGTCATGTTATTCGCTGAAGTTGACCGACGGGTGGATTGGGGATCGGAGACTACGATTGGACCAGTACCGGCGAGTACCTCTTTTTTTCTCTCTTAGACACGACGAGACACACCAGCTCACCGTTACACCGGTCGTGAGCCAGGATGTTCCTGTCAGCTGTATATTCCCTACGATAAAAGTGTCATAATTTTTATATTATTTTTCCTCATTAAGAAATTCATCGATCGACATATCCTCGAGGAGCAAGATAGATTGACTTGATCTGATTCTCGAAATGCGCCGGCTGTCGAATCCACCTCGACTTTTAGTCGCTTCCTCTACACCACCCCCCCCGGTCATCAAAAGCCGAGACCACAACCTGGAAGATTCGGTGGCAGCTCTCCCCCTCGGCGGGCCCTCGCCGCAAGATCCAGGATGGTGCATATTATCGCTGTTTCTTCTATGGTGCTTTTCTATGCTTCTCTGTGCCGTCTTAGTAGTAGCTGCTTGAACGGCATCCTACAAAAACAGGTCGCTAGCGACACACTACGGTACTGGGCTCTTTCTGCATACAGTATAAGAGGACTGTGTGGGCGGATTGGTATTTACCCTTGCCCATGCCTACAGCTTTCGAACATCTAGAAAAGGACACGCACACACGCATGCTTCCACTGCAGAGATACGAGGCGGCTCAGGACAGAGAGCTTTCCTCGACCAAGTGGGACTTCCACGATGCACCGAGGCCTAGCCATTTCACTCCCAATAGAGCCCAAATCTTGGGAACAGCCCGCTTAGCTACGTGTATTCCCGTCTGGGGAAGCTTTCCACCGATTCCTACATCGGGGATCTTGGGACCTCACGCCATCACTGAAAGGGATTGCAGGGCTGCTAATCACCAGGGTCGTCACATCGTTCCCGCTCATGCGTTGTTCCTCCCGGGCATATGCACCGGTAGTTCCGGACGAAGCTTCAATCTGGGAAAGGGCATGGGAAGCGAATAACCCTAAGGGTAAAAATATAACAAACCTGCAAGGCTTAAAACCCAGTTTCCTTGAATCGAAAATGTTGCTACATCGGACCTACGTGCTCCTAAGTTAGTCATACACGTCTAATTATCGATGAATAGTAAGTGTTAATGCGTCTCGTCGACGGCCACGTCTTCCTCCTTTGCGTCCTTTGCGGCCTTTGCGTGCCCGAAGAAGGACATGCCTCCCTCTCGAGTGTGTGGGTGTGGGTGTGGGTGCCGCTATGCGCGGGAGGCCAGACTGCAAGCATCTTCGGCGTGTGGTCGGCGTCTGCCGCGATATCGAAGCTTTCAGAAGGAGGACGAGACACGATGTGTGGCCGTCTGCACTGATTAGCACTATTCATGCACATCACCATTACATCAAGAATGATAGCCTAATTCGTCGCTTTCTGTAGATCAATCGTGGTGGTGGGATAGTGTTAGAAGGCCGGAAAGCGCTCAATGGTGCTCAAGGCAGCTCTGCTTCTGCGCTGTATGTCTCGTAATGTTCTAGGATGTCCTATCCCACCTCGTAATAGTCCTTCAGGTGCTGAGGTCACTCAAGAGGGGAAGCCGGATCCTCGGCGGCTATCGTTACTCAATAAGTCACGAATTTCCCTGATACGAGAACTCCCCTTAAGTCCGCTCGCCACAAACTCTCACAGCTAGAGCCACACCATCACGCCTCGAAGTCGCGGGCTTCCGTAACATGAAGCACGCCTATAACGGTTGTCTACCTGGTTATCTTGCGAATTTCGGGTTGCCAGTTCCTACGGCGCTTCACCCCCACTACGAAACCCACGACTCCCACTACTCCGCCTTCCTAATCAGCCTCCGTGCGGCTCAAGACCGCCGTGGCATCTCCGCCCAAGGCGTACCAATGGGGGCTAGTGATGTGAGGTGTATTTGTATGCTGAAGCCATCAAATCGTGATAATGGGCTAGGGGTATCCCGGTGCCTGCTATGCTGCCTAAATCAATATTGCTCCTAAAAAGAGTCGGAATTCCTTGGCGGGGTGGCTGCTCCTCGAGCAACCTACTCAGATAGGTATTCGGCGAAGCGGTATTGCCCTCGGTCCAGAGTACCCTTTGTTGGTAGAGCCACAAAATAGTCAATGAACATCTAGAACGTTCATAATTACATAGAGATAGTTCGTAGATCTAAGCCCCTTGGCCCGTGCCATCCTCGAAATGAACCCCTATTCTTTACCAGTGAACTAGGAGGCTCCAACAAGGCTTCTCAATACGGAATAGAGTATCCAGGTGTGGTGGGAGCTTGGTTCCGCCACAATAAGGACATCATGAAAGGCGAATTTCATGAACTCATCTCCGAGGAGGTCTAGTTGGGGTGGTAAACCTTGGAGTAAACTAGAGAGGGCAGATAGGCTTTGAAGGGAGGAATTAAGATCGGGTTGAATACATGATTTGATAAGGTTGGTATCACAAGCAAGCAGACGAGGCTGTCATTTCTTGTTGATAACAAGGCGTAGGAATGTCGTCGCTTATTGACGTTCTTCTAAGCCGGCTCCGTCCTCCCTAAACGAGCCATAAGCATTGTATTGATTGCATTTAACCCATAAGAACGTCTATGTAAGCCTCTCCCGCTGCATATTACACAGAAAAGCCGCATAAAATATCCATCGGGCCATTCATCAGATAACCCATTCTACGTACGTGCACAGACCTTGGCTGCTCCCGGACCTCGTCGTCTTGTCCTGCTATAGTTCAGGGAAGAATCGCTAGAACACTATTATATTCGGCTCAATCCCTTTGTGTCGCTATAGAGTATCTCACACCTCCTTTTTACGGATTGTTCTATTGTTGCGAGGCGAAGATAAAGTAGGCTCTAGTATCGTGGCGGACATCTGCGAAGAGACCGCCGTCTTAGAAGTAGGTTGCGTTATGTAACTCTTGATGAATATCTTTATGGAAATAGCGACTCTACTAACTGATATGTACGCTCAGTTCGACCAATTCTACGACTTCGACGACGCTCCTAGTATTTGGCAACGCGGGTCCTGCTACTTCGCCCCCCTATCGTTCTGACGAATCCCTGGAAGGATTATTATCGAATGACTGGAACTTCCTAAGTAGTTATGTGTGGTATGCCCATGTCTTCTAAGTCCCTTGGCTTTATTGGCATGTTCATTCAAGAAGGTTGTGTTGGAGCAAGATAGGGGGAAGGGATGGAGCCGACGGATTCGTGAATCGCTACTTGATTCCGACGACCACTGGCAATTAGCTTCGATAAATGGCCAAAAACACCGGCTAGTTTTCTACGAAATGATAAACCTCTGTTCGATCCTACCAAATTCGAAGTCAATCTTTCCCATCCATACGTCTAGGCTGTATGTCGTCTCGTACAGGGGAGTCCATTACCCTGCTATACGCACCAGGAAACAATTCCACGACATCATAGACATATACTGTATTCGTCAACTGGGATACAAGATCACAGCGCGCAAAAGGCTAAACAAGTACCTACCTAGTCATGCTAGATGTCAGTGGGTTTCGACAACTACCTACATAGGTACCTACCTAGGCATCTATATATCTTCGAGCGTTTGGCCCACTGGTTTTGAATCTTACCTAGCTCTTACTTAATTACAAAGCCTCGAATCGCGAATCTAGGACTTTGCCTTCATGGCACTATTTAAAGGAGTATCAAAATACGAAGCATGCGAATTGCGAATGTCATAGCGGCGGGGCGAGTAATCTACCCCTTATTGACTGGAGCAAGAAGTCGCTTCACAAGCCAGGGGCTTTTTATACAGTGCACCACGAGCTGAAGAGGCTGACCGCCGATAGCCGAGCAAGGACCACTCCGTGGAGGCGGTGACGCAGTTACCGTCGTCTAAGCTTAGAGCCTCATGATCTTGTTCGAAGTCGGTGTTACTCTAGGTTGAGCGCAGTTCGGAAGCTATGTCAAGATGCGGGCCTAGCGAGTGCGAAAACAACGACACTATTGAGCGAGGATCTCTAAGCCTCTTTGCCTAGAATTACGGTATACCTATAGAAAATGGGGTTTTACTTTTTTTCACACTGGCTAGGCAACGCCGTAAAGAGCTTGTCATGAAATCTACCCCCGCTCCCGAAGGAATCTAAGCATCTAGCATCTAGCATCCTGCCACCGTCTAAAGTCTACCTCTAGACACCGACTTCGTCCCAGAAGTAAAGCAACGCGCTCTGTCTATCTCCCGCCAGCCCCTCCACCAACCCCGAACCCGCCTCCCCGTCCCTGAACTCCTTTACTACCTCTGCTTAACAAACTTAGTATGCGACCCATTCGCCACCACCGGCCCCGGCACCCCATCAACAACCTTCCTAATAACAACCCTCGTGAACCCCAGCGAGCCACCGACCTTATCCGCCTCAGCCTCGATCTCAACCTCATCCCCCTCGCCCGCCGAGCTGAGGTACGTGACGTGGATATCCACGGAAACCCCCGTGCGCCGACGCAGATCCCACGTCGCGACCGCCATGCCGCCGGCCCAGTCGACGATCGCCGCGCTCGCGGCCCCGTGGATGCCGCCCCCGGAGTTCATGTGGTTTCTGCCCAGCGCGAGCCGCGCCCGCATCGCGCCGCGGCGCGCGCCCACGATGCGCACGTCCGATAGCAGGAATTTGTAGATGGCGGAGTTGGGCAGCTGGGCTGCCGTGAGCTCCTCTAGGTGCGCTTTGATGACTGCCTCCTCGTCTTCTTTGCTGCTGGGGTCAGCTGCTGCTGCTGCTGCTGCTGTTGGTGGTGGTGGTGGTGGCTGCGCTGAGCTGATGGACCCCATGATTGCTGCCCCGTCAAATACCTGGTGGAATGACCTGGCGTGGCGAAATACCCGCGGGGAGATGCGGGATGTGGGTTTGGTTAATTGGCCGCGGATTTGGATCTTAGGTGAGTAAGAATTTGTCGTAGTTCAACAGAACAGTAAATTGTTGAGAACTTGACGCCAGTTGTCGTCGAGCGTAATACTGAAGCATCCAGCTGTTGGCCAGCTGGATGATTATACTGCCACTTGGCAGATGGATTGGAACAATCATCATACACTTCATCAGTAATTATTCCCTATATTGCACGAGGTAACTACTATAAAAAGATGGATATATCAGCAACTGGCATATCTAATTGATAATAAATATATTGAGACGATCGACGTTCGGATGAAAATCACATCGGTTTATTTGCCCTTGAGACGCCCCATATTTGCCCATATACCGTTGTGCGACGTACCAATGCAACGAGAATCATACACGTTGCGGTCAAGTTCAAGGTGTAATTTCTTGCCTCTTGCCACCCTGGACACTATATCCTAAGTCCCTATGTGGAAGATAGATGTGTCACTGCCTAGATTAAGCCAACCGTGCAAGTCTACGAAGACACGGCCATAGCATCCAGGGAGTGAATGCCGATGGCCTCTTACAAACCAAGGGCGCTTGATGAAAAGGGTTTTTATGAAATGTGTACCCAGTATATATTTTATGCGCGGCTATAACGGTTTAGGGGCTCTAGGAAATAGACTTGGATTATATTTAAAGAATCTAAAACAACGATGTTAACTTTATAAGCCGTTGCTGTGAACACACATCCTTCTATCTTACCCCCACAGGTTCGCAACTAAGCCCGTAGATTTATGTTTTAATACGAATATTTGTTGCCACGTTGTTGGCCATACCCGGCGTTCACTAGCATTGGCGTACAAACAAGCAGATGTAATTCAGTAAGGAACGTTGGTAAACCTTCGTCCAATATAGCACATACTAAAACGGAACAACTTATTCATCATGGTACTTCTTTTCTACAATCGTATACTTCCTAAGGCCTACCGGCGGTATCAATCGCCAGATAAATGCAGATATAACCGTACCTATTCGTGGTATCCCGAACGTGTGCGCGCCCTCACGGATTCCTTGTGAGACCTCATTCATGACCCCCTCAACATCTATGCCAAGTAGTATCTGAAATCATCAGTGCCAAGAGACGCCTTGTCCGGTGTATCCTCGTCCCACCCTAGTGGCCCCTAGTGTACACATCCGGTATCCTAGGAAAACATGCCGTATCGTGATTAGAAGTGCCATATTCAAGCCATTGGTCCTATATGTCTCGACCTGGCCAAAACTCAATGGCTGAAACATCTAACCCCCCAGTGCTCGCTCTTATGCAAAGTAGCTCTTCCAGAGAACACCTTCGAGATCTTCGAGTTGCTCGTGAGTGAAATACTGTGACACGTTAACATACTGTTCGTCCTGCCCAAAAGAAATGCTGCAGCTTACCTTCTGATCAACTCCCCAGCTATCTTGTCTCGTCTTCTTGAATTCGGATAGGATTCCCTTCGTGGCCTTGCCAACCACGCCTGGATCGCTTGCTGCACGTCTCGCAAGGAGTGCCAGAACTTCCGGCATCCAACTTGGCGGCGGAGTTGCATACGGGAATGCTTCAACCAGTGATCCAAGTCCCAATACAGCAGCGTGTCGTCTCACGATTTGCTGCGTGACATTGATTGGTGTTTCCGTACCCGGCTGTCTCTTTTTTGGCATCGGGTTTCGCGCTAGCTCCCTCTCAAAGCGCGACTTTAGTGTTTCAATAAATGGATTCCGTATTGTAGCCGGGGAGCATCTGATCATGCCAGCTAATGTTGCGCTGGCGACGGTTCGGACCTCAAGCTGGGGATCGGCCAGCATATCGCTTACAGCGTCGAAGAGCAACTCTCGTTGCGGAGCGTCCATTAGGAATAGTCGTCGGAAATAGATTACTTGCATGTTCACCAGAGCCCTAAGACGTTGGTGCCAGCTTGTAGCAGCCTTTCCGAGGCGAATTAATGCTGCGATGAAAGGCTCGTCCTCGCCAGTACGGAAAGGGATGTTTGGCAAATGACGATAGACGTGGTAGGCTAGGCGCATCAACTCCGGATCCTCCTTGACATCCATCATGTGCAGAAGTTGGTCAATGAAAGGATCTGGGAAGAAAGGGATGAGTTGAATGCATTCCTGGGACGAGAGTGTGCTGTCTAGCCAGATGAGGACGGTCTTCGACCCAGACGTGTAAGAGGATGGTGTCTGCTGCCCCGGTGTACGCTCGTGGCGCCACACTTCGAGACGATCAAATACATCCTTGATAGTAGCAGCAAACTCTTCGGTTGGCTTGTACGGTCGGATGCCGATGTTTGAATCTGCTTTATTCTGCTCAAGGAGAGCAGTGACATTCTCAAATGACTCGTGGTATCGAGTTCTGTAAATAGTTGCTATGACGCGGCCAATTGATTCACGCACGGCCTTGTACGGGTGATCGATATGTGCTATAAAGTCGTCTAGGATTGGTTTCTCATGGCGATAGTGCCACCCACAGTCGTTAATCAAGAACTCGAGAAGCTGCACCTTCGAAGACTCTTTGAAAGCAGCGTTAGAATTCATGTCTAGGCGGAAAGAGCTAAGGCGGTTGACAAGCTCATTAGCACGACGAGGATCCTTTGTATCAATGATAAAGTGGAGGCATGTGATCCAGTACGAGAGGTTGTCCGGAGTCAAGTTGTCCGCGAAGACATCGAGAATCATTGGTTGCGCAAAGTTCCATACTTCTTCCTTCATGTCAACGGGGTCGTATGCTGTACCAACCATCAGAGCACCGAGAATCTCTGCCGTGGCGCGGTGTTGATGCTTGTCGCTCCCATCCCCGTATACATCGGCGACCAATTCTTTGACGTCCTCAAACTTGAGTTCAGTTTGCCCGTAGATCATGAGGTCGAAGATATGCATGAGCAAGACAACGTTTGTGGTCCTGAACCTGTCAGATGTTGAATCTCGCGGTTCTTGCTTCATATAAGCGAAGCACTGAGAAAGCCAGTCCTTTGTTATAAGTTTACCGATTTGCTGTCTAGCTGCCCTCTCAACATCGTCGTATTCGTCGAACTTTTCCGGTTTCGCTTTGAATGCATTAAATTGCTTGCCCCAGACCAACCATCCAGGATGATCTGTGTCAACGAAATACTCAGCGTTCTCGGGGTGCTTAAAGCTCTCTAGGAATTCCTGCGTATACTCATCGTCGCCTTTCGAGACTGGGATAACAACCTTATTAATATCCTTTTCCTTCTCCTGGAGGTAATTGGCGTAGCTGTGCCCATACACAGCGCGTTGGTCGATCGCCGTAAATATGTTCGAGAATGCGTTGAGATAGTTTGCTCTTAATCCCGGGTGGGGATCATTGGTACCCTTAACGATGAGCTCGATGAACTCGGGTGGCGCAATAGTCTCGAAACGGAGGCAGAGGTTGGTCGTAAAGATAGCACACCGACTTGCCGTCTTCCAGTGGGACTCCTTTGCAAGTTCCGTCAACTCCAGTCCCAAATCCGACTTCTTCTGCTCGACTTTCTTCCTGCGTTCTTTTATGAAGTCGTGTCTCGTCTCGATGGCTCTAGAGCAATCCTCGGTAGGCTTAATCAGATCTACAGTCGGCTCATCTGTTATCACCATCAACTCGAACCGCTTGCCGAAGTCAATGAGTGGGTAGATAGCAGTTGCCCCCAGGTTCTGGATTGACGTTTTGTCAATGTTGGCTGACTGGATGTATAATCGCATTAGATCAGGAGCAAACCTCCAATCTCTCATCAACGTCCTGAGCAAGCTTGTGAAGAGTAGTGTATACATAGCCCCCTTGATCCTGTCATGATCGGTCTCGTCCAGTGCTTTACGGAACCTCTCCAAAATAACGGGGATGACGAGTGGGCGGCCGCCTATCAATGCTTTAAGTGAAGCATCTTGCGCACCTTGCGCTATTCGTCGCACATCCGCGTACGACGAAACAGACGATTCTGCGAGGTCGAGCAGTAATTGTTTATCTAGATCACTCTTCCTACGGACTGACGCGTTGTGCTTGACTCGCTGTAATTGATAGGCATCGGCTCGCTTGACGAGTAGCGGTCGCGGGTACGGTTTTCGTAGCCCGCTGATCTTGAAGGGGGCAATATCTGCTCTGTAAAGGCGAACAAGTCGGTCTAATGGATGTGCCGATCGCTCAAAGCCTACATCTGTAATCCAGGTCCGGTAGGTATTGTATAATGATGTGAAGCAAGAAACATCGTCTTCCTGGTGATCATTGAGGAAGGAATGTGTTCGGGAGAGCAGCCTTCCTATATCATCTCGAAGGTCGTGGATCCGATTATAGAGCGGGCTGTCAGGGGTGAGTAAATATCCGCTCGGATACTTGAACTGTGGCTTTGTCTCGTCATCTTCTCCAACCTCAGCTAGCGGGTTCTCGCTGTCGTCATCGTCATCGGCCATGGTTTCGTCCTCTTGACTATCGATTTTTCCATTGCCATTGACGTGTCCCGTCGAGCCACCAGACGCCCGTTTCGGATCAAACAGAGACGCAAGGCCGGAGATCACTAATCGCAGTTGGGACAACTGACGAGTGACTTCATCCGACCACTCCTTGTTTTTTCCCTTTCGGCTCACAGGAGGATTATCACTCATGAATGACTCGAGGCGTTTCATAGCGCCTTCGGCTTGGGATTCAAAGAGTTCGACCGCGAATTGAATTTCTTCCTGCAAGGGTCGATGCCATCGAATCGTCAAATCTGCTGGCGATGTCGTCTTGCCCCAATCATCAACGTCTAAACCGCGTTTTATGACATCAGGTTCGTACAGCGAAGTGTCTATGGGATATGTATGTGTGAGATTGAGCAGCAGGTGGTGTATGTAATTACTAATATGGATGGTAGGGAGGCCTCTGCACTTCTCTTGCATGTACTCTGCAATTTCGAAGAGGTCTTTCTTGTACTTCAGCACCTCACTACCAACATGTACAACGCACATGCTCAAGATACTCACGTGCCATACGAGAGCCCTGTCTCGGGGTAGCACTTCAGTACCGCTACTCCGATCAGACGCGGCTCCGTTGTAGTCAATCTCATTGCGTATGTTGGCGATCAACACGGGAATGAAAACCTTGAGTGTTTTCTCCGGGTTCACCTTGCATAATGCGTTGCAGATCCAAGCCATTGCATCGCGAGCTTGATGGACAACGTGACTGGAAACAAATGCTGAGAGCTTTTCCAGAGCGATTTCAAAGAGCTCAGGCGACAAAGAGGCAAACATCGGAGTTAAGGCAGCCGGCAAAGTATTGATGATGTTATCCTCGGGAGAACCAGAGCGCACTTGAGCCGCGTCGGGGAGATTCTCCAGCAATGTGAATACCTTGCCTAATAGTGCAATGAGGAATTCACCGAAACCCGCAGTTGAGGAGCGGACAATAGCCGCTTCATCTTCGTCGGTTAACTCGTTCTTGTAATCGATCTTGACGTCCTGGCCTTCGCGTTCCATACGCTCCATTTCCCCTTGGACCCACTGCATAGCAAGGCTAGTGTCATGGACGGTATTGTCCTCCTTCGTCAAAGTCACAAATGGAATACTGTACGCAACACTTTGGATAAAGTTCAATGTATACTGAGTCTTGTTCAGATCATTAGCATCAATACCAGGTAAAGCTAATGCTAATAATGCAGTGATGTGGCATCTAAATCCCTTCTGGCGCGACATGATATTGGCAATCATGTTAAGACCACAGAGACTGGATGTGGTTCGATGAACTTCGACTAAGCCCTGCAAACTCGGATAGAACCTCTGGAGCGCACCCGGCAGAATTAAGTCGGGCTCAAGATAGGTAAGGTTCTGAAGAGAGTTGAAGTACAAGCCTGTGATGCTAGAACTTTTCCCAAAAAGTCCCATAAACGTAACTTCTCGTAGACTTAGGACAAATCGACGCTTCAGAGCGTCATTGATCCTGCGTTCGGACGGGGTATCTTGCTCTTCATTCTGCTCTCTGTTCCAACGAGAAACGAAAAGCTCAGTTAGGTAATAGGTGAGCTGGGCCAGCATCTTGGTCCACGAGCCCTGGTTCGACGGATGGAAGAAGGTATCCACCGACTCCATTAGTCCTTCTAGACTATCTAAAATTGAATTTTTCCTATCAAGACAGAGGGGGGACAGAGAGCATATGACCCAGCGGGCAATAATGTACGGTATTGGATGCTTCTTTTTGTCCTTTTCAAGGAACATACCCATTCCAGCTGAATAGTCGAGCGAGGTGTATGGGGAATTAGCCTGCCCAACAGGAATCTCAGTTAAACGAAGGATCGCAGTGAAGATCAGGTCGGATTGCTCTCGTGTGAAAACACCGTGCTCGCTGAAGGGTACATGTCGACATGTTAGGTAATCCTTGGCGATCCTAGAGAATATATCGATGAATGCATTATCCACGACCTTGGAACGGGTCATCAGCGACCAAAGGTGGAAGAAGGTAGGTACGAAATCCGACGGTTGAGACTGCGGCTCCGTAGGAGGGGCCGGAGTAGTAGGCATTAGAATATTCAAGACGCCAATGACAATGTAGGCATTTTGGATATCCGAGGTACTGAAATAAGGCAGGATCTCCTCTAACATGGCACGCCGCTCTCTGGGATCGAAGTACATCTGCGAATACAGGCACAACTTTCTGAGATGCTTAACCCCTCGCCTCCTCGACGAGTGATGCGCAGCTGCTTCGCCAGGCAGCACAAGCGCCTTCAACTCTTTCCACAACGGTCTCCAATCGAGAATTAAGTCATCCTCAGGTTTAAGTGCTTGTTTTCTTCTAATAAGAGTTACCACCATTTTGGAAAACCGATCGGCGGAATTATTGTCTAGGCCCTGGGCCAAGGAGAGGTGGAAGTATAGCTTGACAAGCCTGGCGCGTTGCTCACGGGGCATGTCGAACTTCAACGAAAGCCATCCTTGAAGCTGGCGCGTCCAATGGAGGGCGCCAGGAGAGAAATCTTCGGCTTTTATAGCTATGTAGAGCTGCTTCAATATTCCTCGTAGGGCGGCATCTCGCTCCGCATCGTCCTCGACGGGGTAGGGTAATAATTGGAAGTATGCAAAGGTTCTCGGTCGATATCGTTTAGTGTCGTCAGCATCAAGTGGAGTAGAAGGTGGCAAACCCGGAGAGGTTGCTCTCGAGATTGTGTCGCCTGCGACGTAGGTGTTTAGAAATTGCGATGCAGCTGCGGCAGAGAAGGCTGCGGCAGATGCAGGATCGAGAGCCTCATCCATGGTTGCGGAGATATGGATTTGGTATCTGGTTCCTTGTTTTGGTTCAGCCCTGTGTTATCGTATCGAGTTTTATTTCTGGGGTATAAAATACAATGATTGTAACACAACCTCTGTTGTAAATTTTGGTTTAATTGCAAGGTCCGATCTTTGCTGTCGATGTCCGTTCAGCTATGAATCTTGCCCACACACACGCACACGGTTAACGATGGTAGTTGACAGTGCGCCCGTTGTAGTTTGATGGTGGCGGCTGGTCTCGTGCTGCAGCTAGGTGTGCTAGGAGTAAAGTGCACGCTGACATGTCGCAGCTCTCGGAGCTTCTTTAGCTGACTGCTAGCTGCTCTGCGGGCTTGGGGCTACTCGAAAACGGGGAACGATCTACTCGAGGCACCGCACGCTGCGCACACCGATACGCACCCCTCACTACGTGCGACGCTCTTCTCTGCTGGCCTCGCCGCTGGCACTGGATAGCAGGACTGTTTGTTTGGGTGTAGACGGAATGTTACCGAACGGGCAGCAATGACTGATGGCCAACACCGTTGGTAGACGATACATGTATTTGTTTTAAAACGAGCAGTTGGTTATGCGAAGGTTGACAGTTGGACGAGAGGTTGACTGGGGGGAGAGGGAATGACTTTTAGGTCGGTTTGGTCAATTTTCAAGTGGGGAGAGAGGTAGTTAGTAAAAGCGTTAAAAGTCAATTAGGCCAGTCGTCGCGCTTCCCTTTTGTTCTTGTTGCCCAGAGGCAGAAAGAGCGGTACGTAATAGGCCCAACCCATCTGTAATCATTTGTAGGTAACCGCAAACTCCCCGTGACAAGCAACTACGAATCACTATAGCAGCCTACGCTTCGCCGTCCGCCTCGTACCTTCTTCCATCAACTTCCAACTCTGGAGCTTAGAATGTCGGGTTTTACAATGACTAAGATAGTACTAACACGTGCGACTTCGACTTAGCGGTACGTATCTCAATAGGTACATAATACATACTACCTATTGATTTGACAAATTAATCTCGGTCAACTTTAATCAATCTCTTATTATTATTCCTCGATCTCATTCACATACAATAGAATTATCAAACATTGAAAGGCCGGGTTTATTTCCTCCCTTCAAAATATTTATTCTATATATTTGCCGTGCAAATCAAGCCCGAGTCAATAAATATCAGATCATGAACCCTGTCGAGTCCCGTTCACACGGGTTGCATTGGTACCCTTATCGAAGCCTTGCATCAAATATCGAGCTAACATGCAGCATGGGATAGCTTCTGATTACATATTAGACGTATCACAGGCACATGCCGGTGATCAGTCAGTTGTGCCTTAGGTATAGATCCGAATATCATGATAAAATGGAATGGACAAAGAATGCATCTTGCCGCGAATCACCAACGGTTCCTTTGGTAAAATCGAAAAGCTAGAATCTCGAGAGCTATCATAGGCTACAGCCGCCACGACGTCATGCACATAATCAGACGGATATTGCGGGCGAGGGTGGACGTGCGTTTGGAATCGAACCCGATTTGACGGGCACAACTCCCGCGAGTAGCCCAACCCTTGGCCCCCAGCTAGCCACCTTGCTCTCGGAAACTTCATCAATTACCTGCTACCTTAGGTAGGTAGAAGCCACTCTCTAGATTTATTACATATATTTCAGCTAACGGTTCTACCCGGTTTACCAACGTCTATACTCTAACAGTGCGTGAAATTCTCGTGTCACCTTTTCTTACAACCTTGCCGGCAGCATGTCAGGATGCTCACATGACTTTCATGTGTCGCTGGGAGATATACTGGTTTTCGTGTCATCGCAAAGAGATGGCTATTTTCTTTTCCCTTCCCTCAAGGTTCCATCTCACAGAATTGCTAGCGCAACTCAACAGCCCAATAATAACTTCCACGAGGATAAATTGCTACAAGGTATAGTTAGGTAGTCAGGCGCAAGCAGCTCCACGACGTGATATCAGTGGTCCCTGGAAGGCATCAATGCATGTATCTACCGATGTGGCGGTATACGTATACTTGCTACCTACCTAGGTATTTGCCTACTACACCGAGATCTCCACAGCCGGTAAGGAGAAACTACCAGGAAGGATTCGCTCCAGCCATGCCATGGCAAGCGTGGTGTTACGGAGTATTCGGATAAGGGATCATATTCAAAACCAATCCTATCGCAAAAGATCGTCATCTCGTACTCGCACAGCTTCCGCGTCCGTCGCATTCGACCATATGGAAGGATCGCGATGAAGAACATATCTGGTTGAATTCAAGTTACTTTCGGGGCTGAGAAAGCTTCGTCACTATTGTCGCTCACTTCAAGCTACGGCACTTATTCCTTATTCTCCTCACGTGTGCTAGATTTCCGGATACGCGATTCGTTATGTACAATCACTCCCTTTTCTTGTCCATCCTAGGCAGTCCAATCCAGAATATCAAGATGACACCAAGGAGGGCGAGGATAATTGGTTGCAACACTTGCACACCCTTGGCCTGAGCGATCGCTCCGACCGCGAAGGGCAAAACCGCAGCACCGCTACCGCCAAACGCTGCTGCAAACCCGATAGCTCCGACGTGGAGGTGTCGCGGGAGCAATTTTGACATGGCGACAATGGCGGCCGGGAACAGGGGCCCGATAAAGAATCCCTGGAGTCCCACAGCGACAGCGGACACATAGAATTGGGGAACTAGCCAAAACAACAATTCTAGACCCATCGTTACCGGGAGATATATCTGTCGACCCGCCAGTCAGTATGCGGAATTGTATGGGATATACGAAAATACTTGCTGTGATTGCCAACTTCTCTCCTATTTTCGGTGTTATGAACCCCAAGACGAAACGGCCGATCGTCAAACCTAGCCAGAATCCGGTGGCAGTCATACCACTAGCGAATGGCGCGCCCTTCCTTACTTGAATCATGAACTCAACGATCCATCCCCCGAGAGCGACTTCGAGGCCGACATAGCCGAGCAAGAAAAGGGCACAAAGCCAAGTGACACGAGCACCGGGGTTCTTTAGCAGGGCCTCCTTGAGGCTTCCTTTAGATGAGTCGGAGTGTTTCGCGAGGGATTCTCTGTACTCGCGCCCGGTGGCCGTCCAAAAGCAACTAACCGATACAACTACTTCGAGCGCAGCCATCCCAATCTAATGAGCTAGTCAGGTCCATGTTTTCCTTCGGCGTCGACCGACTTACCATGAGATAGTAGAAAGCATACCATGGCAGGTTTGCCTTGGTGATCATGGTCGTAGCAATCAAGGGGCTTAAAACGGCGCCGGCTCCATACAGGCCATGAAGAATGCCAAGCAGCTCATTCGCTCGCGCCATATTACCGATCCACGCATTCCAACCGGCGTCACATATGCCATTGCCAAAACCAGCCAGCATAAATGAAATCACCAAGACTGGATATGGCGGATGAACCGCGATGATTATGTAGGCTACCAAGTGGCATCCCGAACAGAGGATGGCGACACCCCTCTGGCCCAGTTTGAGGTGGATGAAGTTATTCAGGAATGCTGCCGCCGTGTATCCCACGAAAGGCGAAAGGAAGATGAGCGACACGACTACGTATGTGAGGCTATAGTGCGCTTGGATCTATGACCCATGTCAGTTTATCATTTCCCCAGGCGAAATTCACCCTTGAGACTTAGGACTGTCTTACATATGGAATAAGAGGCTGGCCATAGTTAGTCAGTATAAAATTGACCCTGTTCGGCTTTAGGTTCTTCAATAAAAACTTACACCATAGGCGGCATCATTTGAGCCCATGACGGTAAAAGACCAAAAACACGAAGCAACACGTGGGATATTCTTCCGAGGGTAATTCCATCTTTGTGCAACCTCAGCTACCATATTAGGGGGTGGAAGCGAGTTTGTTTCCTGATCAAAACTAGTTGGGCCACTGTGTTTACTGCTTGCCGGGCGACTCGGTCCACGGGCTGACATGTGAACTTTGGTATCGTGGTCCAGGGGCGGTGAGGACATGTAGACTGGCTCTAGTTCCATCTCCATGACCGAGGTAGAGGAGCTGCCATTCTGTTGCACACGCATGGCTATAGCAATAAGATGGTTGACTCTGGTTTCTTTTCTTTCCCGCCTAGAAACTTTCAAACGCGGTCTTCTAACCAAACTGACTCAAGGAAGGAGAGGACAAATGGTCCTTAGAAGACAATCAAAGGCGCGCTGCGTGTCTCCCGCTGCCTACTTTATACACGCCGATAAAGAAGCTCCGGTACACGATCCGATCCTCAGTGGAACAAGGGAGAACCGAAGGACGGAATTGTTATCTTCCATGAACTCTGGGGCAAAAGCCGAGTCGGGGAAGCTCCCGAATAGCACCGGTAGAACATCGGCTTCTCCACATCATAAACAAGGTTTAAGCCATCTACGATTCGTCGTCATCGTGGTAGAGGCTGGTTTGGAAATCTCCCGAACGGGTAGCTCCGCCACCGGCTTGCGCTCTCCACGATCTGGACCGGCATCGGTCGTCTGACGAGCTCCGCAGTCGTATCTATTTCCTCGGGCCGCACATCCACCTCTCTATCCCTTTAGTTGGCGTAAGACTACAGTCTCCACAAAACCGGTAACTGTACATCGGCGATAGCGTAGGCCCTTTAAGCCTGTAAGCGTTGAGGCGCTTGCGGTGATCTTCAAAGGCGTTTACCCAACTAGAAGTAAGCTTTTGCGGGTGCCAGCACAGCTCAGGGGCTGCTGGAAGTACAGTTACTAATCGTAGTGGAGCTGTAGTCTTACGCCAACTAAAGGGATACCATCTCTATATGCACTGACCCCGCGGAACAAGCACATCGGATACTCCACCTAGATGATTCATTTGTTAGCCAAGATGGGGGGAGAGTAAACTCATATAGTGCCTCTCATTCATCTAAACGGTACCTAACCCTTGAATTTGTAGACAATGAATCACACCTTGCCTAAACTCGAGAAGGCGACCAATTCGATTACCTTTCTTGACTGACGGTACTCCAGACGTCCTATGCGCTGATAGGTGCGCGCTGATGTACGTACCTTTCATAGTATGCACATCTTCCGGACGTTAACACGCTCATCACCATCTTCAGAGATGTTGAGACACCTGATAATTATCCTCCTGGGGGGGAGGGAATAGATAGGAATATACGTCATATCTGACCAAGGTCAAGACCGGTAGGTGGTAAGTAGTTTAACATGGGTGTGCCTCCATCTATATAGATATGTGGTGGTATGAATACAGGTGCATGTGACCTCCAAGATCTGAGCGATATATGACCACCCTCAAGTTTCGTCCAACCGTCCCGGTGGTAACACAGACAATCCACACTTCCTCATTAGGAGACTCGGCGCCGAACAACGCGGGTACCACGTGCGTCGATCTCGGTACACTATAGCGACCCGAGAGTGCGTACGTACCCGAGCGCTAGCTTCGGTAGTACTCGCATGATACCGAGACGCAGGTCCAAGTATCTTCTGGCGGCATTGATGCCTGACTTATTCCTGGTCTTGGGATAGTAGGTAGATAGGGCTGGGTAGGCAATTTCTATTTCGAGAATTACACTAGAACCTACCTAGGTAGTGTATTGTAGATGTCCATCCGAGTTGAGAGGTTGTCATAGATACCTCGAGCTGTAGTGGTGAATGAATCAAGCTACAATGCCATCGATCCACCATGAATGTGAAGCCATCACAAGATAGATAGGACATAATAGATGTTCTTTCTATTTAGACTATTTAATACCATCAGAGTTTTTAATGCTACCCGAGGCCGTTCTCTTTTCTTCTTTTAGGAAACTGAATAATTCTGATCTCAGGCAATGACGATTCTTGTGAAGAGGGTTCTCTTCGCCCTCAACCCCCATGGGTGTATCCGAATTTCTCGTTTCAAGTCTTTGAATCTTTGCGGGGTTCTAGTCCGTGAAACTAGATTCAACCCTCTTCGCAACCGGCGTAACCGTAAACACCCAAAAAGAAGCGATTTTCCATCCAATCCCAATGCTTTGTCCCCTTCCTCCCCCAAACCCTGTAACTCCGGTCCCATGCAAGTATGTATATGATACAAGTTTTTTTCGTTTTCACATCCACAAGCAAGTTCGTTCGGTCGAGCCCGACTGATTCCGCTGCTCACGTGCAGAGGCATAGTCGGCAGTCCTACCGCCCCTGTAATTTCCGAAACCAATTCGTCAGGCTCCTCAGCTTCTGATTCTTGGCCTTGTGTTCTTGGCCGTCCTTTTGCCCATCTTGTAGTGGGCCCTGGAAGAACGAGTTGCGTTTACTATCGGAAGCTTCAATAACTTCGACGTTGCCGGTGTTAAAAGGTTTAGCGTCTACCGAATAACATGCCGAAACAGCTCGTCGTTTTTTGGATAAAGGGGCGGCGGGGGTCAAGGTCTGGGCGCTGCTTTGCGCGGACATCTCGGTAGGAGACGAGGTTAGCGGTGCGTCTAGCACAGCTGCCAACGAGTTGTCTACATTCCGGTTTGCTTGTCCACTCCAGTCGCCGCTGAATGGTCGCCTGTTCTTTGATCCTTGCTCAGGTTTAGTACTTGCTGGGCCGGGATTTGTATCTGTAGCGCAGCGTTTCGGCATGAAAGGGGCACCGATAGATGTCGCCCTCCTAGGTAGCACGCCGGGTACAAACTGATCACTCTTCAATGAAGCCCCTGGAAATTTCCTCCGACTGCTAACTTCGGCAAAAGTAACTTTAGGGGCTGCATCCGTATTAACACTTAGTGATCGCTTGCGAGCCACTCCGCTTGTGTCTGATGGTGGAACCGGAGTAGACGTGCCCAGATCTGCTGGTTTATAATTGGGAGAAGAGCCATGGCGGAGTATTACCCAGATAGCCGATATAGTAATGAAGGTCTTCTGCCAATCTTCAACTTTTCGGGTTGTTCGCTCAAGGTAGCTCTCTTCGCTAGTAGAACTAGATATAGGTGTAGATAACAAAGGAGAAGTCGGTGGGTAACGACTAGCAGATTGAGAAACGGTAGTATATGTGTCGAGAATATCGAGAGAGGAGTTTGTAAGGGTAGCCATGATGGGATGACGTCGGCAATTTGGATCAATTATACTAAAGGTAAATTTATAGTCGACTGAAGGCGGAGGTGGTGTGGAACCGCGTGCAGTCGTCGGCGTCGCTGGCAGCGATTTAGTAGTCACCTGTTTGCGAACCCACCGGGCTGTGATAGTATTTCCGTTCGAATCAACAGAGACGAAGTCATACGAGCATGAACTGGTGCCACTCAGCCGAGGCGTCGCGATCCAAACTGTCCCATCAGCTTGCACAATCTCAGCTTTGTCCTCCGTCCTCGACGGACTTAATATAGCTAAAAGTTCGCGCGACTTGATATCGTCCTCGTCGTCCTCACTTTCTGACCCGGAGGCCTGCGCATAATCCTCGCTCTTTACCAGCATGATATCCTGTCCGCCTAATTCCCGTTTAATACGGGCAATCAGAGGGAATCGCTTCAACAGAGGTGCGATCAAGAATCCAGCTACGGCAGACGAAGGATAGACGTCGATAATCGGTCTTGGGCGTTGGTTAGCAGATAATTGTTGAATTTGAAGCAATAGCTTCGGGCGAATATGGATCAACAGTTGCTTATTGCGTAACTTCGGAGGCGGGTGGGCGAAAAGAAACGTGGTACTCTTCCGCGGGACCCTTCGACGGGTACGACGAGGGGACGACGAAACCCGGCTGGCGTCACTATCGGAAGCAATCGAGCCCTCATCTTCGCTCATTGCTTCTCGCTTCGCCGGAGTCGGAGGGTCGCATTTGGGTTCCTGAAATCTTACAACCTGTTGGGTGACTTTAGGGATTTGTTCTGATAGTGGCCTAGGTCGTCTTATGGGCAGTGAATCATCTAGGGGATTGGTTTCAGCAGGAGGAATCTCGGTACTATTACGGTAGGACGATGTTCGATTTATAGGTTTAGCGAAAGCAGACCGCAGGAGTGGATTGCGTCGGTGACCAGGTTGAGGGGCGGGTCGGCTCGAATATTCATGGCCGTGGAGGCTCGCTCCCGAATGCAGGAACATTATAAAGAAGCGGCCATCAAAGCTTCACTTCCTGCAATCCTAGTGGGGGGTTGTGAAAAGCTCGGGTCGAAATGCAGCTTCTGTCGGCGGATAATAGGTGCCGAACCAAAATGATGATCATATCGTGTCTCTTGATACTTCACTTGAGCTCAAGAGTAAAGAAGAAAACGAAACGGGCTGAACAACCTTCCCAATCCTTTTTTAATATAACCCGTATAAATCGAGTGCCGAAGTGAATATGAAACCAAACAGGCGATTATCGTGTAAGGTATTGACGCTCGAGGGGGTAGAAGGTTAGAAGGTTAGAGGAAGTAGTAGGTAGATCAAGTGGAGAGCTGAGAGTTGTATCGTTTGATGGCCTGACAGGCTGAACCACTTGGCAGACCCCCAGGGCTGAAATACGCATTTAGCACCAGGGGACAGGGGGTTTTAATAGGGGCTACGCGGGTAGAAGGCAAGCATCAGTGGAGTCTGATCGCCGTCAGCCATGTGTGTGCCCCGTCGTCTTGGTTCCAAGTTCCACAGCCTCAGCTCGAATCGGAGCCGACTTTCCCAATAATAATCCGCAGACGTTTGAAGACTTGTAGCAAAAAAGCCCGAATCGGATACTCGCAACAGCCCGAGAATAGATCTTAGCTACCTCTAGTAGTTAGGTAGCTAATCGCTGGCTTGGCCCATGAGACCGAAGCAAAAGACATCCAACGAGAAGAAAAAGAGGGTCGTTAGAGTTTTGACCGATTCGACAGATCAGGTACTTGCGTGAAGTAGGTACGTAACTAATAGATTATGAAGTTGCAATCTAGAAAAGGGAGAGATCAGGCAGATAACGGTTGGCCAACGTACGTTTGATCGTAAGGGCAGAGGAAATGAAATGGCAGGTTATGGGGTAGCATTGAATGGTGCATTGAATGGTGCACCGAACGGCGCCCAGATGGTGTTTATTATTGATATAACGGTAATAATTAAAGGCTGGAATGGGAGAATGCACGATTCCAATGCGAAAACAAAACAGAAAAAAAATCCGAGACCAGTATGTGCCAGAATGCAGATGAGAAAGATGGATCAGATACGGTCCGACCTCTCAGGGCTTCGACAGCGTAATGGATCAAGGGGTCGGAACCTGGTTGGCCGGCAGCTAGTTATGCACGTAGCGGACGACTATCCTCCCTAGCGTCTTCTAAAGCCCCCATAAGGCATACACTAGAAAATCGCAGAAATCGAGGTGAGAAATCACAGACTTCGACCGATCAACCGGTCTATGTACATACTATGGATAGTAAAAAAGAAACAACTCCCCGAAAAGAATCGAGCATCCCAGGCTTCCGTATTCCTCTCCTCTCGGTTGGTGCGGATGTCTCCTGCCTCGCATCCTTATGCAATACATAGGTACTATTATTGGACCTTCTAATCTTTCCTTGGGGGCCGATTGGACTAATTCAACCAATACTTGGCGATAGGTGAGAATGCCGTTGCCGAGCCCGCTATCTTGACCATTCTTGTCAGTGCCGAGTCATGTGAAGCAGAGCTCGAAATTCGTTTCATCTCATCATTTCGTCATTTAGACACTTCTGTTAGATACAAATAAGCTTAAAAATATATCCATGGATAATAGTCTGTGATCGGTCTTGGTCTAAACAACTCTTGGGTTGTACTTATATGAATCAATCAATCAACCACTGCGGCACATCAATATTGTCTTGTATGTAGGTACATAGATCCCAAGACGCCCATCCAACTCGTTTTCGTATCCAATCATGATTGGTAAGAGAGCGCCATTAATATGTCGGTGAGGCCACAACGCCGCGGGAACGTTGGATGCCTGATGATCATGGAACCAGGTGTCTTAGCCGACTAAGAAGTCAACTCATTTTAGTCGGTATTCTTGTATACTTAGTAGGTGTAGCAGCTTCTTCGGACAACACACAATCCGCGAGCTAATTCTTCAAAAGCGGTTGGTAAAGGTCCAAGAAATCGACCATCTTCCCCATATCTTCCCGCGAAAGCCGAGGCAGATGACTAGCACTGATGACAGATGCTTACAATGAATGCTCGAGAGAATTCTATGATTGTTGATCTAAGTCTTGTCCGTTACTAGTGTAACGAAGCTATCGAGGCTTTTGTTTATCGTGACCTTGACAGCCGGGGCGGTCATCCAAGATTTGTGATGACAATAGAACCCTGTAAGGTCTGTAAGTTTGGGAACGGATAGACAAATTGCAATACGTGATTGTTAGACGATGACGACATGCCGCGAATTCCGTTGATCTGCCTGTCATATCCGGCATTCCGTCTACGTCTGTAAACTTTCACGTCTTCATCCGATGCATCATGCGTGTAAGATTATGTTGTTATACAACGTCGACGTCGACATCCACGTGCTTCTTTTCCTAAAAGGTACCGAGGCAAAGATATATCGCGGGAAAAAAACCCTCAGAAACGCCGGTCTGAATAAGATTCGGCGTTAGGCTTGAGTGGGCAGAAACGTTTTATCAATTGCCATGTTATTCTTATGATAGGCGACGGCTGCAAATGTAATTTCAGCCTTAAGGGTGGGAAATCGGAATTGGGGAACATTGGAAAATTAACGATGCAGGGCTGGTCACATCATGCAATAAATCCCTTGCTCAGAGGTGATATCGACGATGCTTGGGAATTGCGTATCGACGATTCCCTACAACCTTGAACCTTGCTGACCTTGAATTCATTTCCGGCGTCCTGCAAATGGTGGTATCTCTCGAGAAATGTGGCCGTGCTAGGTTGCAAGCCACATTTATGTTTCACTACTACCTGTAATGCTGTGGCTTAAGCTTTCCCTTGTTGACCCATATTTTCTGCAACTTTCCAACGTTGAAGTTCCCATACCGAGATGGTTGGAAACAAAAATAGAAACAACAACGTTCTCTATTACAACCTTTCTTCCATTCTAACCATGCTCTCTTTAGATCATAAACATCCTATCCAATCATTACTCGTCACGTTTCTCGCATGGAAGACCTTGCTTATAGCCATTGCTATCGGAAGCAATGTCGGCCCAGCTTATGATACCTCAACCACGCTGTTATCCCCTGAGATAACTTCATCGCATGAGTCCACATTCGACCTCGCCACGAAGTTGACGAGATGGGACTCTATCTATTTCATTGAAGCATCTCGCCGGGGTTATCAGTATGAGCAGGAATGGGCATTTGGGAAGGGACTGCCAACCGTCATCTCCTTTCTCATTCAAGGTACTTAGATTCTCTGCATACAATGGTGTGTATACCATCCACGAATACGTGCTCTAACTTAGCCTGGTAGCCCTTTCTAGTGTTGGTGTCCAAGCACATGGCTCCCTCGAACCAAGTGTTGGAATCTTAGTGGCTCATACATCCCACCTGCTCTCCGTACTTGCCCTGTATCAGCTTGGACTCGTTGTTTGCAAAAACCAACGGTTATCATTCATTGCAGCTCTTTTGCATATTCTGGCGCCGGCTGGGCTCTTCTTGTCCGCCCCTTATCAAGAGAGCACGTATGCTCTACTATCCTTCACCGGGTACCTCTTCCTTGCGAAGGGCCTACTAGGACCAAAGCGGACTTTTGCCCACGATGTAAGCTTAGTCGCTTCTGGTATGTGGTTTGGGTTTGCCGTCACGTTTCGTAGCAATGGTCTATTCAATGGTATTCCGTTCGCCATTGCGCTAGCCAAGGAACTCACTACATCACCGAACTTGACTAGTATACGACGACGCTGTGCCTTATTGGTTGGGGGTCTAGCGATCGCAGTGGGCTTCATAACGCCGCAGTTAAGTGCCTACCAAATCTTCTGCTTCACCCAGCCTTCTAGGCCATGGTGTACGAGTGGCATGCGTAGCATATATTCGTTCGTCCAAGAACGCTATTGGTTCGTAAGAAATCCTTTCCTACAGTACTCTATACTAATAGTGGTGTTAGGAATGTTGGCTTTCTCCGTTACTGGACTCCATCAAATATACCACTCTTCCTACTCGCTATACCAATGATTTATATTCTCATCAAGTCAGGGCTAGAATTTATAAAGTTACCTCTAGACCTTGTGACTAAGGAATCCGCCCCAGCTGATCCAATCCATCTGTCTTTGTTGATCCGGTCAATGGCCTTAGCCCAGCTTGTCTTAGCTGTTCTGGCCATCACAAATTACCACGTCCAAATTATCACGAGAATATCGTCGGGGTACCCCCTTTGGTATTGGTGGCTGGCAAAAGTTCTCTCAGACCCGAAAAACTCGATATTTGGAAGTAATGTTGTGAGATTCATGGTTATGTACGCCGCTGTTCAAGGGGCCCTCTTTGCGTCCTTCCTTCCGCCGGCTTGACTGTATAGGTACCGTCGCCGACAATACTAGTTCTTTCTCGATACACCGTTGTGATATCACATCCTTAAACAATTCTCTCTCTACAAAGATGACCCGAGATATTCTATCTATATTATTCTGCTCTACACACTCGTATAAGATTCTAGTAAGGTAGCTCGGCTACTGCACAGGTAGCAGCAACAGACAAAAACCCCTCGTTGAATATAAATTGAAGATGAGGCAATTTACCTACCTAGTAGTTATGGATATTATATAATAACGTAACAGGGGTATGGCTGTGGTGAGCACTTTCCCTGACACAGAGAGGTAGCTAGTGAATTAATGGAGCTATTTCTACAGCTGGGGGCACTTGATAGGCCTCCTATAACCCCCCGTTCACCTGTCAGGTAGTCTATCGTTTGCTACACCTAAGATGATGCCTACCCGTTATCGAAGCGGCAAGGTATTGCGAATGACTCACCATCTTAGTGTCGTGAACTGCCCAAGTGAAGAAAGGACAAGTCAAAATTGACCTTAGTCCAAGGTTCTACACCAAATATTATCGCGAACTTTTCTCTGCTCTTCCCAGTGCTGGTTCCTTCCCAGTCCAGCCGATTTGGAGAGACCGACAGCATTGCCGGCCTCTTCTATTGCCCTAACACATTTTTGCGTGACTCAAGGTGGATGACCATGAGGTCTTCCTATAGAAGTAGTGAACATAAAAGGCCATTCTGTCTCCCATTTATATTCTTTCTTCTATAACCTTCATCTACATCACTCTCTTATTCGAACCGAACCGTATCACTCACGGCTGCTCGTCAGTACATGACACTCCTTTCAATACCTACAATCTTCATCTAAATACTATCTTCAGGACACAAATCAAACCACATCTTCCCTAGATATTTTTCTACCTTCGTTATTCTACGATTATCACCAAATCCATCCGTTATCTTTTCTTTCAGCCCTAAAGACGTCCCTCTCCAACCCATAACCTTCTGATCTCGTGAATAAATTACTTCTACCATACCTACCATCACCTGCACTCACTTGAGCCCAACTGAAATACCTAGGTGAGTTAACTGAACCATAAATCTCCCCAAGACACACGCACACAAGTTACTTACCTACTCTTCACGTAGGACACTTATTCTGTATTCAGAAGACCAACAAGGATTCCTTTCTCCTACATACACTCATACTCACCAGTGGATAAATAGCCATGTCAAACTTTGACCTTGCTACCTCCCAGCCTGGCTATCATCGTGACCACCATCAAGGTCGCGATGATGCCAGCAACGGCAATGTGGAGTCGATGCTCTCGAGCGATCTCCAAGACTGGCTACAACTCACTCAGTGGCATGATGTTGAGTTCCGCGAGAAGGAGCTAAGCAACTACAGACAGAAGGATGAACACAAGCCCGATGTGGTGGGTAATCATCGTACCTACGACAAGCCCGCTAAGGAGGATGAACTAGCCCTTGCTACCATTGCTGAGGCTTCAAAAGGTCCCAAGACGAGTTTCGCAGTTCCGATTCGCGAAAACGCTGGTTCCCGGAGACCTCGTGCCCGTTCTACCTCGCCTGTGGATTCACACCGTAACAAGCACACCAACTACCGTGTCCGTGACTATCCAGAGTCCCGCAGTATGGGCCACAACCAGCGCCGAGTTGACGGTGGACTTCCAGCCGGTCATCGTCGTCGTCTGACCGAAATTTCGGCATATGCTACCGCATCGCCATCTGGATCTGACCATCACGGCCCGAACGGTGGCCAAGAAGACGCGCGTGACCTCGCTCGCGAAAGAATTGCTCGCCGCCGTCCCAAGTCATTCGAGGTTGGTGATAGAGGCAGTAAGTCTGATATAAAAAATTGCTTTAAACTCGAAAAGTACCTGTGCGACAACAGACCTGCTAACATTGACTGTGTTCTGAAGCGGTGCGATTCTTCGTCATGAGATCTGGCAGTTGGAACAATCTCTACAACTCGATGGTAAGTTTTAATATTGAAGTTACGATGATTCAGAATAGCTAACAAACCAACAGGAAGATGGCATCTGGGCCACCAACGTCACCAAGGCAGACATGCTTGGCGAAGCATTATCTCAGGGCATTACTGTAGTGCTCTTCTTCGCCGTCAATCATTCTCACGGCTTTCAGGGCTATGTTAGTATTCTTTTTTTTTCTAAGGCCTCTCATTTCTCCTCTTCCCGTAACCCTCCTGTCCCTATTATCTAGTCGTCGTTCTTTGTTTACTAATTGGTGTGATCCTTGAATATAGGCCGTTATGAAGTCAGCACCGTCGAAGGACGTCTATCACCCAAACTGGTGGTACAACGTCAAGTGGAAGATCTCAGAACCCTTCGAGGTGGAATGGATTGTTATGGAACACGTCGAGACCACACGTGTATCCCATATCCTCAACGGCCTCAACTACGACCTTCCTGTCACCCGAAGCGCAAATGGTCAGGAGCTCAGTTACAGCGCCGGCCTACAAATGGTGACAGTTATCAATGGCTACGCCCGAGACACATTTGCACGCACAGGACGAGTTCGTTAGTGTGCCAAGATTACCGAGATGCGATGCCTTGGGGCTTTCATACGAGGAAATTTACTTTTGCCTCTACGGAAATGGGAAGCCCGCCCGGATGGATGGTGGAGATCGCATTACACACCTTTGCTTTTCACATTACATCGCTGAAGCCTGATGACCGTGCTGAGGTTAAAGGCATGCAACTCATAAACATTACAGATACCTATGGCATTTTCACAACAGCATGAGTATTTTGCTTGGCAAGCTTCTGGACGCCAATAGCTTCCGGGAGCCATGCAGCTAAAACTCGGAATACTCCGCACGAAGTCCCCTAGCCCGACGTTAGGGTTGACAACAAAACACATGGCAAATAGCTAGGGATGAAGAAGATGATGATCATCAAAGTACACAGATAGTAGCTAGATCGCAACAGAATATCACCAATCGGAGATTTTTAACACATCTATCAAAAAGCCATGCGACGAATGGTGTGACATAAAGCTCACAGGCCTCGAACATCTTGGAGCTTCGTTGATCGTAAGCACTAACTAGGTACCGACAGTGTGTTCCAGTTCCCCGATATACCATTGAAAGGTAATAGTCGTAACGCGCTGGTAATTATGAACAAATATACGGTACATAAAATGTATTGGCTGATGTTTGCTAAGCTAAAACCAGCCCTAGACTCTAAGGGATCGCAAGATACTTACTTACCTGGCAACTTGGAATCAACACGAATCCTTTTGAGTCGGCTATGAGCGTGGTACGCCAATCCTTATTCGGATTCCACAGATGCACCGTCGACGGCGTTAGCGTGTTATTCGTGATATTTGATTAACTTGTAGTAATGACGTGCGTGTTGACTTGCGAAGGCGCGGAAATACCGACAGAAAACCGAAGTATGGATGGATTAAAAAGGAGGTATCAAAATTACCTGAGGCAGACTAACGGCTATATACGAGTCATGGTTGGGGGACATATTCTTTTTTTTTCCGCAAGCGTTCCGCGGCTTTTGCATCTAAAGCCACGCTAAGGCGAGCTGCTGCTTTTTTCTCCATTGCGTACCTGACTGATTTATGACGCAGACAATACTTAGGTGAAAATAAGAAAAATAAGGAGAAATTACGACGCCATAGTCGGACGCTATCCCACGCCAGGAAGCCCGGGTGGCCGCCACGGGCGACCGGTTTCTATAGCGTTCTCTTTAACAAGTTCTGCTTGCAGAACTTGACGGTTCCTTGCAGAACTTGACGGTTCCTTGCAGCCCGTCGTTAAAGCTAGCATCCTCCCGTCTGTCACGGTGTTGGCATTGGGTCTAGTAGTACTATAGGTAGCTTACCTCGGTACCTCGTTAGGTATGCTGCACACCGAGGTATGGTATGCAGTATGCCGTATGCCGTATGTCGTGTCACCTATCGCGACGGATGCTTCAGGCTAAGACATCCACAGTGGCTTGTGTTTAACCTGCAACTCAATTGTCTTGGACAAAGTGGACCGGAGAAACGGTGTGACGATTCACGAAAACGAGGATGCCATGTGGCGACTCCTGCAAATTACCTTAGCAAAAGGTTAGCTGCATCGCAAAGCGCATGGCTCGAGAGCTAGAATCTATCAAAATCTTCCTGCGCCTATCGGAAGGCTGGCAAATTAGCGGAGGACCGATATGTCACTATGCTAGTAGTGTATTTCGGCAAGGATGGCAAGGGCAGTAAGTGGTGCTTTGCGGGTGCTTGGACATCGAGCTAGGAAGCTAGGAAGTTTAGCATAGAAAATCGGGCTGATGCTAGAACTCTTCACCAATCTTCTTCAGGGCCACTGGAAATCCATGGGCTGCCCGAGAGTCTGAGACAGAGTTGAGGCTGATGAGGCTGGACTGCTGAAAGGACTCCCATGAGCAGCATCGTCTCCACTTCCTGACGACGATCTTTTTGGTACGCCCGGCCTTCGTCGTCGACGAGAAGAGGGAATGGCGATAAAGGATTCCAATACCTAGGATAGACGCTCGCGGGTTGCTACCGGATTGTATGAGCTACACTATTGAACTGTTGCTTTTGCTTGGGCAACAATCCTTTTCGACACCATTGATACCGACTTCCATGAACCTGGCCGTTTGCCCCAATTTAGCGGCAAACAGCCGTATTTTAATAAAAAGAGACGGGACTGTTCAATATTTTTATTGATTCGAGATGAACCAACTTCGTACGTTATTCACTAGCGAGCTGGAATATTTATTGGTTATGAAATTGTACCATGCAGAGTTTTTTAATACTTTTCTTGATTTATGCGGCCTTTTTTGTTCCCTAACTGCCTAACTATTTGATCGCCCTGAACATCTTACTGGATACGTAGCATTACGTTGCATTGTATTGCATTATAAGACGATATAATATAGCCGTACCTTACATAGCTGACTCTAGGCATACAATAATGGTGCCGCTGAAGAGCCTGCTACCACTTGCTACAGGGGCTAAATTCAGGGGTCTTCAACCCCCCTCGCTCCTGGATCTGTAAGTGGCTTTCAAGTATTTGCGAGGTGGCTTAGGTGGGTCAACGGGCATAGACGGTTGATTTGAAGAACATTTTGCAGCAATCTACCTGCAGGTCACCTTGGCAGCTTGGGGCTCCTTTTGGTTTGGCGCCGTCTCTATCGTTCCATCGTGCCGGTGGCTTGAGTGGAGATGGCGTGGATAAGTGATAGGTTCGTTGGCACAAATTTTACCTAATAGAGGAACTGGGTCTAAAATAAGCTATAATTGTTCTAATACGGCCTTTAATCATTCGAGGAGGAATCAGGATACATACATATGCAGGTCAACGTTTTGTACCGACATAATACCCAGGTATGTAAGTAAAAGTATGTAGGTATATATCTTCGCATATGCAGATGTGTAGATGTGCGCAGATGTGCCAGTAATTTCGTATTACCTACTGTATGGAGATGTACATCACCTGGATTCCCCAATTTTAATATCCAAGTAAAAAAAAAGAGTCCGTGTCGTGAGGAGGGCCATCGTTCCAATCCCTTTTTGTTTTTGTTTTCCCCCCTCCTCTGATATCCCGTCTTCATACATGGAGTCACGCCTCCGAAGTTTGACGTTGAGATCGGACGAGGGTCTCTGAGTTTTGGGGAGAAGACGTCGGTAAATAGCCAATTTACAAGATCTTAAACCCTGGATCTTGGCTCGCGGCGGCACAACTCGAGAAGCTTTCTGACGACAATCCGACCTATATCGTGGGATTTCGATCCTCCCGAACCGGCAATTAAGCTTTTGACTCTATTCCAGCAATCAATTACGTCGAGATATGCGATTCTGAGTACGACCGGAATCCCCACCTTAGGATATGAGAGGAGGTCCCTTGATATGCTGATTGAAGCCTACTTAAGTTAACGTCCTGCTCGCCCACCGACCCTACGACTGTCCCATAATTGACCGAGGTCGGTCCTTTCGTTTCACCTTGACGCCGTTCCTGAACCGTACCGTAGTTTTCTTTCTCGGTATCTGAATTACGTATACATTGTATGCCTATCCAACTTAGAGCGTTGTCTTGGGAGAGAGACGAGGCGAGGGACGGGGATCAAGGAACCCTCGGAACACACTAATCGACTTATTGGATTGCCTTGCACACCGAACGACAGCGCCTATCCCGACGATTCAACCTCCAGGTATTATTGCCAGTCTATCTATTGGTCGAAGGACTTGTTTGCGTGTAAGATGGGTCATAAATCTAAATTCACCTTCCCTATGCCGGGACGCTCCGCGAGGCAGACTCCTGCCGTGGCGACATCGAACTCTCTCTCAAAGGCGGAAAAGATTCTGGGAACTGGGTCTCCCACAGCGACGAGGGAACCCGGCCGATTGTGGGAAACGGAATCGAATGGCGGTATCAGTATATCGATATCAGAAAGTAGCACTAGCCAATCCGGCGTCGTAGATGAGGACGACGATATACTTGCCGGAACGAATTACGGCGGAACTCTATGGGAGGAGGAATCTGAGGCTCTTCCCCGACGACTGCGTAGCGCCAATACCTCGTTCGGCAAAGGATTAAAGACAAAGAGGTCGGCGGCCACCCTCGGTGCTCGCAGTCGAGACGCTACAACAGATGACTCGAATCCTCCCCGACCTCAGTCCAGTTCTACTGTTTACTCGCATTATGAATCGGCCAAGATGCCGCTCTCAATATCCCAGCAGACTTCGAATTCAGCGATGGCAAAGGGATTACCATCGAAAGCCGGCGCGTTATTGGACATAGACGGAACGCTTTATGGCAAGGGTCCGGGTCCGCAAAAGAAGAAGCCTTCGAAGTTGGACTTCTCAAAGCTGAGGTTGAGGTCTCGTAAGGACCACGTTCGGGACTCCCATGCAGTTGGTCCCGTTTTAGGGAACAATTATGTGATGAGATCACCATCTGTTATGTCACATATGTCACATTCCTTGGCTTCGTCGAATTCTGATGAGAAAACACCGACACCAGACATGAAGATAACATCTCAAGCAGCCCCTCAGATGTTGGGGAGACCTGGCCGCTTAAAGGGTACGAACGATGCGAGTACACTAACTCAACTTTACGACCATTATGAACAAATGTCGTTCCGGCATGCCGAGGATTTGCAAGAGGAGGACGAAGAGGATGAGGTGTTGAACAAGACGCTATCGAACCAGCAACGCTTACTACCCCGTACTTACGAACCCGAAGTTCCTGACACATCTCGCGAGGATATGATCACACCACTGCCAAATAATGCGAGGTGGACACATAGCCGAAACACTTCGCACTCGAGCAAAGCCACGGCAACCAGAGCTGGAACACCAAGCACGTTACAAATACGCCCGGCATCTAGGAATGATTATCCCGCAAGTATATCGAGCCGACATACGCGGACGTCAAAGGCCACCCCGTCCATCATGAGTACCTTGGACTCTGATCGGCAACAACAAAGCGTGTTGTCGCTTACCGATTCGGATTCGGACGAGGAGGCCGCGTATTCTGGACCAGGTTCATCTTTACCCTCGTATGAAAACAGCTTTCGTGATGACATTAGCGTATCCTCGAGCCAACGGCAACCTAGTACATCGAGATTATCAATCAGCAGTCACTCAACTAATCCCAAAGGGGCGTCTTATGCCCAGCTTAACGATTTCCTCACTATCCCGCAGGCTTCTCCGAAGACGAAAGCTGGCCGGTCGGCTTCGACGAATACGAATTACTCAGCAAATTCATCTATGAGCACGGCAACTCATGCGTCCCTGCCTTCTCACTCCTCTCAGCGGGAACATAGAGGATCTGTATCAACGACGGGAACGGCAGGATCTATATTGTCTCCCACCTACAGTATCCCGCCTAATTACAAGGTGCAGGAAGCGAAGGCAATCACTTTCACCCCGCTAGCCTCTACTGCCGAGGCTGCATCGTCAGTTACTGTTAGTCGTATATCGAAAAACCTGGATCGCAAAGTCTCACGACAAGGAAAGCAGCGTACCATATCGCAAAATTCTCACGCCTCAGACCAGCCAACGCCACCATTATCACCCTCGAGTATCGACTTCCATAAGAAATCGTTAGAGACGGCACGGCAGGAAGCGGCGGCTGACAAGAATACCGAATCGTATAACGCACGGTTAATGGCTGTGACGAGGCAGGAGGAGATGCTTCTCGCCGCGCTGAGGAAGAAGAGGGCTAGGATGCGAGAGAATATAATAGCCGAAATTGAGGAAGATAGGGGTCCCCGAGGTAGCGCAGCTGGCTCAGCCGCCGAAGAAGACCTTGAAAAATTGGCATCGGCGAACCTGAGAGACGCGGAGAGGCAGGCTGCAAAGGAAACCAAAGAGGCTAGGGAGGCTCGTGTCAAGGCGAAGCAACCGAAGAACGTCCCCAAGAGGGCATCGTCTCTAATGCGGCAAACTCGACCACGCGATCATTCTAACGGACCACGTGGCGTGGACAATCCGCCATCGACTAGCCACAGCGACCCGGCAGAGAAGGGATCTCTTCGATTAAGGCTTTCCCCCGAATCTGAGCCTCGACGAACCGGGAAATCTCGTCACGAGCGCGTGCTCCTGTACTTGGACCGGCCCATTGATAGTATCGATGTGATCGACCAGGCGGAGCCGAGCCCTGATTTAAGCGAATTCCTGGAGGAGGAGTTGGACTTCCCGCTTCCGGGTGGCCGCCAAAGTAGGACGAGATCCAAACTCGGCCATTACGAGGGAAATGGACGACCGAGGCCTGACTCAAGTCCAGTGAGTCCGAAGACGAACCCGATGAGACTTTTACCGAAGACGAAGCCCGATGCCTATGTCAATGAGGACATCGATGCCGACGACTTTGATGACCACGACTTTGCCGAGGAGGTTGCCGATAGGCGCAAAATGGCATTACCGCCGGTGCCAGAGAAGGGCGTTCCTAGACCGGATAGCCCACTCTCGCCAGACGATGGGTTATTATCGCCTTCCGTCTTTGGGCACAAGAAGGGCAAGAAGAGTGCTGTGGTGAGACTGAGTGCAGTGGGACAGGTCAGCTCTCCGATTCCTTGGTGGGGCGATGATGACTGAAGTGGGATGAGTTGCTCATCATTGAACCGACCTGAGGATAAACATTTTCTTCTCACGATTTTGTCGGGCTAAACAGGACCGCACGTCACCATCTTCTCTATGTCTTTAAGATGCACGCATTTACAGTTCGGTTGTTTGTTTAGCGCTTGATTTCTTATTTTACGACTTTTTCAAGCAAGCGAGTTCAGGTTGGGAATCAGAAAAAATTAACAGGGATCTTTTTTTCCGTATTCATAAGATGGGAAAGCTCGGCATCACTGCATACGATTTAATATTCTCGTTGCGATCGATCGATCTCCCTTTTATCCCTATGTCCAAAGTTTCGAAACGCGTTATGTCTGCCATTGTATTCTAGAGGGGGAGAACGGAGCTGCTGTCTTTTTATTGAGGCCTGCTGGACGTGGAAAAAAAGCGACCCTGCAAGTTGGGGTCGACTAACCTACCGCCTAAACCTCAGGCGCATATCTCATAAGTCTGGAAGGTAATTTTGCTTGCTTGCGTCGATATTGCTTGCTTTATCGCATGCATGTACCACCGAAGAAAAAGCGAGCATTTGTATTATTAGGGAATGGAGCATCGGAAAGACTATTGACGACGGATTAGATAATGTTTGGTTCCCCACGCTTGTGGGCGTGGGCGTCGGTGTCGGGCGCGGGCATGTTACATTGTATGTGTGTGCGCATCAAACATGAAGAGAGCGTCTGTTTCGAATTTGTTGTAAAATACCTATGTAGCAGACGTGCGAAAGCAGAAAAAATCAAAAATTCACTAGAAATAAACAAGTACCTTGCTTTGCCCTTCGTGGTGGTTGTCGTCGTTCCATATCGTCGTGTTGTGTTTAAATCGATCTACTTTGTGTGGATGCATGTGGTTGATGGTGGTGGGTGATTGGTGTTTGCTAGCCACTTAAAATTCATTGGCTGGACGAGATATGGGGTTTAGATATAAGGTGCAATATCCGCACTTCTTGGACAAGTCAATAGCCAGTTTGGCCGAGGTAAGATAATTTTCGCACCACCCAAAAATATTCATGAGCTAACATCGAAATCAGTGGTCTAAGGCGGTGGTTTTAAGTTGTCCCTAGGGATTTATCTTGTACACCATTATCGAGAGATGCGCAGGTTCGAACCCTGCAGCTGGCAAACTTCATTTTTTAATATTTTCGTATACTATTGGAATTTATCTTTCTATTTTTATTCTTCTGGTGTCTTGAATCAGAGGGGTCTTTTGTCGTCACATGTCTCATGTTGCATGTAAATTCTAGTCCTATCTACTACGTCATTGCAGCCAGAATGGCCCCTTCGATCACCGAGACTTTTCATCGTCGATTGACAATTGTTCGGTGCATTTCTGCTCCACGTGAAGACATCGATTGGCATTAAGCTCACCAAGTGGACCAGGCAAAAGAACCCATCCCCACGCTACGAGCTCCACGATCTGACCCAAGCGCTCCCTGCCCTCCGCAAATCAAGATGATATTCGATGCTGGCTCAATTTTATGCCGCCAAGTGGTAGTGTAGGATGATGACTTGCAGTAGGATGCTGCGGGATTATGAGGCGTTTTTATCATTCGCTTTGCATATCCGGATTCCCGTCAGGATGTCGAGCAAGAAAGCGGATGGTCCGGCGTAATTCAACTTTTACTTTGATCTTAGCGCAATGATGCTGGCGAGGGTTTGCTAGCAAAACAATTACTGCGGGAAGCCGAACTACTATCGCTGATGATAGATAGAATCATGCTCTGAAATCATGCGGCCGTAATGCATGCATTGGTACTGACGGGGCTCGGTGGAAAAGACTAAACAAATCAGCGTATTGGTAATAGTCGGCCATGAAGCATCATCAAGGAAGTGAGGTGCCTTTCCCGGTTGGTGCTAAAACAATTCGAAACATACTTCGTTCGAAGTCAACCGGCGGAGATCAACGATCAACTCTTTTCGGACAACCCCTCTACGAAAATCAGATCGTTCCGTGACGATCACGGAAGCCTTTCGGAGGTCAAGGCGTCAATCGACGGACCAGCGCATCGCGTCCGTGCCATCGAATTTGCTAGGCATTGCCGGCCTATCGAATATATACCTCTACTAGGTATTTCGCACGAATGAAAGCTAATGTAGAGTTCAGACAGCCCAAATCGTTGCTGGCTAGATCGTCATAAACTTCAAAAGGGGGCAGAGGGGTTCGCACTTCATTAAGTTCCCTGTCGTTATCATGACAGACCCATGCCTAAGTAGGAAATAGTAGGGAGTACATGGAGCATCAAGGGTTGGAACCGGATTGGATCTGAAATCCCACAATTGCTTCCTAGATTCGATATCATTTGCAGAATCGTGGTAATACATACCCTGTAGTAACCAGGCACAGCGCACAGCGCACCGCGCACCTTGACGCTTCGATGATCCTTACGTATTGGGCAAGAATCGAACGCCATTGATATCATCGACCTATGATATGCGCTAGCCCTAACAACTCGTACATGTAACTTGTAGAGAGACAGCACATATGTACATATTGCTTTGCCGCCTTCTACTGAACGACAACTCCTGGAAATCTTTTCTTCTGTTCTTTTCTTTTCCATTTCTTTCAGCATAAACTGAAACCACAGACCTGTCCGCCTTCAGGTATGTACAACGCTTCAGAGTTAACTTAACCGCCGTTGGATCTTGAGTGTCACGGACGGTTTGTGTGCTCCAGTACGGATTAGCGGCGTCGCATTCAGGGCACATTCAGGGGTCAAAAGAGCTTAATAGGCCTGGTCCCGTTTTGGGAGGGAGTTGGAGTGGCGTGAAGCGCGAACACCCAAATCGGCAATACTTCAATTCACCTTGCATCACCTTTTAATTTTCTTGACAAGACGCGACGCATCTCTATCGTCTACCATTCAAGATTTATTTTTTTGCTGGAATACTGATAGTCTAGGGTGACTCGTCCGGCACCACATTGGCAACGATTTTGACAAACATTAGTAATATCGCATGAGTGTTTTCGGCGCATCAATTATCTGCACTATCGATTTTTTTCCTTAACCGAAAACCTGAACGGCTAAGGACGGTTTCACAATCCCAAGGGAGGGAAAAATAGGAGAGAAAGATATTCTACAAAATAGAAAACGAGACGAATATTGAGTTGGCCAAGCTGCAACCGCATTTTACTATTCATCATGGCTCTCCTTGATGGACCCCCGCAAACCGTGGGAGGGCCGACCCTCTTCGGCATGCCTATGAAGCAGGTTTCCCTCATTACGGTATGTATTTGGACGATGGGAAAGGAATCGCATTCGCATGAGACAAAAGCGCAGTATTGGGGTGCCTACCAAGCTAATACATCGCTTTCTCTAGTTGACTTTCCAAAACTCAGCCTTAATTCTACTTATGCATTATTCGCGAATGATGCCCCCGAGCGGCGACCACCGATATTTCACCTCGACAGCCGTATTCTTAACGGAAGTGATTAAGCTAGCGATCTCTCTGACCTTTGCCTTGTACGAAGTGTCAAGAAACCTTGCGCCCTCGACGCCCGCGACCGTCATATTCGAGCAGATTTACAATTCCGTCTTCTCGGGCGATGGGTGGAAGATCGCCATCGCTGCGACGCTATATACTCTACAGAATATACTGCAGTATGTCGCTGTGGGGAATCTGGACCCGGTGCACTTCCAGATCTTGTACCAGCTTAAGATTCTCACAACTGCCGTCTTCACGGTCACTATGCTTGGTCGGTCCCTGTCTGTGAAGCGCTGGGTTTCCCTGATTATCCTGACTATTGGCGTTTCGGTCGTGTCTATCCCGTCCTCAAATTCGGAGGAGAGCTCGTTTATGATCCACGATATGACGGACCATTTCTTCCCTCGCTCGGTGCACGAGTTAGGTCAGGTCGCAAATGGCATGGGCGAAGTTGCGAGGGAGCTGACCAAACGCGGTATGGAAACCGCGGTTGAAGTTGGACAAGCGCTAGCCAAGCGATCGGCAACGTACGAAGGGATTGAGGAAGACCAAAATAATGCGCCCGTCATGAACTATTCTATTGGAGTATCGGCCGTGATGGCCGTGGCAGTTATTTCTGGCCTGACGGGGGTTTACTTCGAGAAGGTCCTGAAAGACACCGAAAACCCCGCTTCAGTCTGGACTCGCAACATCCAGCTGTCTTTCTATTCGCTGTTCCCGGCGCTACTAGGCATTGTGTTCAAGGATGGAGAAGAGATCGCGAAGCACGGGGTTTTCGACGGATACAACTGGATCGTCTGGGCGTTGATTATTCTGCAAGCATTCGGTGGTGTTCTTGCGTCGCTCTGCATTAACTATGCGGATAACATCGCCAAGAACTTCGCGACGAGCATAAGCATTATCATCGGTTTCCTCTTTAGCGTCTGGTTCTTCAAGGTCCAAGTGACATTAGCGGTAAGATACATATAACCTAAGGCAACCTGAGATATATGTTAGTTTACTAATGCCTCCTAGTTCTTGATTGGTACGGTTTTTGTCTTGGTTTCAACCTTCCTCTATACTGGCCCTGATCGGAAGCGCGGCCGGCCGCCACCGATCAACATCGTCAACTACGAGAAGACGACGATCGACCCGATGAACACGCCAAGATATACCGACGACAAACTCAGCGTTCCCGATCCGCTAGAACATATCAAGGGGATGGGTCTCTCAACTTCGCGTCCCGCTTCGCCACTGCGACACCATAACAGAGTGCCTTCGTCGCGGGGCAAGAATCGGGATGAATGAAGCCACGATGCATATTAGATAAAGACTACGTGTAGCGATCTTTGAACCCTGAAGAAACTTCGACCGCATAAGTGCCGAGCCGAAATTTCAGGAGCAAGTTCGCATGAGTGTACTAGAGATTCAAGAGCATCATCACAGGATATCATCCAGTCCTGAAGTGCGCGGCTCAGTACGTTTTTTAAAAATGTCGATGGTGGACCCGGAAAAGGTGGAACAGGACTCAAACAGGTTACGAGGACTCGATCTGGGAAAATGGAGGTCGGCAAGAAGAAAAGGATAGGCTTTGTGCACGTTTATATGAAGAAAATACTTCTCATCTTCGACTTCTTCATTGTGGATGTTTCAACATTCTTGTGCATTGCCTTGCCCCTATTGACCTCATCACGTGCTGTTATGATTGCCTTCATGCTAGTACCTACTGGGTAGGTAGGTACAATTGGTATCGTTTCAATCTGCCGTGGGAAAGAGTGAGTGAGATAGGATGGGAGTGCACCTACTACAATATCTGAGCATATACCCCTATTCATGCTAACCCTAGGTAGGTGCGATCCTTAAGCGAGATATTCGAACCTTGAACTACACAAGATGACGTTTATTCTTTCTCATACATCTTCATTCTATTCCTCGCTAGATTCCTCTATACTCATTTCCTTTCATTTACTATTACTGCTCACGTTTTACGAACATTTAGATCGCCTCGCACCATAGAATTTATTTCATTGTCGGTGCCATGTCTGGTGGTCCTGAGCCGGACGAAGATAGCCATATTTATGGCTTCCCAAATCGAGTCAGACGCGATAGACATATCCGGAACATCATCGACCACACTAATACCCTTTTCCCGGACCATAGTTATCAATTCCTACGGTTTAACCCCTCCAGCCGGGCCGACGAAGATGGCATGTTCATGAGTCAATCAAGAAGCGAAATGGGAGGTGATGAAGAGCTGGACGAATTTGGTAAGTTTGCTAGGAATTTCATTTCAGCTGTAGTAGCTCGACTAATAGATACCTAGATCGCAACTTGCTAGGCCGACCTCAAAGGTCCTCTCATCTCCAGGACTCGGGATACTCTAGTCGACGCTTGTCATTGTCACACGCCAACACTCCTAGTCAACCGCGGCGTGTATTGGGAGATGCTAGCCATCACTTCGGAAACTTCACCATTCGAGATCTAGACTATCAATCGCCATTTTCAAGCGACACGATTCACTCAGGGAGCATTAAACCAAGTCCAGCCTCTCGGCCTATTTTCGAGCGTGACGGGTCCCACAGAATGAGAGAGCTTCAACCCGGAGCGCAGATGGCTACGCCTCCTTTCTATACTGGTTAGTTGAGATCAACGCCTGTGTTATAAGCATATCTCTAGATTACTGATACTATGAAAAAGCCCCTAATTTGGCACCGGGCCTTGAACACTCACTTAGTAGTAGCTCTCCTATGAATCCTGGCGGGTCTAGTCCTTCTGCACGCTTCAGCTTTAATCGAAGGTCGAAAATTATAGATAGTCCCTTGGCGACGCAGAAGAGAGTAAGCAATCTCAACTTGGATCTCACACATGCCCCGGACAAACCTCCGTCGGTAAATGATACTCGCCTTATTGACCCACGACAAGCACTGCCTGATAAGTTTCGAACTGTTTTCCCCTACGAGCTTTTCAACGTCGTCCAGTCTAGAAGTTTCAAGCGTGTGTATGAGACAGATGACAATGTTGTCGTCTCCGCTCCAACGGGATCTGGCAAGACGGCCGTTCTTGAAATGGCTATTTGCAAGCTCATAATGAGCCCCGGAAGTGAGAATCACAAGATTGTCTATCTAGCACCTACGAAATCTCTATGCTCGGAGCGCGCGAAGGATTGGCAGAAAAAGTTCAGTCACATGAACTTGCAGTGCAGTGAACTCACTGGCGATACTTCGCAAGCGCAGGCGAGCCGAGTGGGTAGCGCATCTATCATCGTAACAACTCCTGAGAAGTGGGATTCTATTACAAGGAAGTGGTCGGATCACCGAAAGCTTCTTGATATGGTTCGGCTAGTTCTAATCGACGAAGTACATATCCTAAAAGATGTCCGTGGCGCTACGCTAGAAGCCGTTGTATCGCGAATGAAAACCATTGGGGCGAACGTTCGTTTTGTTGCCTTAAGTGCCACCGTCCCAAACATTGGAGACGTTGCCAAATGGCTCGGACGAAATCACTTCAACCAGCGAGACGAGGCCTTAACCGAGGCCTTTGGCGAAGAGCTGCGACCAGTCAAACTGCAGCGTTATGTTTATGGATACGATGCACATCAGAATGACTTCACTTTCGACAAGTCACTTGATAACAAGCTGATCGGACTCCTTGCGAAACATTCAGAGAAGAAACCGATCATGATATTCTGTTTTACGCGGAAGTCGTGTGAGAGTACGGCTCGAAAGCTGGCGGAATGGTGGTCAGAGTGCAGTACGAATGATAAGGCTTGGCCTGCGCCAACGGAGCGAGTACCTGTCGTGAACAGAGAACTCCAAGAGATCATCCGGTTTGGTGTCGCTTTTCACCACGCAGGCCTCGATGCCTCAGATAGATCGGCCGTAGCGCAAAACTTTCTCGACGGCCAGATCCGTGTCATTTGTTGTACGTCTACCCTCGCAGTTGGCGTGAATCTTCCTTGCCATACTGTCGTGCTCAAGGGAACAACTGGATATTCCGATGATAAGCCTCAGGAATATTCGGATCTGGAAATTATGCAAATGCTTGGTCGTGCGGGTCGTCCGCAATTCGATGATAGTGCGGTGGCTATTATTATGACCAAAAAAGCAAATGTTATCCGGTATAAGAAAATGATATCCGGCGATGAGACTCTAGAAAGCACGCTTCATAGGAACCTTGTCGAACATCTGAACTCTGAAATTAGTCTGGGTACTATTCAAGACGTCCAGACTGCGAAGAAATGGATTGTGGGCACATTCCTGAGCGTACGAGTATGTCAGTACCCGTCGCTTTATGGCATCAAAGATGTTAGCAACGCTGAAGATGCCGAAATGAGGATGAAAGAATGGTGCGAACGAGATGTCCGACTCCTACAGCAATTCGGACTGGTAACCGAGCAGTCGCCATTTAAGTGCACCGAATACGGACATGCCATGTCGAGATACATGGTTAACTTCGACACTATGAAACAGCTCTTGTCGATTCCCCATGGGGCTCCTCTTAAGGAGATTGTAAGCCCAGAATGATCAATGACCATTATAACGTGAATTACTGACCAGGCTTGATAGCTTACTACGCTCTCCAAGGCTATAGAGTTTAAAGACTTTCGCTTCAAGACTGAGGAACGCGCTCTATTTCGAGAATTAAATAAGTCACCCTTCATCCTCCATTCAATCAAAGAGCCAGTATCGCAGACTTGGCATAGAGTTTTCCTTATGGTACAAATCCATCTCGGGGGCGTCGAGCTACCAAGTGACAAGGGACTTGGTCATTCTAAGTACAAGATCGCAGCGGATAAAGCGGCCATATTCGATAGAATGAACCGCCTGGTACGTTGTTTCGTGGACTGTCGAGTTTTTGATGGGGACGGCCTGGGTACAAAAGCTGGCCTTGAGCTCATCCGTGGCCTTGTCGCGAACTCGTGGGAGAATAAACCATCGCAGCTTTCCCAGATCCCGGGGTTTGGTCCTGTAACGGTCCGGAAATGGGTCAGCCATGGAGTCCATACAGTCCTAGAACTGGCCGATAGGGACTTCAACGAGATTGAGCGTGTCTCAAGTAGAAATCCTCCGTATGGGATGAATCTATTGAAAACCTTGGAGAAATTCCCTCGGTTGGATATGAAAGCACATGTCATCCCACCGCCTGCGCATCAATCGCAACCTCAAGAAAGCGTGACGGTCACATTGAAAGTCAACCTTTGTTATTGCAATACTGGGGGACCGCCGACCTGGAATAAAAGAGTGCCAGCAGTGACGTTTATGGTCCTGACTACGGATGGCAATCTCGCATATTTTTGGCGCGGGAACCTGTCGAAAATCAACAAATCTTTTGGCCTCGACCTGAGCTTCCCTGTTGCGATTAATGGACCAGACCAGAAGATAAACTGCTACTTCAGTTGTGAGGAAATTGTTGGAACCCAAGTTATGAAGGTAGTTGAGCCTGGTATACCTCAGGCGGCATTCAACAATAGAAGGACACAATCGGCCAACCAGACAAGACCAACCATGGACCTGTTCGACGACAATATGGATTATGGCGACCTACCTGATGAGGATATGCTGAGTGCAGCTCTAACAGCAGACCAGGATGAAGAAATAGAGTCGCAGAGCTACCAGAGCCGATTGGATAGCCTCGAAGAAGATATTCCATTCGTCGACGACTTGCTATCGTACGAGGAAGGCCCTTCAACTTTTGAGCCTACTCAGATGGATAATGGAAAGTGGATGTGTAATCACCACTGTCGCAATGGTGGCCTCACCGCTGCGGGGAGACCTTGTACTCATCGGTGCTGCCACGAAGGCCTCGATAAACCCCGACCACCCCGACGAGAGAAGAAAAAGAATCCAAGTAAACGTGATATGGGAGATGAGAATGATAAGGAACGCAGTTCTGCTCTTAAATCTCCAACTAACACGCAAGTTCCCAAAAACGGTGTGGACTTCGGGACAGGCGTAACTAAGGGAAAGGGATTTGCGAAATCGGCTTTTAGGACGGATGAGTCTTCTACTACGCTGCCTACAATGAAACGAAAGCGCCCGGTAGTCGATAAAAATAAGGGCGTGAGGCCTTCGAAGATGAGCAAACCCACCGAATATACTTCGGACTTGGATATACTTTCCGATATTGATTGTATCGACCTTACTACATCTACTTCCTCCAAAAGGGGAAGCCCTCAGCGCCGAAACCAGGTAACCCAAGGAAGCAAAGGAACTCTATCCCTGAACATGGATAGTGGCAAGAGTCGAGCCCCTTTTAACTCATCCGAGTCCCATCTCCATGGGAATTCAGGAACGTCGAGTAAAACAGAGGCAAAGTCAAATCGTACCAACGTTGGCACGAACTATGATGAAGACATCTTTGGCCAGGAAGACGAAGACGAAGATGAATTTCCTGACGTAGAGAGCCTTATTCGACTTAGCGAATCAAAGGACACAGGCAAATGTCCGACAGGGTTAGATAATGATGAAACTCTATGCCCTAGTGTTGTTCACACACTGAAGGAAAGCATGGAATATGGTTAGGAACCAAATCTCAGTTTTACTACAGTTGATGAGTTGTGTAAGGCATCTGACCGTTTCGATTTGCCTTCAACTAATTCTTCGAGTCGGGATACCTGTCCACAGTCGGGTTTAGCGGCATGTGAAACCAAAACGCCAGAGCCAGGTTTGCCGTTGTCAGATTCGTACGAGGTCATTCAAACCTCCCCTACTCCCGAAACAGATGATCGCGAACCTCTTTCTTTCGACTTACATGCTTCACGAGAGAACGAGAATGGGGAATCTATCATTGTCCCGAACCATAACGAGCCTGAGTGGTTGTCAGAGTTCGACCCCGATTTTATCGATAGTCTACGTGGCTGTGTTAACTTTGTGGACTAATCGTAGGATGGTAAAAACGATATATCCGTTGCGCAATAAGCTGTTTGCTATCTTTTCTTCAAAGGCCTGGCTAAGGGACGTTTCGAAGTAATGTTCACTGATGATGTATTCGACATGCGGAAGCTTGCACCATTTTGCTAGAGATACGAGTCAAGATGAATGCAATAATGTAATGACTTTATAATTGGCAGTTGATACGAACTTGCTATTAGCTCATATGAAATTACGCCACTTAGCAGTCCCCGTGTATTCCTTCCCTAACTCTTGTATTAAGAAAACCTTTAGCTCTGCTTCCTCCAAAGGTTGCTCTGACCGTCCTGTGTATTGTAAATACGTATTGGAGCTTGCTTCTAAGGTAGTTGGATGCGTCAGTAGTCTCGCTTCCCTGGATATAAACAAGCTCATCATCATCATTATCGTCACTTTTAACCCCTTGTTGCTAATAATCATCTAGCCAGGTCATGATATCCCAGCGATATGAGATTCGAGTCTGAACTGACTTCCTAGTAACAGCGGTCACCTGCGCCTCCCCCAGAATTACCCTCAGCGAAGATGGCCACATCTTCGTCTCTGTCGGGGGGTTGCCCGTCGCAGAAGATTGTGCCACAGAGTGAGTGAGCACAGAAGTTATCTCGCCTTTGGCTCTCTTGTAGATAGTAAAGGACCTTGATTAATGCCTGTCTCTCTCCCAAAACCCTTCGGGGTCTTCGGCCCCTTGTATATCCGTCCCATGTATTATACAAGCTGCAGCTAACTAGCTGTTATCTAGCCTCTTGCTTGTAGGCCCTGACAGTCTCCGTCAACTCTCCATCTCCGGTTCCTCTACATGGAACTTATCTACTCATGTTCATCCCTTATCATAATCAACCCGCCGCTTCGTAAAGTTTCGGGCTACTGCAAGGTCGCGAGAAGCGCACCGTGTAGTAGTAATAGAAGTAGTAGTTGTTGTCCTCGCACTCTGAATTTATGTGCTAGATAATGATATGAGGTCGCGCTGGCCAGCGCGGGATAGGGGTTTGGGGAGGGTCCCGACCCCTTGATCCGAACGCGTTTTTCGATCGAAACGGTCCGGAGGGGAGGGGGAGTGTAAGGGATGGAGAATATGACTGAGGGCTGGAATGTAGGTTAGTACTATCTCAGTGACTATCACTGCGGCTGTTGTCTTACCTGTTAATAAAGCCGTTTCCTGGCTGGGACTTGACCTCATTTGAGTATCTAGTCCTCGGCAGCCATGACTTGGCTTTCGCCGCCCGGTCGAATATGCTGGACTGATGGGCAGCACATGCCGGCCGCCGCGGTCCTCTTGCCGTTGTCGATGGGTACTACCCATCGACTCCCGGGTACACCAGACCTCGGATCGGACCAGAGTATGGCCCGTAGGCGACCATCTTAGTGGTCAACACGAGAGAGGAGAAGACAGAGCTCGTCTTGGTGCTCATATAGCAACCCTAGACGAGAGTTAACTGGTGCTCCTTGTGGTATAATGTTGTTTACTTACTTGCTAAGTCCTCCTCGTTCTAAATTCAGCCAATCTTCCACCTCCCATCCTACGATGTGGGGTTCACATAATCGTGACCCCGCGGGTCTCCATCACGGAGTTGCAGGGCAGGTCCAGCGGTCACAACCTCTGTGACCCGGGGGAGGTAAACGAGGCGGTACCTAGGTGTCTAGGTATTATTTTGTCCCGCTTGGTACGTTACGACCCCAAGCGAAGAGGTTGTGCGGGAGGCACTATGATTTCAATCAGTTTCAGCTAAAAAGACCGTGTAAAAACGTGTGAAGTGTGGAGGTACCTTTATAATCTCCACGCGCAGTGGGCCTTGAGGGTTCATGGTTGCCGGTGAAAGAATCCGACAAATGTTGTACCGCGTCAGATATACGGCATTATTTTTACCAACGAACATCAAGTTGTCAAAGGCGCTCGTATATTTTACGAACGCCTTTCGTTGGTGAGGCGGTTGAAGAACCAGCCAGGACGGAGAGAGAAAGAAGAGGGAAAATTTTGTGGCGGGGACGATGGATTTTTGAACGGTGGTTTTGTGCCCTCCACGGAAAAACTTATGAGTCATACGGCAATAAAGGGAGCGGTGACGAGACTCCTCACAAAAGAGGACGACTCGTCAGTGGCCGAGTTATGACCACAAGTATTATTTTACACGGTGCCCACAGTGGTGCTAACCCTAGGTTTAGCTCATACAATGTACTTAGATATTCGTTGATGTGACGACCGAATGAATAAATTGTGCTGTTTTCAATAAACGTAATGATAGTTACCCAGTATAATGGACGTCAAGTGATTATTGGAACAGTTTAGTGCATAGTGATGCTCAATTTGGTCTATCAACGTAACCCTAAGCCCAGACGCGATCCTAACCCTTACCCCATATCCCAAGTTGAAGGAGTGTGGATCAACACCAGTCACCACCATTACCTTGTTACCGTTTCTTCATACATATACATCCTATTCGTAATGACCATTAATTCACACTTCACTCGTGTCCTTCTATGTTTGGGTATTGGTTCTCAGATACCCATTGTCGTTTAGCTCGGAGGACAGCCTTTGTCATGTTTCTTACGCTTCTAAGCATGAGACTTCCTCACGACACCGACGTCCTTCCAGGCCTTGCGAACGACAGCCGCGGCATCGTCACCAAAGAGCTCCTCGGCCTTGTCGACTGTCACATCCGCGAACTGGATGAAGGTGCAGCGGGCCGGAATCTGGCCGCTGTTCATCGTCTCCCACCAGATCTTGCCGGCTTTCTCCCATCTGTATGGTGATAATTAGTACTGACAGCTCATACAACGAAGCTAGGTTTCAGAGTGGCTTACGAGTAACCGCCAAATGCGACAGAAGCAAGATAGAATGCCTTGTTGGGGATGCCGGAGTAGAGATGGACGCCGCCATTATCTTCCTGGGTTACTTTGAAGTCCTTGAAGTTTGCGGGTTGAGGATCCTTGCCCTAGTAGTAAGTTAGTATCATGTAACGCTGCTACGTTAGATAAGGGAGTCTTACGAAGCGAGGGTCGTCATAGGCGGTGCCGGGCGCTTTCATACTGCGCAGAGCAACACCCTTGACGCCGGGCATGAGGCAGTTCTCACCGATCAGCCAGTCGGCCTTGTCGGCAGTTTCGTTCTCTACTCTCTGCTTGATCATGATGCCGAAGACATCCGATACATGCTCGTTGAGGGCGCCACTCTGACCCGTGTAGTCCAGCGGCGAAGTATGTTCGGTAACAGCGTGCTATCAAGGAGTCAACAAATCATCTAGCGGATATTAAGAGATAAGCGGCATCATACGGTGAGCTCATGGCCAATGACATCGACAGCTCCAGTAAAGTTGGTCAAAAAGGTATGGCCATCACCGTAAACCATCTGAGCAACTTCGGGGTCCCAAAAGGCGTTTTCATAGTTGACACCGAAGTGCACTGAGCTTATCACGTGCATGTTGTGGTTGTCGATGGACTTCCAGTTGAAGATATCGTTGTAGAAGGAGAGCACGAGACCGGCATTGTCATAAGCCTCGTTGGCGGACTCGTCCTTCGAAGCCTTCTGACCTTCGACACGAAGGACCTTTCCTGGAAGGTGGTCTTCGTTGGAGTCATGGTTGGCATCATATACGGCGCGATAGGTCTTCGAGGAGTCCTCCGCAGGTTGCTCGGCAGCTGTAAGAGTCTTTTGACCAGAATCGGTACGGAGGCCCTGCGCTTCCTGGTACTTGGCGTGGACTTTCCTAATGTGCTCGAGATCACGTCTAGCACAGGCGCGGGTGTCGTCGTCGACCTCCTCGCAGTCGGCAATATGCTGAAGCATATGATCCGGGACGATGCTTTGTTGCCTGGTTATGCTGGCCGCGGCTCTGCTGCCGCGGGGGGCGCACAGGGCAGCGAAACGTTTCTCGCGTTTGCCGACATAGTTCTTGTGGACGGTGAGAGCGTTGCGGGCGGATTCGCGGATGTGATCCTCGTTGTGGCTGCTGTCGGCAATAGCGTTAAGCAGATAAGGAGGTACTACACTGCATACGTGATGGTTGCGGGTCGACATCTTCGGTATCTGTGTGAACGTTGTACGAAAGATAGCTGTACGCTTCGGGAGGATACGATATAGGGACATGTAGGTAGGTATGGGATATGCTTAGGCAAGAGAAGAAGGATAAGGGTCTTTAATACTTAGAGGAGTGGCAATGTTGAGGTCACGGAGAGTAGAGGTGATGTAAGTGATGCTGAACTAGTAGAAGAAATACGAAGATTCTGGTTAGGGATATTGTCTAGGGTTAGAAGGCAACTTTCGTCATCTACCTACCAAGCTGTTCTGGAGACAGAGCGCCAAGGCGATTTTTATGTAGGCCCTAGACGGATCATGAGACGGAAGCAAGCTGAGTTAAAGGAGCTTGCCGTCAACGTCTTTGAGCCAAACCCCAGCTGCCGAGGATATGAGACAGTGATGGAGGCAGCTGCATCCTTAAAGATAAGGATACGAATAATACCACAATGCATACTGCTTCCTGGTGTGGCATGTGCTGCTGGGCTGACTCACGTACATAGCTGTAAATGAGATCGATATGTCTCTATTCCCGGGGAAGTGGGTAGCGGGAGGACTAAGATGGACTACGTTAGTTCAAGAGCTGATCTTGACTTCCAATTTTGGCTACTTTATGATGTATTCTCATTCACCAACAAGATCCAGGAAGAATCTATATCGGCACAACGTCAGTATGGGGCAGAAAACCTTATCTTCCCCATGTCGTCGTCTTTTAAGAGCTGTGCCTTCTTCAGCTCGGATAGGCCAGAGGCCCGTGGCAGGCGTGGGGAATGTTCGTCATCCGGTAGTTCAGGACTAGAGACGAAACAGGGAATCGAAGTTGCTTAACGAAGTGACATATTCTTTGCCACGGCACTGCCGCTGTGACTACCCGGCAGTGGTACGACTTAAGTCAATTCCATCCATCTTGTTTCATGGCGATGGATGCGACTTGAGGCCTCATCTACCAACGCTCTAAATGGACAAGGCGAGGCGGGTAGAGCATGTAAGGAACAGGCCTAAAGGTCGAAGGCTACCTCCCCAATAGGTACGTAGGTGCTAATATCCGCATGAGGACTGAATCCCGTGATAAGGAATATTCAGGAACATAGACGGGCTGTGTTTCACTCTGAGATGTGGGCATGGATATAATTCAAGAAATGTGACCTTGACACGTCGTTGTGTGTATGAGTAACGATGCGCTACGTAACTGCGGTGGTCGAGAACTTGGAAAGACACGTACGTAAACCGTAAGTGCCCCGTAGCCCCACTAGCCTATAGGTCGGGAAGCGCCGTAGAAACAGGGGAAACAGGGGTTGCGACAGCGACCTCAGCTGCTAGCGGCTTGGCTTTGAGCGTTGAAGGGGCCTGAGGGGCCTATGATATCAGCTACCGAGATCTACGATAAGATACGTGCGATACGTTACCCCTTTTCAGATGAATAAATATCGATAAAGCCATAGTGTGACCATTTCCTCATGGAAATAGAAAATAAGTGAAATGTCTTGCAGCTGATGGAAGAACTGGTCGTCGAAATAGGCTGACCTGACGTTGAGGTCAGCTGGTATATCTCACTTGCTACCTTATCGCCGTTACATTCGCCCTCCTTTACGGCCTCAACGCACATCCGCATTGATACATCGACTGATCAAGGGCGAACTGATGGGCGCGGGTAGAACTGGTTAGATAGGGGCTTGATGTCTGTTAATTATTGTGTGCCGAAGACAATTTCGACAGCATGTCCTATGATGCATTTATCGTGCATTTATAAGATAGACGCCCGCGACGGTTGAGAGGAATAGTAATGCTTCGCTGTTGGTTGGCTGTTTGCTTATATGCAACGATGAGGTTGAGATGGACCAGCGAAGCATCTATGGTTATTTCTAGACACCGATTACATCAATTAGAACGATTTGTTTGCCATTAAAGGCACTCGTTACCTGCGCAGTACCCTTCGGTAACGCACCGGTGTTTGATTAGGTTCGAGTACGAAGAGGCTCTTCAATCCGCTTTCGAACAAACACCTAAGATGAGATTCGATGGATTCTACACTGCTAAACTCAGCGAAACTTTAGGAAAGCGGCAATAAATAATATGAATGAGGGATATCATCATGATGCGTTTGTCAAGCACATGTCCCCCTAGATAAGATGCTCATTAGCCCCTGAGTCTAATAAGCCTCTGTTATGAGATGAATGCTAAAATCTCATAGGGGAAACTGTAAATGTAAAGGTCATTCACCCATCTTCAGCAGGAATAAGCTCACTGCGTGTACGACCTATCGTATAACCTTATGTCGTTTGCTGTTACCTCAACATGGAAACATGTCGAGTCAGAAAGCGCAAGACGAAGAAACTGGGCAAGAGCAAACGAAATTGGCGTGTTACTCTGGCAGATCGCCCCCTTTTACGACGTCGTACACTTCCATCTGAATCCTATCCTGTCCCCTCTCCACCACCCACCGCCGAAATTCCCAACGTATTTTACATCTTGGCTGCTGCTCCTTGCTCTCGCTACAATTCTTGAATACCTACTCAGCCTGAGACACTCAACGCTGCTGGCACCACTCGTTTTAAAACCCAGCTACCAACTCCCTCCCGTCTCAACCGAGACATCCACGCCTAGGTATTCTTATTCAAACCATTCTTCAGTCCAACGTTGAGAAGAATAAAGCCCATTTCCGAGACAGAACGGCACAATGCAGCTCCTCTTCCTCGTTCTCGCTTACTCGGCTCTCGCATCCGCCACGACGTACTTCCTCACCGTCTTCGCCCCGGACACCAACATCGACGGCGCCCTTCTCAACGCCGCCGGCCAGGGGTTCTACAGCGGCACTTCGGGCCCAGCGACGTACTGTCCCGAGGATATCGGCAAGAAGTGTCCTGAAGTACAGGGAACTCTCGTCTACGGAGGACTAACCGGCATGGCAGTAAGCACCTATACCCGTTCTCATACCCTTTCTTCCAGATCCTTGACACACTAACCCACCTCCTAGGTCCAAGTCCCCGGCGGCCAATCCATCTACGTCGCGCCCTCAGGCCAAGTCGAGTACTCGCGCGCGCACTCAACGTACGTGCCCCCCGGGTCCTTCATCGGGGGATGGTACAACAAGACAGTCCTATCAGACTGCGAGCCCACGCGCTACGTGCTCGACTTCCTGACCACCGACGGCACCAACATCGGCGGCGTCAAGCTGTGTCCCGACATCGAGTCCTGGATGTCCGGCACGGGCGCCAGCTACCGTCTTTACGTCGGCACGCGCAACTTCAACTTGACGAACTGTATTGATGCTGTGGGTTTGAACTTGAATGCCGTCGCGGCGGATGTTGGGTGTTGGCAGTATATCTGATGGATGGCCCAGCCGCTTATGAGTGGCGAGATACCGTAATGTGAAGCGAAAAGGTACCGTGAGCAAAATAGTGTTAGCCTTGATTTTGCCAGGACGAGCTCTTGCGAGTGTTTCCATAGGGATTTAGCATGAGAAAAGTTGGTACGGACCTGGTTTTAAAAAAAGGGGATTTGAGAAAAACGTTTGCGCTTAGGACTTAATGGCGCGATGCGACGGAACTATACGGTTAGCAATGAGTAAATGAAGTGTGTACTTCGTCCTTATGAAATGAAAGCTTTGATTTTCAGTTTTATATACCTAATCAACGCTACGCCTATTCCATCCATCCGTAAAAAGGGGCAAATTGCTACCTATATATCCATCTCCACATGCGAAAAGAAACCCCAGCCAGATACTCAACCTAATCAAGCAGAACCTCGACATCAAACTCCCGATCCGTCCTAAGCTGATACTGCGGCAGCGTCGGCGGCCCACAGCTCCCGGTCCCCAAACCATGGTGATACCAGTCCAACCTAACAATATGATCGTCCCTCTTCCTCTTTTGCAGCTCATACGGATGCTTGCACTCATCTATATCCCTGGTACTATACGGCGCGACGCTAAAACTCGCGCCCTCATGCTCGCCGAAGCGCGCGCGCAGGAGACAGTCCGGGTACCGCAGGTCGCCGCCCCAGCGCGTGCGCAGCTCGACCCAGCGCACGTCGGTGCGGTTTCCGCTCTCCTGCGGGAACTCGTAGTGGTGGAAGAGCGCGTCGGCGCTCCAGCCCCACGTGTTGACGAGCTGCGCGCGCTTCTTGTCGCTGTACGACTCGCCCGGCCCGCGGCCGAACCACTCGACGATGTCGAGGTCGCGCAGCCCGAACGAGAGGCCGAAGCGCGCGAAGGTCGAGGGAAGGAGGAGACCGCTGGGCTTCGCTTGCACGCGGATGCTGCAGTAGTCTTGCGTGATGGTGTACGTGGTCGTGGTGTCGACGCCCCAGGCAAGGACGGGGGGTGCCACGCGCCCTTTTACGACGACGGTGCAGCCCGATTCGGTTTCGGTGGTGGTCATCTGCGAGAAGTGGTTTCGCGTCTGGTGGACTCTCTTCTCGATCCATTCCTGGCCGTGAGGTCCGCCGCGGTCGTTGTCCGTGAGAGCGCGGTAGAAGTCTAGAGCCAGAGGGACGGTGATGATGTTGTGATCTGGCTTCGAGGTGTGCGTTAGAGATGATAGGGTGCCGTTTCCCGTATCAAAGCCGAACGTTGTGCCTTTGGCGATTGTGACGTAAAGCATATCGTCGGTGCGTTGAATACGCGGACGGCCCGGCATGGAGGGGGATTTGAGGAGGGCAAATGTTCGGGGAGGAGTGAGGGCGATCTGGCTTCGAGCTATGATTCGACCAGGAGTTATCCATTTAGTTCCGTTACGAACCATGAATTCCAACGAAAGCCACGCATTCGTTGATAAAGTCTTTGGCATTCCACCTAATACTATCGTCGCTTTTGTGTGAGGTTTGACTCCCGCTGGAATAAATATCTCTTTACCAATCACCTGCTGCCGATCGGAGATGAGTTCCCAAAAGCATCTTACGTGATCCAGGGTCAGGAAATCATAGCGGTTTATAATTGTTATCGCGGTTCCCTCTACCCCAAGGACTTGAATGGGCTCGATGGCTTTGCCGTATTCGTCAAGCCCAGGACCCGGCAAATGTGACGAGTTGCACAGCCCGTCCATGACGAAATTCCCATCATTTGGTTCATCAGGTTGAAAGTCGCCGCCATATCCAAAATACTTATCGCCGTCTTTAGATTCGGTGAGGAGACCCTGTGTAAACAGACGTTAGCATATACTAAGAGAGCCATACTTATACAGTTACGGGTTACTTACGTGGTTTGCCCATTCCCACACGAATCCCCCCATAAGCCGTGGGTATTTATAGAAGGCTTCGATGTATTCTTGTATAGCTCCGGGACCGTTACCCATCGCGTGGATATACTCGCACATGACGAATGGCTTCTTCCAATCCCTTTCCTCGGCGTGCTTGATCATTTCGTCAACGGGGGTGTACATTCGACTAAAGATATCCGCTGTCTGAGCTTCTTGGTCGCCCTCATAGTGTATGAGGCGTGTCTTATCAATCGCCTTGATAGCATCGTACATGGCCTGGTGATTTCTACCGTAGAAGGCTTCGTTCCCGAGGGACCACATGATAATAGAAGGATGATTCTGATCCCGCATTACCATCTGCACAGCACGATCTACGTACGCATCTCTCCAATCTGGGTTGTCTGATGCAAAACTTGCTGGATCGCCGCCAACTTCGCCAAATCCGTGACATTCGAGGTCTGCTTCATCGAGCACCCAGAATCCCATTTCGTCGGCAAGGTCGTAGAATCTAGGATCGTTTATGTAATGGGAAGTGCGAATGGCATTGATATTAAATGCCTTCATCGCCTGGAGATCCCATTGAAGGGATCCGTAAGGGACAGTTCTCCCAGATTGCGCATTGTGCTCGTGACGGTTAGTTCCCCTGATCTTGATTGGCTGTCCGTTGACACAAAAGACGCCATCAATCAGTTCCGTCCTCCGAAACCCAACCCTCTGAGTAACATACGAGGAAGAACCAACAGAAAGCACCAGAGTATATAGGTATGGAGTCTCAGCTGTCCATTTTTCTGGATTGTCCACACGGACTTTACATCTAGACCTCCGCCCTTGCGGTGTGTACGAATAATCGAATATGACTTCGCCATCGCCATCAATAAGTTTAGACGTGACAGCTTCACCAAGCTTGTTCAACTTGATATCTACTGCAAGCCACGCATCCTTATAGTCGTCGTCAAGGATCGTCTCAACACGAAAATCTTCGAAGTGAGTGGTGGTAAATGAATGCAACCAAACATCCCTAAAGATGCCGCTGAGCCACCATTGGTCCTGATCCTCGATATAACTTCCGTCGCACCGTTGATATACCTCGACGCAGAGAGTGTTTTCGGAATCGAGATCAAGGAATGACGATACATCAAACTCGCTAGGATTTCTCGAGCCTTGCGAGTAGCCCACCTCCTTTCCATTCAACCAAATCGTAAAGGCTGAGTCAACACCCTCAAATCTTAGCCGCCATTGATCTCCGTCCTTGAGAGTGTCTGGGACGGTGAAGCGTGTGATGTAGCGGCCACACTCGTTGTCATCGTACGGAACATGTGGTGGATCCACTGGGAAGGGGAAGTTGACGTTCGTATATTGCGGCCCTTTACCAAACCCCTGAAGTTGCCACATACCCGGAACGTTGATGAGCTTCCATTCCGAGTGGTTGAACTCGGGCCTATAAAAGTCCCGGGGGCCCTTAAACGGTCCAGGTGACAGGTCGAAACCCCACGTACCCGAGAGCAAGGCAGCTCTAGAGCGGCTCACATCTCTAGAAAGTGCATCATCCTCAGTATTGTAAACGTGGAAATGACTTCGAGGTGGTAAAGTATTGCGATGAATAACCTTGAGATTACTCCAGTCCGGAATTTCCTTTGGTTGGATTTCTGTGTGGCTTATTTCGAGTGTATTGAACACAGAAGACGTACAAGATGGATGAGGATCTGATGGTTCCGACCAAGGATCAGGATAAGACGTAGTGACTTGTAAGTCTACGTGAAGATCTGCGTTCTGTCGGATCACCAAGTTCCTCTCAGACGACCCAATGTTGTGAGAGGACATAGTAGAGTGTATATGGGAGTTAGTGATAATTAGAATCAGGTTATTAGACTCCCTTCATTCCAAGGTCCTTGCCCTAATACCAGTAATATTATCAAGTGATGATACGATCGTGAGGGCGCTTCTTAATTTGTGGTATAGCTGTCATTAATAGGATGGACGCAGCCCATGTACCTCCATCTAAGAGGGATAACAATACACTGAGGAAAAAGATACCAAATAATTTCGACAATAATATTAAGAAATAACGTTTTACTTTGGGATTGCTAACAACAATTAGACTGGAAAGCTGATTGTTCGACTCGGAATGAATTAAATATTGTCTTGATTGAGTTGAAGTTTGAAAGTTCCCAAGTAGCACTGTTGGAGGTGGACTAGGTAGTTGGAAGTGCCTGAATTCTAAATTGAGTGCCTAAGTGGTAGGTAGGTAGCTAGGTCAACTGTACCTAGCAGGTGACGTAGCCAGGGCATCAAATGGTTGGCTCGGGTTGTCCCGCCCTCATGCGGAGGCTGGGGGATAGAGTTTGGAGGCTGGAGGTTAGTGGGGAAGACTCCAATAATGGACAAAACCATCCAGTTGCTTCCAAGGTTGTTACTTTGAAAATATTCGTCTATACACGTGGTATTCAACTTATTGGTGTCGATTAATATGAATAGGGACCTATCTGTAATATGATTTTATGAGTTGCGAAAATCACGGAGTAGAGAAACAATGATAAAATCGACCATTCTGCCATTCAAGTCATTTTTCTTCGTTATTTATTAATATGATTTTTTGACAATGCAAAGCTCTCTCTACCTTACGATCATGGTTATGATGAAATGGTCAAACAACCGCCCGCGAGGACTGATTGCACTTCTTACCAATTACGCCACTAAACCAGAGAACGCCCATGGCCAACTTAGTTGCCCTCAGCTATAGGATCGTCCCGAATCTTTATCATGTTAGCTAAAGCCTAAGAAACAGCAGATATCAACGGTGTCAACTTACCCGAAGGTCGTCTTGATGCTCCTCACGTAATATTCTTCCCAGTTGCGCTTAGTCACCTCTTCTTGGCCTACGGGGACGCCACTCCAGGTCACTCTCATCACAGTCACACCGTCGACGTCGTTCTGGTCAAATTCAATTACCTGCTTCGAGTAATGACCTGCCGGCCACTGGTTTAATCGCCAAGTCTGGACAATCTTCGTCGGTTCCTCGAGTTCTTCATATTCGCCAGACACGTTGCCCCCGAACAGCTCAAACTGTCCGCCCTTCTTGGCACCGTCAAATCTCTTTGGCGGAGCACGGGTGAACGCCGCCAGCCGTTGAGGGTCAGTGAAGGTCTGGTACAGTTCGGCGGCGGTAGTTCGGAATTCTTCTTGGTCATTTACCGTTGTGGTGTTGACGACGCTACCTTTGTTGTTTTGGGTGGTAGCGCTGGCATCGGGCTTCGCCGTGTTAACGCCGCTTGGTGTGTGGTACTTCGGTGTGGTGAACCCGCTCGAGGGATTTGAGCCAGCAGCATGTTGGATGTCTTTCCCATGTTCGGCAATTAAGGCTGGGGTAAGCTTAGAGAATTCCTCGCGTAGCTGGGGCGTTAGCTTGGATCGAACCAAGTCCTTCACCGGCTGCTTCTCCTGAGACTCCGAATAGATGTCTATGTCAAACTTTCGCGAGATCAGTACTAGTCATGATGGTCATAGCGACATGCATCTACATACGACGAAGTCATCGGCTTCGGTGTCATGAGCAACTTCAGGTACGGTAATGGTGCCCGAAACATTTTCTTCTCCAGGCGCAGATCCTAGTGCAAGTTAGATAACTTGGCTGCCTTGGACTACGATGTATCTATGGGTTATAACGAACCGGAATATTCTAAGACGAGTTTCACGTCATAAATAGTAATAACTTTGCCCTTCCGTTGGCTTACGTCAACGTCACCGTCCATGCTGACAACCTTATTGATCTTGGCGGTGACCTCTCCATCTTCGGCCGAGACCTTGGTCAGATTCTCTTCGAACCATTGCTTAGTCCATTCACTGGCATTCTTGCTGACCCAATGCCAGTTGTTCGGGTTGTGGAGAACCATGGTGGGATGAGAAGGAGGATAATTCGGACGAAGTCTGGATTTGGGTTGGAAGCTAGAAACATGCAGCTCTGTCAGCAATTGCTTCTTCTGCGCGTGGGCAATAATAGATTCGATGCGAACAAAGTAAGTTGATCAGATATAAGTCTCGAGGACTACAGCTATTTAGTCATCAAGGAAAGGGAGTACAAGTCACTCTATGACTGGTGCCAGCTGGTGTATCATCAGAAGATCCACGGTGGGATTGGAGTGGAAGAAATAGCTGAATGGTAACTTACCGATGACAGATGGACGGGTAAGTTGACTACGGAATCAATCTATAATCATAGTAGAAGAATTGAAGAGAAGAAAACGTCTGCATGAAGGGCACGCAGCCGGCTACGAGAAGTTGTAAGGTTAGAAGAAAAATGCAGCCGAAAGCTCTAGAATTTCTACGAAATTTAGTGCCAAAGTCAGACTTTCTAATATCTTCCACTGAACCAATAGAAGAGGGTCTTTACCCGGTCAAACATCGGCCCGGAAACTCTAAAGTCTAAACCCGACCCGACGCAAGCAACTGCAAACGACATTATTGCTTGCCTTATTCTGTACCTACCCGCTATTTTGCATTTTAGTTAATTACCTAATACATAAACACATGTATGTATGTAGCGAATTCACATGCCTCAATCTTCGTGTCCCCTTATGAGACTACGGCGGTTAATAATATTCTTCTCGACTTCTTGATATACTTTCAGCATTCTCTTACCTCATACTGTAATTGCCTCCCAATGAAGCAAACGTATGGGCCAGTTTGAATTTAGAGCAAGTGATATGGAAAGTAAGGCGACAGTGAATAATGTACCTAATCCACAGATGACTTCAACTTTCGAGGAGCCATGAATAATCTCACGCGTCTTATGTCAAACTTGGATGCGACCTGCCGTCGTGCTTCTCCGGGAAAGCGAATTACCGCGTAGCTGCAGACATCGCTTGTTTCGTTGGTTGAGTTGTGGCACTCGACTGTCGAGACATCCTAGGCTACCTACATATATATCTACCTATGATCCTTGGTTAATGCGTTGACGTGGAAACATGGATATCCTACCTGCGGGCTACTGAATTTGCACACTATTTATATAAGTCGTTATTCAGGCAATTTCTGGGAAAAGTTCAAAATTAGACCACATTGTGTACCTAATAACAACCTCTTATTTCCCAGCGCCGACATAGTCGAAATAAGTTGGTACTCGCTTAGACAGTGAGTCGGCCCGGGAATTTGCAGTTTCCACGTGAAACTCGTGCTGCTGCTACTGTGATAAGTTAAGTGGCATTTCTATATATAAATACCCAATAGCTAATGCCAACTCGGAAGTCTGCAGGTTATCATATTAGCTTCACCGTACCACATGGGAACCGGGATGTCCTTTCCATTCATCGTCAATACGTAAATGGTTCTATCACAATAGAACATGGAAGCTCCATCGACTAAAGTCTCTGAAGCTTCTTAAGCTCTTCTTCGCTTGACTTTAAGCTCGAACCACCTAACCGATTGCTTACCTAGGTAGTAGGAAACTTAGCCTCGTTCATGCACAACTATGAGCGATGGATCTCAAGGTGTGTTGCTTTGCAGCGGAAAGCAGATTATGCGGATGATCAGTGCATATTTACATTAATATTCCGTCCTTTATAGATGACACAAGCTCTATTATGTAAAGTCTAACGATGGTGAAGGCCGGATATCATGAACTTTCCCCGCCCATTAAAGTCCAGAAGATGAGCCAATCACAGGTGGGGACATTCTATGTAACCGTTAAGCGCCGACAAGGCCAAACCCACGAGGGGCACGAAGAAGCTGACCAATGATATGCGACCCAGGGTTGCAAATCTCTAAATATAGATTAATATCCACACGATCATGAGCCAATCGTGAGCCGTTATTGAGATATACCAAACTCGAAGTACCGACACACTCTATTCCTAAGTCGGTCAGCCCACTAGGGGGGCCAACCTCTCATCACTCCATCAATTGATCTCCTTCTTGCTGCATTCCGCCGTCTTTCTCTACTCGTTCGCCTAACTGCTTCTTGATTGAACACCCTCTTCCATGCAGATCAGACCCATTACCATGCAACCTGGGGAGACTAACCTACATACACTAACCAAGTTAAGCTCATCCTTATGCTACTACACAGAGACCTACATAGAGGAACGCACGGAAGAGGGGCCCCTAGGAAGTTCCTACAGGGCATAGTCCATGTTCAAACTGATACATATGTAGTACGTGCAGTGCTGAGGACGAGGGGTCCTATGTTGTATCGCCCGACTAAAAGGGGGCTAAATATCGTATGGTTCCTACATTTGTCCAAGTGTTCGCGGATGAGGTGGATATGATCACGCCCATCGCTCGGAATTTACCTCCCATTCTGCCATTAACCAGTCAATCAGCCCGTGCCACTGTATGCGGACATCCTGGGATCTGCCAAGAAACATCCTTTCCCCCACGTCCTTGGCCAGGGGATCTGGATCATCGTCCTATCCAGTCCATCCATCACTTTTTGTCTCCTACACCCTCTTTTTTTTAACATTGCACAGAAGTCCTCAGCCGCGTCTTGAATGAATCTGTCGGCTCTTTAAATCGTTCGTCTCCTATTCGATATACGGAATATCGGGTCATGGGAGAATAGTCGGCGACAAGGTCGTTCTCCAATTCCCCGACTGAAGGACGAGTGGTGAAGGTAGCGAGCGCAGCGAGTGCCGGCCGTAAGGCACTTTAGGATATCAGTACCAAGCGCAGTTTAATCTACATCCCGCTCGCGCCAGCGTCTATCCCGGATTTATCTACTGTCGTCTTCCCCGCGCGCCTCTATTTGAGTCAGTTGCGACTATTATAAGTGATGATGACCAGTCCGCGCGAGAGTGCAACTTCTCGACTTCGTCAAACGCTTAATCCTTTGCGGACGACGGCTCTAGGCGGATTCCACAACCAGCTGAACACACCACATTCTGCAGTTTCAATCAGCTCATCGCACACTTTCGCCGGGCTTCACACGCCGGCGAGTTCTGTACAACCCTATAATCCTCAAGAATGGGTGCCTTCTCCTGTGGCCGGTCCTGAGCGAACGCGACAGTTCCCTCCACCATCGTCGCTACGCGATTCACAATGTAAGCTATTCATAAAATACCGTCTTAAGACGCTAGTCGGTGAAGCGTAAGCTGACGAACATGATAGCGGCAGCTCCCGCGCCACCTCCGCCTTATTCCCCTCCGCGCAGTCAGGGACCGGCTAGCACCGTTTATGAGACGCCTCCGGCAAACATCTCTGCAGTTCGGGTTCCCGCTTCGAGCGTTCATCGTCCTTCTCCGGAACCAGCGAATAGTCAGAACTTTCCTCCGCCGCCGGGCTCAAATGGGCGCGGTGCTTCTCGTGAAAGGCGCTTTGGTCTACCGTCTTTAACTCGACGGAGAGATCGAGGCACACCTGAATCATCGCCTCCTGATCCTCATCCTCCCACTTCAATATCCCGACCACAACCGCTTGCAATTCAGGTCCCTACCCCAGTAAACCCGTCAAATCCAGCAGATCCTAATCTCTTCGTTGCGCCCCCTAGTGCGCGCAGAGCGGCATCTGCGAGCGCAATTGACACGCCGACTTCAGCGCGGTCCAGATCGGCTTCTCAATCGAGATGGGAGCCCGGCATGCCTCTACCTCCACCGCCGCCGGGACCTCCTCCCACTCAGTCCCGATCCCAAAGTCTCAATAGGACCACCGATCCTGTCGTCTCTCCTCCTACAAGGCGGCCACCTCCTAGTGGAGTAACTGCTCTTGGCCCCGTCCCGCCAACTCCTGCCGACTGGGTCAATGACGAACGTCAGGCCGCCCGTGGTAAATCGACTAATCCGCTTGGATTAACAATTGATACGTCCGCCGCCGCCGCCGGGTCTAGTTCCCAGGCTCCCCCTGAGTCGGGATCCGCATCGGGCTCTGCCGGCCTCAATAGGACTGGTGCTGTCCGAGGTGAAAAGTCCTTGCGTGAAAGGCGGAATGAGAGTCGAACACGACAGAGACCTGAGGATGGTATTCAGCCTTTAACTGACATTATAGTTCCTAGCGGATCGGGCGTATCTAGAAAATTTTCGGTCCATAAAGGAACTCCACGAAGCGGTGGTAAATCAATAGCCGACGTGCCAAGATCTGGTGACGACGTGAACTTCGACTCTAGAAACTCAACACCTCGTCCGTCTGCCGGGCTCCACCCAGAGACGCCGACGCCACCCTTTTCACCGCGTCCGCAAAAGGGATATCCGGTCACAGAACCGGGCCACGCCATCGCTCCGAAAGCCCTTCCCACCCCGCCACCGCAAAGCCGGTCCGCCTCTAACTGTTCCCAAGCACGGCCTGAAATTCAAAATTTGATGAATGCCCTTTCACCAGCCGCTTATCCCACAACCAAACAAGCCGTAATCGGCCAGACGGCAGAGCAGTTCTGTCGAGGCAGCATAGAGCGCTTTCAAGCATTCGCCAACCAAGAAGCCGTTGCGGGATCGGATGCCGAGCGAGTTAAGCTCTTTACTGACTTCATAGTCAATGAGTCTAGGTTACGGCGTGAAAGATATGCAACGGCTATCGGAGCGATGGGATCTGAGATCTTTGATCTGACGCGGGATTTATTCCGCCCTATGAAGGTTCGGCGCGACTCATCTAACTCACAGTCCGGTGAATGGACGCCACAGATGTCCGAGACGAGGTCACAACGAAACTCAATGAATTCTGTCTTCCGTGAACAAGTCCAGTCAAATTCAGCTCCAGCTTCAGCAAACCTTCCTGCCTCTCCCTCTCCCATGAATGGAACGCCTGGAAACACGAACTGGAACTCGCAATATATGCCATCGCTATCACCCATTCTTAGCATGAGCGTTAGTGAGCATCCTGATGAATCTAGTTCTCGAGGACGGCCGGCGAGTCGGTGGTGGGAGACCGAATCCGGCGGGGAAGGCAATAGAATAGAAAGGACAAAACGAGAATCGAAGTATATGGGTGTACCTAAAGAAGCTAGAGAAGCTTTACAGTGGCAGGATACACCGGGAAGCATGGATAGTCTCGCCGGACCCAGTGAACAACATTACGCAGAAAACGAATACCCTCCTGAAAAGGTTGGGTGGCACGAATCGAAGCAGACGCCAACGCCTCATCCATTCAGAAACTCACTCTTATCCGTGGCCTCGTCAGCACCAAACACGCCGAGTCCATCTCAACTTGACATATCGCGACTCGTGACACTTCCACCACCATATCCGCGTCACCACCCCGCGGTAAATAACAACCACCCAGAACTCTCCTCTACGCGCACTCTCGTGCGAGCCCTCAGCGACCTGCGAGAAGTCCAAGCAACCAAAGACCGCTTCCAGCAAGACACGCAGCGAGCGCGGGACGAAGCCGCGCAAGCAGCCAGCACGCGCCAAAAGTCGCTGCGCGCAAACCTGCACCAGGAAATCAGCGCAGGCAACATGTCGTACGCCGAAGCGGCGGCCATCGAAGCCGACACGCAGGCGTCGGAGAACGCGAAGGCCAAGGAGGTCGAGAAGCAGGAATTCGACCGGTTCCAGAACGCGGTAGTAATGCCGCTGAACGAGCTACTAACAAGCCGCATCGCGCAGGCGTCTTCGCTCTTCGACGAGCTGCGCTCGCGCCTGTTCGTCGAGACGCAGGCGCCCGACCCCAACATGCCGCAGGAGGAAGGCGACGAGCAGCCGGAGCTGCTGGAGAAGCTAACGCTGCTAAAATGGATCTTCGAGGCGCGCGAGATGCTGCACCGCGAGATCTACGACCTGCTCAGCGACCGCAACGACCGGTACAAGGAGATGGTGGTCACGCCGTACCGGCTCTCGGGCAACGAGGAGAAGCTGCGGACGGCCGAGGCCTTCTTCGTCGACGACGCGGATAAGCGGCGTCTCGCGTTCGCGAGCGAGGTTTTGCAAAGGACAAGGGAGTTCCGCGACGTCGTCGAGGAGAACGTCGTCCGCGGCGTCGACATGCAGCTCAACGCGTTCTGGGACCTCGCGCCGCCGCTGAAAAGGCTGCTCGACAAGATCCCCGCGTCCCTGGACCAGCACTTCCGCATCCAGATCCCGCACGCGGAGTTCGAGGAGAACCCGAGCTACCACACGCACCCGCTGCAGTACCTGTTTAGTCTGCTGCTGCACGCGGAGAAGAGCACGTACCAGTTCATCGAGTCCCAGACTAACCTCTTATGCCTGCTGCACGAGGTCAAGGAGGCGGTTACGAGTGCGCGCGCGAAGGTCGGCGAGGCGGAGGGCCGCGATCCGAGGGTTGTTGAGGAGGAACGTGGGGTGGAGCAGACGCGACTTACGGACGACCTTAAGGAGAAGGTGCGCGTTGTCCAGGATCAGTGGGAGGGCGCGCTCGGCGAAGCCATGAAGGGCGTCAAGGAGCGTGTAGGCGAGTGGCTGTTGTCGACGGGTGGTTGGGATGAGAGCCTTGAAGATGGAGGCGTCGGCGGTGGCTAAGCTAGGACATGAGGATGACGGTATTGAGGACGACGGTATTGGAAGGCGATGTGAACGCAATTCCGTGTTGGTGTAATGGGACATCTGCGGGTGACGACTTGTACCCGCCTGTTTGTGTGATACCCCTTTTAGTTCATGATGAATGGTATGAATTTATGGCTCGAAGTATTTCATTTACTCTCAATTACCTCGGGTAAGTTTGGGAGATGCCACGATTATCCTTAGATAGATGCTAGGTACGTAGGTACTCAAGTACCTGATTAACGAATTGATACGTTTACCTATATTCAAACGCTTTCATCCCTGCTGCTCCAGTGCTGTTGTTAAAGCTAGGTCTGTTGATAAGGGTAATTGAATCAGAGGGCTAGAAAATGCCTAAATGATATGGCAGGTTCTCACAGTATTTACAGATTTTTTCTTTAAAATTTGAAGATTCATCCCTAGACTCGAACTTAGGCCCTCGAAGCACCCGTGGTGTCTGGTTTATGACTGGGATTTCAAAATATAGCTGGAGGTGATATCAGACCATCATATTAAGGGCATGCTATTTCTCCCTGGTTAGTTAATATCCGAGTTAGCAAGAGAGTTGAAGGTATGCAAAAGGGGGCAAAAAATGTCCTCAGAAATTGCAGAATCACAGGTCATCAGGCATTCAGCTTGGAACAAACATCTTTTATCATCATTGGACACGCATAACCATGACCACTTAGCCACAAAGGTCATTGCTTGTTGATACTAAGAATATCTATTAAGTATTATGACTTAGGTGTTAACATTGAAGCTCATCAGTCGTCTCTTTGATGTACGAGCAACAATACTCGTTATTCGGGGGCATTGTTCAACAATTCTACAACTCTTATGGTTGTTACATACCAGACTCGGATTAATAACACGTTAGATCCATTAGTTGGTTATGCTTCACTATGATCCTAACCCTCTAATTAGCAGAGATCTTAGAGGTATTAGGGCTCTCCTTAAAATTGCCTTCAGCAGTACGATAACTCATACTACTGTTCGTCCCTAGATTACACCCCTAAAAATAATCACGAAGGGTTCTTCATGAACATAAAGTTAAATACCTCACCCTTCGCTTGTTAGCTTCTCACACACATACCTAAGTACAGCCAGTTCTCTTAGGTGCAGGTTTTCAAATGTGAATAGACAATTTCATTCTAATGTTCCACATCTATTGGCAATATTCTTTAGGATAGGTACCTCTAGATGTCGCAGTAGACATATCGTATTGATGATTCTTACCTAGCTTCTTAAAGACTAATCCGCACCTCCGGCTATGATCGGGTCACCCCTGTCCAGTTGATGATTTTTAGGTAAATCATTTTCGCCATTCTTTGCTAAAATTATTGTAATAATATAATTGTCTCAGAAGTCTATTTCTGGTTAAATTATTGCCGAAGCTTAGAGACAATTACAAAGCAAAATACTTCCTAGACGACACTGTGAATTGCTCAAGTACTAGGCAAACTGAAGCTGGGTAGGCAATTACGACCGATATACCGGATGTGGGTCTTCCGCATTTTGCCCGGTCCCGACGTTTAACGTCCCGGCATCGGGGCGGTTTCCGGCCTTTATCTCGATTCTTGGTAAGGAAGTTAGAGCAATAACAGAACGACGACTGCTGCATAACGCTATCTGCGGCGTCGTCTTTCTTAATCCAACGCGGTAACAAAAACAATAAAAAGAATAAATTAAATAAGACTTTTCCAAACACATTTAATACGCATCATTTCTCATTCGAGTAGTAGCCTAATGCCGTTCAATGTTATCATCGAATTCATAATCTTATTCAACTAGTATCCTTTGATCCCATAATCCGAAGCCACTTCGTCCATTTGCCGTTGCTTAAGGTTGCAATGTCCTATATTAGATGATTAGTTTATTTTGCGATATTTAGGAAAATAGAGAACGATTACGAACCATCGGATAGAATCGAAGTAATTTGAGAATCCCTAGTGAATCTGGTTTGCTAATCGTGCTATAATGATTCGACGAATTAGTGAAAGGATTTTACGGTGAACGCTTTATATACAGGTACTTACCTCGAGCGATGAAGGCGATGAAGGCTTCATCTAAGCTGCTCTCCGGTTTGTAGGGATCTGATTGATCCCGTAACCCGGAGGAATCTCCTCTGAAGTCATGGGGATGACGACGGTAATGAGCCAGCAGCGCATTCCAATTGCGATGGTGTGAATCGCAATCGGGGCATGCCCAAACCATACCGTCCAGCTTAAACTGCGTCTTCTGGTAGGCCGAGCTGGGGTTGTGGACTTTAGTCAAGTGCGAAGAAATGCAGTGTGAATCATTTTTGACCACAGCACCACACTCACACATGAGTTTGCCGTCAGTGCTAACCCAGCCATCAGCTCCGGGGTGGCAAGGAGCTGCGTCCGGGTCGGCGTCGGGGAGGGCGTGCTTAGTTTTACGCCAATTACGGATAGTCACCATCGTGGCGGATCTTTTCTTCGAGATTGGGAGTGTGGGTAAAGAGGGAAATGATGGTTAATGGTAAATTTGGCAGATTGGAATGGAATTAGAGAATCTTCCTACGGGTGGTGTTAAATAGAAAATGGCCTTACCTCCTAGGCGGTGAAATCAGTAGTACCAGGTATCTACCTCAGTACTTTGCTTTCCTAGGACAGTGGTGATTCTTCAACTTCTGACTAATTAGGTTATGACAGGGAAATCTTTTGGTGTAAAGGAAGGAGTGGAAGGTACTAATTCTAAGAATAGAGGCATTTTCAACGCATACACTTGCCCAACTCTACCGAGTTACGAGGGTCGAATGTGTCCATGCATTCGTTCTAAGGACGGGCCTTGCCATAATAGTCCGAAGCGGGTCCTCGTTTGTTTCTTAAAAGGCGAGTGGTATCTAGGCAAGAGCCATATTCAGACAGAAGCAATGAGCTATTTCCTCGATTTATTTTTTCGGGTTGTTTCTTAACAAGATTATGACTGGTTGAAGCTCGACTTCGATGATTATTGAAGGAATGCACAGATCGAAGAAGCTACAAGCTTCGATGTTAGATCATGAGACTCTACGAATGATGTCGTACTTAGTAATACTCATAGAATGCCTTCCCAAGTAATTAATTGTTTGTCATGTTTCATCTCCACAGCTAAGCTAATTACATGATTGGGGAGGAAAGAAAACGTCTATGTTCACAAATCATACTTTGATGAGTAATACTTCTCTTTAATGGCAAAAGCAGATATTTGGTTTATAGTTTTATGATTATCTTCGTGTATGTTGATTACATTGTCGTTGTAGCGTTAACGTTTACTGTTGCTGCGTTAGCCGTCGTTGTGTTTCGTTTTCGTACTTGTCCTATTATCCACGTAACCCGCAGAGTTCTCCTAGATCTTTGTAATTGAGCTTACATAGTTTAAGTAAATGCATACCACTTGTTACATAAAGCTTGAGCCGGGCTGATAAAATCATGTTTTAACCAAAAATCAATAGCCATTATCATGATTATTTTATTGTGTCGCCGTTGTGCTCGTTGTCGTTTTATAGTAGACAGGTAGACAGGTAGACAGTTGTAACCTTTGGTGGAAAGAACTCGGCAACTGCTAACTTGTAAAATCTTAAGGATCCAAAACATGTCATGATAGAAATGACTTGAAACTTTGTAAATTCTAGGTAATTAATTTTTCATAGGTGCAGATCAAATCAAGCTGGTAGCTCGTTAAACTAACTTCATCCATTACCACTAAGTTTACTGTAGGAAAGGGGAAAAGGGCAAAAGAAGCCTTGTTTACATCCTTCTCAAACATGTAGCTAGGATCAAGCAACCCCCTGAACTGGCAGTAGGTACCTATCTAAGAATATGTAGTGAACGTAATGTACCTACACGAAGATTTATAAATGAGAAGTAGATAGCACATAAAGCTAAGTGTTTATTCAAAGTCCATTACCATATATCAACTTCATGGTTGTTATAAAGCATTGTTGTACAACCAAATGGATTATCATGTTCGTAAAAAGTTTCCCGTTTCGTGAGAAATCTCGATGATAAACACGGCGTTCAGTCTGCAGGTCTCATATATCCTTCGAAAGTATTTTCCATATAGACACATTTTTGCATTGATGCTGACGTATTTCCCTGGGATGATATACGCATACAGATCCAACAATCTGCAGAAAATCGAGCCAACTATGATTGATAACTGAGGTAGGGTGATACATTTAGTCTTTGACTGCATGATTCCATGACGCAGATGTTGTGGCACGAGGCTTTTAACTTATAACTGACCGCTTTTCATACGTCAGTTTTAACTTGTCTCTCCATGTAACCACTTACTTTACGTAGCCACTGCAAACTCTATTAATGATATGAGTAAAGAGAAGTTACTGAGACTTATTTGACGGTGATATCCTCCGTTTCCCACCGCATTAGCTAAAAAATGTCTATAGAAAACCCAGCATATTAATATATGTGCGTGTATTTATTACGTGAGATGTCTAAGAATTCGTACTAATCAGGGATGATCTTCACTATTTCCTTCCTTCATGCTTGCAAGATATTACTTTCAAAGGAATCCCCTACTTCCGTTGTCGTACGAAGTTTTTCGGAATTACTCCGAGGGCTTATGGTAAGGTATTACCTCGTACCCATATTAGAAACTCATGTAATATGGTCAAGCGTTTGTATAAGCAGGTAGCTTCAAGCACTTACTATAGTAGCGATGTGAAGTGACAGACCTATGATAACCTTTCTAGCTTGTCTCCTGGAGGTAGTGCATATGTCAGGCTCGTTTTCTATGACGAAAGGAATGGGGATGGCGCTGATAGAAGGAATTTTAGATGTGGAAGGGCAAGTATCTAGGTATCAAGTTATCTCTTACCTACTTTCCTGCATATATTGGGATTTCGTATGAATAGTAAGCCTATGTACGTGATGTCCGAAAGATCTATAAAGCGAGGGACTGCCCCCTGGAATTGAGTCCCTTAAGTTTATCATCGGCATTCGTCAACTTGGTCAACTATTCAACCAATCTACTACAAGAACACTATTTCGCGAAATATTCTATCACCACTAATATTGAAGATGCAGATTTCTATTGTCACTATTGTTACATTTGTATCCTTGGCTATGGCCGCTCCCAATGCACAGCCGGAAAATGGCGGGTTGGAGAGCCTTGTACGCAAGGTAAATTTTCTATAATGAATGACCCATACACGAACGCGGACTCACATTACTGCTATGTAGGATGGATGCGGTGATAAGTATAATTCCTGCGGCGAGGAGAACCAACCACCGTGCTGTTCTGGCTTCACCTGCGATACGGGTACCTGTCTTTGAACGATTTAACGAGATCGATCCGTGTAAACCCTCGACGTTAAGGCAAGTGTTCAATGTCTAAGGCGTATGTTGCAAGTGCCCCTACTGACCACTATGGAAACAGGTGTGTCGTATGGTTAGGGGCTCATGGGTAGACTACGTGATGGTCTGGAAGTGGGATTTACATTGTTGGAACAAGAAAGTCCTCGAGGCATTGGAGACATTCATTCCTACCGCGGCAAATTGGAAAGAAAACCTAGTAACTATACTATTTATAGGCCAACACACTCGTTTTTAATCCAAAATGGCTTACTCACCTGGGCAGTCGTGATGTAGCAGTTTGTCTAATTGAAGCTAAATAGCTGTCGCCTCCTTGTTGTATTAGGGTTGCCTTCGTTCAATGCCCAATTTTCATCCCGCCTACCTAGATGCTTACGTAGGCAGGTAGGATATTTGCATTCCGATGATCTTTGGGTATATGCTTTAGAAAGGCAAGGGAAAGGGTACGCAATGGTCATACCCTATTGAAGGAAGATCAACGATTATTCACGTGAATCCGTATTAACGTCCTGATTGACACTCGGTATTCCACCATAATTTGCTAGCAGTATATGCAATCGAGGTACTGCTTTGAGGAGTTCTCGGTTGCTTCAACATGAAACCTGCAATAAGAACAGGCATAGATACACCTAATGCAGCTGGGTATCGATATGAGAGACTCGAGAGCGTTCGGGATATCATTGCGAGCAGTTTTTCCAAATACGAGAAAGCTATGAACTTGCTTTTATCTATTTCCCCATGTTTATATTTGCGAACTCATCCCTCAACTCTTTTCGCTGCTCTTCTCGTATTCTATTGGTAAGTCCATACCGACTCGGCGGGCGGTCAACCTGACGCGCTCTTCGTCGTCCATGTTCATGCCTGGATTGTATCGCTCTAGTAATGTTGTATATTGCCTTTGTGCTTTCAGATATTGAAGCAGCTGGTCGGCCTGGGCGAGTGCATGTGGGTGCGGTGCGTCGTCCGAGAAATTTTGTCTTAATCGTTGATGTAGAGGTGATCGAGTTTGTGATGATGCTGTAGACGAGAGCGGTTTTGGCGGAAGCTCGCGGAGTAGCGAGCGGTATAAGGAGCGAAGTTGCGACTGTTTCGACATGGTCGCTAGCAGGTGGATGGCAAGGAGAGTCGAAGATTTGATGATGTAGGTGGGACTTCGGGATGTTATGAACATTACTAGTAACTTACTAGTAGTAAGGTTCTCGAGTCGCTCCCGCTCCCGAGTCACGGTTTTCAAATTGCGATAAGATCGATAAGATAATGCACGCGCGCCACTTATCATTACGTAAGCTAGGGAAATCTTAAAATTTTCTTAGCTCAATCAATTCTTTTTTTCTCTTTTCCTCTTCGATTATCCAGGTCGCAGGTGTTTTACGATGAGAGCACCGGCCTCCAATCTCTACTTTTCGGATTCTACAATGGATTTGCGTCACGTAGTCTATGCTGCGCCTAAAGTTGTTCCTCTAATAACCTTGAAAGTCTGAATTCGGTCAATCCGATAGCACTGCTATCAAAATGTCTTGGACGAAGACAAATCAATTCCACCAACTCCATGCGCTTCTAGCGATGCCAGCTTCGCTACGGCTAGTCTTGGTTGGCAACACTTCTCGACTACGATTTAGTCCTACATACAATCCTTTGACAAACCTTAGACACTATGCCTCGAGGTCAAGAAACAGAAAAGGGAACTCGGCTGAAATCGCTGCCTTCTCTCTCCCGGAATTTAGTCCGGCTGGCACCACTCCGGTTGGACACATCTCGCACGAGGAACTCGACAAGAAAACCATTTTAACCCCCTTCCGTCACCTTCCTCTCGATCAAGGGCTGAGAGCCTTGTTTATAAATTCCACTCCCAAACTATGGGATTCCACCGCAGATTTCTATTTGCTCAGGAAGAACACGCGCGTTCCCGAAGTCGCCATTCTTGGTCGGTCCAACGTTGGCAAGTCATCCTTCATTAACGGGGTCTCTCACACTTTTAGAAGCACGTTGGCGCCTACCAGTCAGAAGGCTGGAAGGACGAAGTCGATAAGGTTGTACGGGTTTGGGCCGCCGCCAACCGTACAAGATTTCGACAGCCAGGCGCCGATGACGGGCCCGGAAAAACCCCATCAATATTCTCTTTATGTCGCAGATACGCCCGGATATGGTGAGAATTCGTTGATAGCATGGGGAGACCATGTCAAGTTATACCTGGAGAAGAGGGCGAATCTAAAGGGGGTTATAGTGCTGATTGATGGCGTGGTTGGGCCAAAACGCACAGATGCGGAGTTGTTTAAGTTGCTATGCTCCTTGGAAATGAGGACTAGCATCGTTCTCACTAAGGTAGACAAAGCCCTTGAGTGGGTGAACCGTCTGCGCCTAACATGTCGTAATTTGGAAATACTTATCCGCAAAATTCGAAAAGAGCAGGTGGAAAAGAACTGGATCGTGGATTGGGATGTGTATGTTACCGCTTGCGACGCACGTGACAGTAACCTCCTACATGCGACGCTAAAGAGTGCGAGGATAGCTGTTGTTCGTCAAGCCGGTATGGTGGAAGACAACCTACCAGAGACGGACAGGAATAAAAAGTGGTCCGGCGATATTGTTTCGTTTGAGGACCTGCAGTACAAGACGGATGAGGATGCTCCCACAACCGCTCCGGAGGCCAAAGTGGTAAATACTCCTCCTGAGATTCGAGCCGCCCCCGAAAAGAAAAATGTCCTCGAAAAGAAGAATGCCCCGAAAAATTCCTTTTCTTTCGCCGAACTAGAACGAGCCTCGTCAATGCAGCAACGTGTTCGTCCTAGATTCGGACGGAGCCGGTTTTTTCACACTTCATCAGACGTTAAGTCTATGTTGGAACCACAGTCTAAGGCTTTCGTCCGAAAGTTCCACAGTGCGACCAAGAAGCATGGATCGTCGCAAAGTCCCTCTCGTAAGACAGATGAGGACGTCTTTGATGCCTTTATCAATGATTTGAGGTATTCCAGCACGAAGGGGAACTACGCGCGAAACGTGCGAGATTCACTTAACAAGAACAACTTACCACCTATGCCGCCTCTGCCTCCGAAAAGGATTCGAAAACGTACCCCAGAAATAGCGGGTCTGGCGTCGAAACTGAAAGTCAAGAGACTAAAGCTTGCGGAAATAGAGAGAGAGAGAGAAGTGGCTGGAACGAAGCAGAGGGGAGGGACCAAGGCGAAGAAAGCCCCGATCGATGACGATGATTGGCCAGCGATGCCCCAGCGAAGTAGCAAGAAGAAAGGTTCAGGAGGGTTGGGCGACATCATGAGTCCTGATGCATTCAAGACCATGGTAACATCGTCTGACATTCCGCCGGAAATGGAGGAATTGACAGGGTCAAAGAAGAAGAAGAGGGGCAAGAAATCTAAATCTAAATCTAAGAAGTCAAAAGCTGGGAGGTCGGAGCCGCTCGACCCTTTTGAAGCTAAGTTCGGCGATGCATTCACAGCAAGTAAGCAGAAGATTCCTGCTCGAAGCTCGTTTTAGAGGGGTTTCGTCGGCGTGGCGATGCGCATGGAAAGCATGCTGCGTTCTCGTCTATGTTGTACCTTGTGTATATCTATGAATTCGATAGGTCCCAATGTACAAATGCCAATTCAACTCCTACCGTCAGGAGCTCTAATGACCTATGAACTGTGAAGTTGTTGGTAGGACCTGGACGATTGGGTGGGTAGGGGTCTATATGTCCGATTCGTCTCGCGTATTTCAGTTAGGTAGTTATACGCATATCAAATCACCTAGTCACGAGAAGTACGAAAACACATCTCCATTCACTCCCAGTAAAATCCCATTACTCCAACGTTTTTACCATTACATTCGTATACTACGTAGCAGCAGCAACCAAACTCGACGCCCTCGGCGCCTTGGGCGGCTTCTTAGCCCTCCTCTTGCCCCTCTCCAGATCGGCCGCCGAGCCCGAAACCTCGGCGCGCTGGAAGGTGTAGTTCGGCACGAAAACGTCGACCAGGTTGTCCCAGAAGCCGAGGTCGTACAGGTTCTCGATGTCGCGCAGGCGCCAGACGCGCTCCCACTCGCCGACGCCCGGGGCGTCGCGCGCGTCGGGCGGGGCGCCGTCTTCCGTGCGGATCAGCACCTGCATGGGCTCGAGGGGCCAGCGCGTCCAGGGGGCCTCGTGGTGCGGGTCCTTGGCGCGGTCGCCCGGCAGCGCGCGCTTGAAGGCGCAGCCGTCGTCCATCTCCATCTGCCAGTCCTGCCACTTCATGCTCTCGTTCGTCGTCGTGCCGCAGTAGATCAGGTACAGGTGGTACGCGAGCAGGCCCCAGACTAAGGGGGAGGTCATCAGTGCTAGGAGGGTCACGGAGCCGACGCCGACGTCGTCTTGGATGCCCATGGTCAGCGCGACGAAGTACTGGCTCCAGGACCAGGTGTGCGGTTTAGGGAACAGCGAGAAGTTCTTGTTGTGGTTGCGCGCGGAGTCGGCGACGGCGACGAGGCCGAGGAGCCCGCCGTACAGGGTTAGGGTCGCGGTGGAGAGGAGCAGCAGGATGAAGTAGTGCTGGTTGCCGTAGCCGACGCAGTTGTTGATGAAGACGCAGTGGTGGTCCATCTTGTGCACGCAGCGCTTGCATACGGAGCAGTGCTTGGAGCGCGGCGGCTTCAGGAGGCCGCAGGTTCGGCATGGCGAGCCCGGGTGGAAGAGTGAGAAGTCGTATGGGTAGTGCGACATGTAACGCGAGTGCGTAGCCGGGGTGATGACGCCAGGATCACCAGCCGCGGCGAGATATAGGAATAGATACGGCAGGATGATAGATATGCTGCCTAGAGTCTTGTGGGTGAGGCTCAGGCGCGGCCATACCCCTGGTAGGTACATGTATTCGCCCACAGAGAGTAGTAGAATGAAAAAGATGAGCACCGTTGGGTGCCGATCGTACATGACATAGCGACCAAATCTACCTAGTGCCGTAGAAAGGCGACCAGAGGTAAGTCGCTGGTCCAAGGCTAGAACCGCGTTGGGGGTGTACACCCATATTGCGCGATGTAGCCAGGCTATTGGTGTATGTCTGCACGTCAAGTTAGCGCAATATTTCATTTATACGATGACAGGTACATACCTCAGAGCCGGAAGCCTGCCAAAGAATGCGACAAAAGTCATAGAAGAAATAGCGAGAACGACCAATACGATCTTCGTGAATGCTCCCATGGTCACGTCTCAGAAGAAATCGCAGCAGTAAAACTTGTGTGGGTTAACGAAACATTTGAACTAGTGCAGACTTTGATATCAATCATTGTCAAATCCTCATACACCGGGCTAGGCGCTGATACGAATCCATGTGAAACAGAACTCGGTGGAAATGCGCAGATGGGTATTATACCAATTAATGAGAACGGTCACGAGAGTACGATAAAAACTCGCTGCTGCTAGCAAGAAAATTAGAACAATATCGTAGACGGTTTTCGCCTAGGTCAAGTAATGTGCCGTCGTCAGCTGGGTGTTCATGTTCTAATAAAAGACTTTGGGTTGACACTTGTAACAAGCTGAGGTGTAGCACTTGGCGTACAGCGGCATACAGTGTCATCAGGGGGAAACTGTGTCTAGGTCGTCGTACACATTTGATTTGATTGGTGGACGACCTGAGGCGGTGCATAGGTCATTCAGCCTCTTTTGTCAGCACCTTAAATCGTAGATTGAGGCTGCTCTCGGTTAAATCGATAAACACCCCGCGACAAGCATAATACCTAAAACCCACATGATTCCCCCAAATCTAAGGAAATCGCGATTTAACATCACGCGTCGCATAAAACTTTATTCACGAGACTTTAATTATAAACTCCCAAGGTTGTGCCTGATCTCTTTTTTTAACAACAATAAAAGGGAATACTCACCCAGAAACTCGCTTTACCACTTTACATCACTTTTCCGAGATTACGCTTATGGATTATGAGAAGACGCGCCCAACGCCACCTTACATGAATGATTTCAAGAATCTCAAGGATCCCACATCCGATTGTTGCTAAACTCCTGAGTAATTATCGGCACCCACAACACACCGAGAAACCACTAGATTTCCGCATATAGCCGTTCATAACTTAGCTACATAAGTTGATCCGACTAATTTGTACTCTGATTGTCGACTTTGTTATCCATTTTAGGGCTTAATTTGGTTGTGAAGTTTACCTTAGGGTTAACTGAGGGTTAGGGTTAGCAAAATGGCTGCCCCTATTGTTTACGAAGGGGCCCTCGCCCCCAAAGAACATCTTCAAAATGGACTGTTCAAGAACATAAAATTCTGGGTAGCGCAGCGTGTTCCCATGAGGCTTACCTGGATCCAAAATATTCAAGTGAGAGGGTTATGTTCCTGGCCTGTTGCTTTTCATACTAACATATCGGACAGGACAATGGCGGCAAAGTCATTCAACTGGAGAAGGATGCAGATATGCTGATTGCAGATCATCTAAAGAAGAATAACCCGCCTGGGTCGTATTCTTACGAATGGATCCGGGATTCTCTCAAAGCTGGCGCTCTCCAGCCTCGGGAAGGCTACCTATGTGCGCCTGCTAAGCAGTCTAAACCTACTAGTTCAGCTGTACCTCGGAAGGGTACAAGGGCAGCTTTCACACCCGAGGATGACAAGATTCTCACAAATTGGGTTATGAAAAAGGAGCTAGAAGGCGAGTCCTTAAGTGGGCTTCAGATATATAAAGAACTCGAAGAAAAGGTAAGAGCTTGCCGGAATAGCACCCCAAATATGTCAGCGGTTGACTAATGGATTAGCATTCAAACCATACATATCAATCGTGGCAGGCCCGCTGGGTCAAGAAACTGCAATACCTTCCTCGGCCTGAATTGATCGATGAAGAACCACCTACTCCCCCAAACAAACAAACCGCAGAGCACTACGCACCTTCATCTCCATCTATACCGAGGACACCAGCTCCCCCAAGAGTGGGCCAGCGACCTACTCGGAATCCTACGTCTCGGAGTCCTCGGACTCGCGCAAAGTTTACTGAAGAGGATGATAGGATACTAATCCAGCACATTCAGCAATGCGTACTTCACAACAAGGCAATCAAAGGAATTACGATTTTTCGTGATTTGGCTAATGATGTACGTTTTATATTATCTTCATACTATATTGTTCGCCGCTAACTAAGACTAGTTCCCACAACATACGGAGCAATCCTGGAGGGACCGCTGGGTTAAACAACTTGCGCCAAAATACGAGGATGATATTGTTCACTGGAGATCCGAAACTACACGAGAGGAAACGCCAGAAATCCAAACATCTCCAGTACAGGAAACTACAAATATCACGACGAACACGCCCCAGAAGTTACATACAAGAGGCAAAGAACCGGCCCAATCTGTCATCTCAAGGGGCGATGATGAGGTTGGTGACGAAGGTGCAAGTCTGGAGCGGGATTCCCCTTCTGAATTTCAGGCGAGACCCGAAGCTCCAACAGATGAACCTTCAGATGCATCTAGTGACATGGACCAATCATTCACCGGTGAATTCACCACGAAAGAGGAATTTCGTCGTTGTTATAAGACCTTCATGGAAGCTCAAGACCATATATTTGTTCCTTTCCTCACTATAAAAGGAATTACATTCGAGCCTTGGGACCTGTGGGAAGCTGTCGCCTCTCAGAAGATGGAACCTGAAGAGCGTGATTGGCAACAAATTGCTGAAAAGCTTGGCTTTAACTGGGTTCAACATGAAAATGTTCACGATGAGCTTCGTGTATGCTACGAGAAACATCTTTCCCTGTTCGAGGAGTTCTGGAAGAACTATCAGGAGGAAGAGGAAGAGGAAGAGGAAGAGGAAGTAGAAGATGAAGAAGATCAGGATCTGGAAGAACATCTACCTTCGTCGCCACCGGTAATTTCCTCTTTAAAGCGATCATTAGATGCCCGCCAGGTTTCTTCCGACTACGCATATCCGCAATCTTCGCCCAAGCGACGAAGGCTCAATAAAAATGCAGAAATTCCGTCGACCCCTGATCACGTCAATGGAACCTCCAGTCTACGCCACCAACCTGCCGTTGAAGTGACGCCTAGCGCTCGTCGCTCAGCACAACGCTTTGCAGATGGCGGAGATGAAGAGGACGAATCCCGAGATACGCTGAACGAACTCCCTGCAATACGGGGTGTACGGAAAAAGGTTCTAGAGCCGGAAACACAGGATTTTAGATTTGATCCAGAAACTCAAAATATCATGTTCGACACGCAAGGCGATATGGAGATAGAATCGCAGTTTAGCATCACGCCATCGCAGCAACTACGCCAAGAATCCGATGCCGTATCTCCAGATATCGCAAACGCTTCCCCTACTCCTAAAGCCAGGAACAGGAACGCCACTCAAGGAAGTCCTACTCCAAGAAGGTCGATTCGGAATCCCTTCCAAGAGGACTCTGAAGGGGAGACGTCAGCACCTGCTACTGACAGTCATATTGATGAGGCCACCAAGAATACGGCTGCTGCTGGTAAAGCGAAACGTCGATCTCTACCAGAGTCATTTTCTCTCAAGCCATCTCCCACTGTTAATTCTACGTCAGTGCGCCTTAGAACACAAGCTCAGTCCCATTCTCCAGAATCACCGCGGCCAGCACATCGCCCGATACCCGCAAAAGAAACTCCAGATGATGTTATCGATCGGTTTTGTTCGCTTGGCTACCCGAGGAACATAGTCCTCTTAGCGCTACGGGCCACGACCTGGCGCCTTGGTGACGCGGGCCAGGTTATGGAGATGCTAAAACGAGGAGAAGAGTTGCCGCAGAGGACACACGGAGTTTGGACGCAGCGAGATGACGATGCCTTGAAGTTAGTGACTTCGGACGAACCGCCGAAAGACGAGAAGGAGAAAAGAAAGCGTGCTAGGATGCAAAAACGGCTAGAGGAAAAGCACGGTCCAGAGTTAATGGAGCTTCGATATAAGTATCTATGGGGGGTTGTATGAGATGGTGGCAAGCGTACACAGTGTAGCGAAGATGAATTCTAGTATCCTTGATTGCTATGGCTCATCAAAATCAGCATCCTGCTCATTCATACTGTGCCCCCGCATGTCTTCATCATGGAATTACACCGTACCTATGACAACATGCATTCGATGAAAAAGTACTATATATATGGCGTATTGTGCTTCTATAAGGACGACTCATGAAGTTCAAGGCATACCCAGCGCCATTGTAAACCCCGTTTACACCTCATGTATCATATATATCTTTCCAGACCACATGTCTAAGTCTTCGCTGCCAGGTTTACTACTCTTAATACTTGTGTAGTCGTAGACATTTTTCTAGCTTTAAAATTGAGTGGTAGTTGCGTAGGTAGACAGTTATCTGGCTACTTAGGTAGTATTGCCAGAACCATCTATCAGAGCATCAGAGCAGTTATTTCCATGAGGCCCATAGCATATCGCACTGTATCTTAGCATTCCGAATTAGAGCCACCTTTGAGCTGTCAGGTGTACTTTGACAGTTTCTTAGTACCTGTCTGCTAAATAACACTGGGTGTTAATATTAGGAGGAAGGAACAACAGAAGTCACAGAGGCAATAGCACTTGTGTCACTCCAAAATTTATGGCCATCACACCCTCCATTACAACTTATTTAAACTGCCAACTGCCAAAACTTTCAACTTTATTACATTCAACTTTCCGCCTAGTCGACGAGCACTTAACCTACCAAACCTACACTCTATCATTCAATTATTGATGTTTTCTCCAATTCACTCTCGGTCACGCATCGATCAATTCGACTTCAACAACAGCGCAATCAACATGGAACTCAATTACGTACGTCCCAATCCGCCTAACGAGGTGTTTCGATTGCTTGATCTCCCAACCGAAGTTGTCCTTGAGCTATGCGATACCTTCCTACCTGGCAATGGTCCATATCTCACCTTCAAGGACCACGAAGAGGCCGTAGAAGGCTTCTCAGATTTGGCCCGGTTAGCTTGCACCTGTAAAGCACTTTCGCGCATCGTCAGAAGCTTCTTCCACAACCGTAGGGAACACAGACAGTTTATCGGTATAATTCCTTACACACGAAACATCCTCCAAAGCCCAGAGCTCGCTCTCCGCGAGACTACGTTCAGAATGGTCCCATCACAAACGATCGGATCACTCGAGGTAGACGATATTGAATTATTTGAAATTGTCTCTCGGGCTTTAGAAGGCCATTCGCTCGGGATTTCCTTTCTCAGTCTCATGCTAAATCGCAACATAGAAAATCTTAATCTCCCAATCTTTTACGGGAAACGCGGAGATCTTGCGTGTCTCCTCCTTTTGAATCTCCCTAACCTAACCTCCATGTCCATTGATTGCTTCCCCGAGTATCCATTTTCTCTACTACAACACAATCCATTGAAGCTCCATTCCTTGAAGAGGGCAAGATTCATCGGCGTTAGGATTCGTCCAGGTGAGTATTCAAACGGTGTCAACATACATGACTTGCGGGATTACTACGATGCGGCACCGAACCTTGAGGTTCTTGAGTTTGAACGTATGGAGGCGTGTCGCCTCGAAACTCGTCTGCGTCATGTTCACTCCTTAAGCTTAATCGACTGCTACTTAGGAGTGGACGATGTGGATAGACTCCTAGGCAACAGAGATGGGATGCCAATTGAGCGTTTTACTTATATTACGGGCCTCCATGGTAATTACTTGCGCAAGAAGGCCGCTGCCCAAGGCCAGGAGATGCTTCCAAATAATCTGGTCAAGTCACTCAAGCACAGCAACTCTCGTAACCGTCTTGAAACCCTCAAGGTCGATCTCCGGGAACGAGGCGACTTCTCGACAAGCTTGGAAGCCGTAAAAACCTTGGACTGGTGGTATCATTTCCATGAACACGATGCCGTTTCGCATTTTATGACGACACTGAAATTTTTCCCGTCGCTTCGTCACGTTACTCTGACGCAACAGTGTCTCTGGGAGCCGTATTACAACTGGGCTGACGGTTTCGAGAAAGACACGAGTCTAAGGAACCCTACAAGGCTAATTCATTTGCTGCCTGAGACCATCGAATCTTTCACTCTGGTGGATGTGACCGTGGAATTCATCCCTGCTATCATCAGCCTTGCAGCGGTTGTCAACAGCAAGCTGCGGTTCCCGAATCTGAATCGGGTAGGATTACGCCCTCACCCGGACCTAATTCGACAACATTCCCATGCGAAGGCACACGCGGATGATCCTAGTTTACCAAGAGGCATTTCGAACGATATGCGCTGCATCGTGGATTCCTATCTCGAACCATATAGGGCAATGATAATCCGACTATTTCAGTACGCAGGAGTGGAGGTTGAATTTCCGCTGGAGGTCTACCCAATCCATACACGCGACGAAAAGGACCTAGAGCGTCAACGACGCCTAGGACACTGGTGCCGCGAGTGCCACTTCCATGGTAAGTGCTTTACTTGGCGCCAGATTTTAGCATAGTAACTGATGGATCATCTGTAGGTGACACTCTACGTGAAGTCAGTTTGGATAATGTGGGGGAAGAAGGAGGGTGTGTTTCTGCACATAAATGAAAGGATATTCTGATTCTGGATATATTTTAATAATGGATTTCGAATTTAATATGAATCATCCTGGGAGATTGATTTTTGTAAGAAAGGGGCATTGTGGAGCTAGCATGTCCAAGAAAACCCCTAGGACGATGCTTAACCATAACGAAATGGGAGATACTGGTTTTCGGGTCTGTATATAGGACCTGAAATATGACAGGAATTGAGAAATTATGAAAAAGACTGACTGTATTGCTTGAGTCTTCATTACGTGGTTCTAGGTTGATGATGAATGTCCCCCGAATCACACTTAGTCGCCATCAAATGGCAGAGAGGTTAGCTTAAACCTCCCTAATCTTTATACGGGTCTGAATTCAATTCAGTCTACAGTGTTATGACTAGTAAGTTTCCAAGATAATCCATATTTAGGAGGCTACAACTAGGTATGCATGGCCAGGTAGTCATCGTTGGGTAGATATGAGAACTTGCACGAGGCGTATAAAGACACTTAAAAGGTACGCATTCCAGAGACTATACCTATGAATACCTATCCAATGGCGTACTGGGAAAGTCATATTATGCTGTGGATGTCTACCGAAGTTACCTAGGCGGGTAGGTATCTAGGTATAGCTTTTCTAATTAACAAAACATTTAAAATCCAAGATTTCTCTCATTCAGAGAAAATGAAAGGCCACAGAAAGCTGCCGAGTGGCCAAAGTTCTATCGGTAGCTATACATGGGGATACAATGTGCTAACCCCTTTACCCTACGTCAAAGCAATCATATCGCTCTTGGTCACTCGAATTGAGCCATCAATGGCTTGCTAATTATAGAAATTTCTAGTAGAAACTATTACTTTGAAGTCAATGACTGACGTAGTATTGAAAAGCCTTATAAAACTATGCGCCGTAGCCCGCGTATGTGGTAACCCCTTAAGTCATGTAATCTACAAATACGACCTTGCACACTAGAAGCCACATTGCCAAAGCTCGAAACTCAGACCAATACCTCATTTGGTCTTCCTGGTAAGAGGATGCAACATTCGGACTAGACGTAATGCCCATGCCAAACATAGACCCCATCATACCGGGTCCATTCCAATGTGGTGGCAATGACCCACGGAACCTCCCAGACCTCGACGACGAATACTTGGACGATTTAACGGCAGTGCTGAAGGCCCTAGCTAAAGGAAGTTATCCTCGTTTGGACTCGGTTCCGCTCGCGCTCAATGCCTACAACTGTAACCGGAAGGAGGACATAGATCCGTGGGCTTATTTCCACCCGGTCACCATCATCACACCCCTGGACGCAACAATGAAGGTATTGCCAAGTATCGAACTAGACGAAGACGTGATAGATGACCTAGCGAAGCCATGGGATCCCATACGGTACACCGGAGGCCAATTCAACAGAGAAGAACAACGATTCGAGAGAGGAGAGTGGACTCCGCCACCGGGTTCGGCACGATACCGATTCTTGTGCTTCATACACAAACATAGGATCGATCGTAGGAGCACTAGTCAGAAGGGCGTGCATACGATTAGCATCTGGGACCGCGAGGTGAGTCCCAATCTGATGATGCTTCACATCGCCTTTAGCTAACAGATGCGAAACCGCGTAGTGGGACGAGCTCACTTGGCACGACACGTACCACGTGGGCCGCGAGGTGCGCATTGGCGAGATCCAGCGGTTCTGGCGGTGTGTCAACATGCCGAACCTAATCGGGCACGGCTACAATCGGGAGCAATTCCTGAAGCGCATACGTTACCGCATCGTGTACGATATCTGCGAGCACATCGAGGACACTCTACGAGATGCCGGTGAGTGTTCTCATAGTTGCCCCACTTAACCCCTTATTTCTCCTTATTTTCTCTTCCTTTTCCCCAACCCCAAGCTCTAACCAAGATGGATATTACTGACTTCCTCCATCCCCCAGTACCGCCGCGAAACACCCTCTACGCCGTCATCGGCGCGGCCCTGCACCACATGAACAACGCGTGCGACCCGCAAGTCAGCATCGTGCCGGACCGGCTCGAGCTCTTCGGCGCGCAGGCCCTGCCGCTGCTGCCGCGCTTCTTCGCGCACCTGCTGTGGCTGTGCCTCGACGCGCGGCCCGGCTGGACGCGCGCCGAGCAGGAAGGGTTCGTCAGGCAGTTCCGCATCCTGGAGAGGCTGCGCTGGATGCGGGTGCTCGTGCGCAGGGACCTCGAGCGCAGGATGGCGGAGGAGGAGGAGATGGAGGATGAGGAGGGTGGTGGGGATGGGGAGGTTAGGGAGTGGGTTTTTGAGGTTATGGGGATTTGAGAGCTGGGTTTTGGTAATTCCATGTTGTGTTGAAGGGTACGAAGGCTTTCACATCGAAGCGTTGTATGTGGAGTGAGACATAGACTGCGGTTTGCTGTCTGCTGAACTATTAGCATATCAGATCGTTCCTATGAGTTAGAATGCAGGTCCATACATGATGCAACCGAAAGAACGTTGCAGACACATAGTTCATAACTAAACGCAATATGGGTATCAAACCCATAAACACGCTAGGATACCAAGATCACGAGAAGGGCTTTAGTAACAGCTTCGATATAACCCCCCAAAAAACTCGAAGCTAGCCCCTCAACATTCTACCCAATCTGCCGCATAGGCAGCTGGCCGAACCGCCTAGCTACTCTTACTACTCTTACTACTATCACTACTCGAGCTCCCCCTCCTCTTATGCCCCTTATGCTTCTTCTCCTTCTTATGCTTCTTCCCCATCTTATGCCCCCCATACGCGCCCGCCAGACCCACCAGCCCCGCCGCGGGAGCGAACCCCGACGACCCTCCTCCTCCGTGCCCGCCGTACCCACCGCCGTACCCACCCTGCGCATGTCCACCTCCTCCTCCGTACCCGCCGTGTCCACCGTGTCCAGACGTCTTGCCGCCGAGATAATGCGCCGCAGCCGCCGCACCCAAAGCCGCGAGCGGTGCGCTACCGTGGCTACCGCCGTGTCCGTGTTTACCCCCTCCTATAACGCCGCCTAGCATCGAACCCAGTCCCTTGTTATCGGGGTTGTGCGGGTCTGCGTACTGCTGGTACTGCTGGTGCTGCTGCGGCGGGGGTTGGTGAGGCGGGTACTGGCCCGCTGGGGGCGAGTACTGACTTGGATAACCCTGAGGAGGCGGGTACGCTTGGCTGTGGCCTGAAGGAGGGCGGTGGTCGTATGGAGGAGGGGCGCCGCCGCCGGGGTACGGCGAATGGCTTCCGTGTTGGGGTGGCGGCGCGCCGTAGCCTTGGTTCGGCGGGTAGGGTGAGTATTGGCCTGGCGGTGGCGAGGCGTATGCATTTGGAGAGTGTGATGGCGGGGGTGCGCCGTATTGGTTGTGGCCGCCGTACTGGTTATGTTCGGGTGGGTATTGGCCCTGGGGCGGGTACTGGTTCGGAGGGGAGTATTGGCCTTGAGGAGGATACTGGTTTGAGGGCGGATATTGGTTCGATGGGGGGTATTGGTTTTGGTACGGGTTTTGCGCTGGGGGATAACCTCCGCCGCCACCGCCGTGAGAGCCGTAGTATTCGTGGCCTGACATATCTTATATCTTTCTTTCGATGTTTGTAAATGCGAAGGCGATTGAGGAAATGGGGTAAATGGAGGGAAAGAGATGTCAGGAGTAAGCTTGAGGAGGATTTATAAAGAGCGGTTCGTGAGGCCTCATTTTTGACAGTGACGGGTAAGTAAGCTAAGATGTCAGGGGTAAATAGAGGGGCAGATGCGCGGACAGGTTACGCATTAGGCAGTTAGGGACAAAAGAAATTGTCGTGACGCGGTGATCCTTCCATGGCGTCGCTACGTATCGCTAAGTACCTAAGTACCCGTCTAAGCATTGATTGGCCAATCGTGTGGCTGTGCTACCTGAACCCTTAAACGCGAAAACTCGGTATAACTATTCCCCGCTCATCAGCCTTGTGGGTCATGGCCGTTACGTGCCTGTCCCGAAGGAAGGGAAATGCGGGGCTAGCTGAACGCTATCGTAAACCCTGTACGATTTTGTGTAACTTGTGGCGTTTCCAGCACAGCCCAAGCGTTTCTTCAAATTATTCCCTTTCAAGAGCAGTAAATCAATTTGATATGACGGTATCTTACGAAACAATTCAATCCTTATAAATGGTTCTCTGGTGATGGTGAGGCCTGGAATTGGGATTCATACCAAGGGCTACAGACTTTTACGTTTTCGATTCTAACTCCTTCATGGTGTACTGCTGCAAGCTTCGCCGGCTTGATTTCAGCTTCGCATATAGCTTCTGCACTTTCAATGTTATAAAACCGAAAAATGAGTGCTGGGGCTGAGTAAATGTTAGGAAAAGGCAAATCAGTACAAGGTCTAGTGTAACCACCCATTCTGAGACTCCGAGCCGTACCAGTCCTAGGTGGTCAGGTCAATTCCTTGTTGTGAATGCCGCCTTCTAACTACGCTACTATGCACATATATCCGTTCAGACGACCGGTCAGAGTGTGCTTTAGAAATACACGCCACATTGCGCCTGTTAAGTCATATCGGCGAGTGGAAGAAAGCCACGACATGTGCGCTAACAGGGATGTTGGTGACGTTAGATTAGTGGTTACTGGGAAGTAAGGGAAGCTCGAATCGATGGAAATCCCGAGAAACCATTCTACTATCTTACATAGGTAGACTATGGCATACCTGAGAAAACAGCCATTCGACCGCGAAGAACGTTTCCTTCGTAGTTTAAACAGAGGATAGCATTGAGGCTTTTGCCTACCTAGTCCTAGCTCAAATGCTGTTCAATTGCACGGAAGGATCTTTATATACATAGGTTACCTAGTAAAGGCGTCGAAGTAATTAATTACCTAGGCATTTTGATACATAATGAATTTACGAAGGGTATCGAATGTGTGCTAGCGACCGACTGCTGCTGCTAGATTCTCGGATTGATCAAAAACTTTTCCCAAAATTATTGCTGTCGTGCGTCCCAACTCCGAAACGAGAAAAACCTCCCCCAGAGACTCCTTTATGAATGCCAACATTGCCTAGATATTACTTCTCTACCATGACATTACGGGTGACATTGCTCTGCTTCCGCCAAGTGGTGAACTCCCATAGCACGAGGATCGTGAAGCCGAGCTGGATGATGAACATCGGGATCAGGTTGTATTGCCACCCTCTCATAACGGACAAATGGCTTTGGATGTCGCTTCTCGCGTCGACTAGGTCTAGCTGAAGTACAGCCGAGAACCAGTTTTGCGGTGTCCAAGATTGTTCGGGATAGGGACTGCCATTCAGACTTGCAGCCAGCGAGGCGTCGATCGTCTGCCCGTCGTGCGCGTTGGTGACCGCGAATACGTAGGCGAGCGCGCCTATCGTGAGGAGGAGTGCCGGGATGTTAAGCCCTACCCAAAGGTAGTATAGGAACCGAGCGAAATTTCCCAGCCCGCCCACTTTGTCGCGAGCCCAATACCGAAGCCAGAGAGACACGATGCCGCCGAGTCCGATGAGGACAAAAGCGGTTCCGGCAGCACCATTACTCGTATGGCCTTGATCACCTATCAAGTTTAGAGGTTTGCCGGCTAGGAGATAGGTTGTGCCATCTTGGTTGACGGTGAATCCTTTGCTGGCTGTCCGGTGTAACCATGCGACCATGCTGCTCACGAACGACAGCTCGATAATCGAATCGATCATGAGCAAGCCTAGAGCGACTTTCAAGGCGAGTGATGTCTTCCACATCTTGCTTTCGATTTATCCTCCTTTGTCCTGTTGTTGAGAGCGACAGAACGACGGTCGGTCGGGGAGTGAGAGGCAAATGAGAAGGTCACTCCCTTGCTTGGGAGAGCGAGCCTGATTGATTTTATGACGGCTCATTTTCAGAAGCCCGAGGCTCTGTCCGTTACCTTGGGTTAGGGCTGACGATATCGGGGTGTCCGGAAATGTGCAGAAATCGCCAATTATACATTCTTGTTAGGTTCGCTATTCGCGTCAGCTGAGATTTATTGGCTGATTATTTGGGTAGCGCTATGCATATAAGATGACGGTGATATTGAATCTCACCCTCCACGAGGCGCGAGTGGCTCCATCGTATTCCAGCCCCCAACAGCCAAGAAACAACCCCGAAAGCGATGGCGTTGATCTGCGGGCCGCAACATGGTTTTCACATGAACTAGACTCGCTAATTTTATCCCAAATACAATCATTGCCTACATGGGTTTTTGATATGAGTTAAGCGCAATAGGGCGCACCACTCTGAGATGAAAAGCAAAAGCCCATTTACCTACCAGGTAATGGTGGACTTTTGGACAGGGTATACATAGGTAGTAAACGTGGAGTTGGCCGCTTATTTGATTGCCTACCCGCTTGGAGAGGCTCGTTGGGGGCTTTTAGGACAACACGGGCGATGATTAATGCATCATACCTGGTGTAGTTGTCGCACTGCATGTTTGTCCCATTTAGGACACGAGAGTTAGCGAATAAGACGAGAAGAACAATATGCGTGTTGGAACGAAAGCGTTGGATGTTATGTCAATTAAAAATTATACAGATTATAAAACACCCTAATACGAATAAGGCAATGATATCTCCGCACTATCACCAGCCCTACACCACCGGGGTCTAAATAGTAAGAGACCTGGGCAGGCCGTCCGAGACATGCAGAACTTTCACCTGTTCTTGATAAGAAGCTGCTTCTCCTTCTGCAAATTTTCGGCGACGTCAAGCGGAATCTTCAGGGTGGTAGCGACGATGCCTGCTGGCGTCAGAGCGAGCCACTGCGTCAGGGAAATGTCTTCGACCCGATCGCTCTTATAAATCTCAATCCACACCAATTCCTCGGTGTCAGATGTGTTCTCAATATAATGACCTTTATTTTGATTAGCTCATGTAAGCAGGAACATCATGAGATTGGAACTTACCGCTATTATCAGGGAATACGCCGGTGTCTCCCGCCCTGAAATCAAATGTTCGAGCAGCAGAACTGCCAAGGAATACAGTCGCACGTCCCTGACCCTTGTGGAAGTAGAGCCATTCTTCCGCCTGTTAAAAACTCAGCAATCAGTCTACGGACGTAGGCAGCGATAGTTCTTGGAACTTACATTCGGGTGCCAGTGAAGTTCTCTAAGACCTTTTGGTTCGAGAGTGACTACAGTGGCTGCGATCGTTGTTGCGATGGGGAAAGTCTTTGAGTCAACAATGCGAAGCGTACCGCCTCCTCCCGGAACCTTCTCGAGGGGGTGATCCTTTGAAAAGTATGCGAAAGACGCATTCCCGGTGAGCTCTCCATTGCCACCCGTTACATTGTGGTGATCAACAGTACCGTTTGTGATATACGGGTTCGGGGATGGAACTGTGCCAAAGACGTCCTCGGAAAGACCAAAGTTCTTCGCTAGGATAGACTTAGGGGTATGGGTGATCCAATCGTCCACATTGAATGTGGTTCTAGATAAATTAGCCTGATATCGCCCGTTACTAGGTAGGCTAACAAGACCTATTACTTACCCAACAGCGTCGAAGTTGCCATCGTCAAATATGAGGAGAAACTCATTCTCATCATCAAGGCCCTGTACGGTATGCGCCACCCCCTTAGGGAAGTACCAAATGTCCCCTTCTTCAAGCGTCGCAACTTGGAACTGGCCATTCTGGTCAACGCCGGAAACCGAAATTGATCCCGCGTACACATATCCCCACTCAGCCTGGGGTTTTGCTATTAGCGACGGAATTGCATCTAGTACGTATTTCACATACCACTCGATGCCAATGCAGCTCTCGGATGGAGCCCTTGGTCAGGTGCTGCTGGGCACCCGAGATGTCCTTACTGGTGGGCAAATCTGTAACGACTTGTTCACGAACCCAACCCCCTTTCAGGATCCTCGTTTTGGAGTCCGAAAAACTCCACTTGACGTTAGGGACGACACCATTATCGGTGCTCTGTTGGCCCAGATTATCCGGATTCTGAAGGTCGAGAGCGTGATTGGTGCCGCCTATTCATGGTTAACACCCAGGCTTCAGACGAGGGCAAGTGGGAGGAAACTTACCTAGAATTGGAGCGCCTTTGCCATTGCCGTCAATTGGTTGGCCATCCTCAAAACCGCCTCCATTTTGACTCTCTAAGACAGCGCCACTAGCACCAGAGGCAGCGAGAAGCAAGGATGAGATCTGAAAAACTCGCATTCTGACAATCAGCCTATGGCATTAGGAATGAAAGTAATGGAGGACATGTTAAGTCTTGGGCGACGCTTCGCGGAATTATAATAAAGGTACTTATACACATTTTCCAGTCTGATCTATATCCCGTAGGATCCAGACTGCAATATCCAGGGCCTTGGTTACTCTCGCTACTTCTGCCTGGCCATGAGGACGGCCCATGCGAGCATCGCGAATACACCCCACATACAAACATCACAACGCCAAGCAGGGTCAACCCCGGACATGTTAATGAACTCGATGAGATCTCCGTGCGATGTTGCTAAATCCCATGTGCGGGGGCCTATAATCTGCCGCGATCCCCAAAACACCATCCATATTAAAATAACGTCATCGCTTGGCAAACACTCACAATGGGAAAATAAACCATGCGTAGTAGCTGCATACTTAGATGCGCCGTACTATTAGGACGCTATTATAGAAAGAATAAGACCTCGAACTATTTGCGATTATCACAATTATAATGTTTTTAGTGACCTCTTTCGCAATCGTAAAGCTTCGTTGCGGCATCCCGAAGAATCATTACGATAATCGTCAGGGGCAGGTTCAGCTGGATCCAAAGAACAAGACACGTGGGAGTGGAAATGTACCTAAGTTCTCCTGAGAATGACATCAACGACGTTGAAACAGAGTAGTCTTTGTCAGATCCTTAGTCGTCTGTGTGAATACTAAATAGGTACCTGGTAGCTTATTCAGAGCTTATAGCTAACCCTTAGATAAGTCCTATGCAGACGTAGTATCCCACGAAGAGCAAAGAGCAGTCGGTCTTGACGGCCGGGTTCCAGGCGTAGAAGTCGGCTAGCTTGATGGCGGCATCATCTGCGACTTTTTGACAACTCTCCCCGGCAGTAACTGAGAGGATTAAAGCGTTAGCAAAATTTTTCCAATAGTTCACCTTAACTTAGGTCTATATCGTATCTAGATAAAGATCTCCATATGTGAATGACTAACCTAAATGGAACTTCTTGCAGTTTGTTGCCATGCCTGTTTGTGTTGGCGTAGGCGTCGAAACGCCATTGCCAGTAGTCGATGATGTCGTGATTGTTGGCGAGGCCGTGGTTCCACCAATCACGTTAACGCAAACCTTCAGGAGACATGTTAATGAATGGTATCCTATGTGATGAAAGGAGTTGGTGGCTACTAACATAGTAGTCGACGAAGAGCAATGAACAATCGTTTTTGACAGCTGGGTTCCAGGTGTAGAAGTTATCCAAACTGATACCATGTGTGGACGCTATGTTCGCGCAGCTGTCGCCAGTGACAACTTTGTAAAAAGTGTTACAATTACTTACCATATCCGTCTGTGTGGGAGTTGGAGTTGAGATACCGTTCCCAGTAGTGGTGGAGGATGTCGTAATTGGGGTGGTGACGGTTGTTCCGCCGATGATTCCAGTACATACGTAGTAGTCCACGAAAAGTGAAGAACAATCTGTCTTTACAGCAGGGTTCCACGCATAGAATTCAACGACGCTAATGCCGGCAGCCTTTGAAATATCCGCGCAGGTATCGTTAGAAACGACTTTGTGGAAGTTGTTGCAATTTGTAGCCATTCCTAGCTGGTTGGGCGTTGGGGTAGTTATGCCATTACCCGTTGAAGTGGTAGTAGTAACGCTGCTCGTTGAGGAAGTGGTTGGTGGTGGCACACCATAATTCTCTTCCACACAGTACGAGTCACCGACTACTATATGACAGGTAGCTGCTGAAAGAGATGGATTCTATAGTCATATTGAAGTTAATGTCATATAATAACCTTCGCGATTACCCCTTTTTTGACCTGCTTGAGCATGAAGGATAAGGAAAGGCCTTAATCTGGCCAAACATACGTATGAATAGAGTTGATCTGGCGTAATAGTTCCATCTGAAGCCAGAGTGCTGCATGTATCTGAAGACACGGCAACTACCCAACGTGTGCAGTACTTGATGGTGTCGCTCGGCGCAGTCGTCGGAGGGTCAACAGTGTACCCAGATACCAACGGAACTATCGTCAGGGCGATGAAATAATACAAAGGGTGCATTTTGAAGGAATTATCTTAATTCAGTATTTCAGTCTCGATTAATCAGGAAGGTAGGCAAATAAAATGTATGTCCGTGATTTATATCAACCAGATGTATACTGCCCTACGTACACGGTGTTTCCTCTCAGAATATATATCACACAGACACTCAATGGTCGATCCTTCGTCATTAATAGGACTTAATCTCTTAACTTACCTCTATGAATGACAGTTAACCTATGGACTGTTACATTTACTGTTGGATCTTACCGTCAGAATCCCAATTCGCAGTTCTCATGTAAAGTGTAGTAGTCATATCGGTTCTACCATTTTAGATCAACGTTAGGTCACATCTTATACGGGAACTTCTCGTATCATCTATATGCGTCCTATACTTGTTTCATCTTGATCGTTGGCAGCATTCCGTCTTACATGGTGTACTAGGCGTAGTGATTAGTTGTTGGACAATGTCATACCCGTGCCTTACCCCTATAATCTGTAATAAGCCAACACGCCAACATTGTTACCAAGGAATGAATGATCATTCATTGATCCTACCATCTGAGCTTTTGGAGAAAGTAGATAACGTTTGGTTAGGTACCTATGTAGAAGGTTGATATTATGAGATAGGGGCTGAATATTGCATATAGTACCCTCAATTTTTTTATATGATGACTTCTAAAGAGGGCTTCATAATCCAACATTGCGGTGAGGAATCTTCGCGAAATTTTGCTCTGCATTCTTTTAAAAAGACTATACCGAAGTAATATTCTCCATATCATTGACAATGATACATTTCCGCGACACGATGCCGCTTAAGCTCATTGCAGCGACGGTACTGCTCTTCTTCACGACGAAATGCCAAGCACAGATTCAACTCCTTAACGTATCTGCAGCTGATAGGAATACCTCATCCACTTGTATCGACGTTCTCAACCAACAAGTGACCTGCGATAGAGCCCTCGTATCTGCTGCATTCGCGGTCCAAAGTGGTCCTGTATATGGCACTCCGTTGTTCTTGAATTCTTCACAGTTGACGGATCTGTGCACAACAACTTGTCAGTCGTCATTAAAAATTTGGGAAGGGAGGATTGCTGGTGCATGCGGTTCGACTCTATATAAGCAGCCTGATGGCGGTATGGCTATACTAGCAGCCATAGCTGAGAACTATGTGGAAATTTTTGACTCGATCTGCTTGAAGAACGCGTGAGTCCCATGTTTTAAGCATTTATGAGTCTAAAACAATAACTGATGAGAATAATCCACCCAGAGAAGGGGCATACTGCAACTCGGTGATAGGGAACATGCTAGAAATAAATCCAGTAAACCAGCAAATTAACGGATCTCAACAAACTAACGGAACTCCTGGCAAGTCATAGATATCCAAGCCTTTCCATATTATGCACTCAAATATTGACTGAAAATTAGTCTCAACAGCGTTCTGCGATGATTGCTACCTATCATTGATGTCTACCCAACTTGCCATGCCTATTGCATCTACTAGCATAATGGCGAGTGATTTCAAAATCTTCACATCTTCATGCAAGAAGACAGGATGGACACTTTCTCCTCCGCCAACAGCAACGAACTTCACAGTCAGGTATGTATTCAAGCCTCGTGTATAAATATCGAATCTTGTATTTCTGACTTATGAAAGGCCTTCCGCAACATCAACCACAGCTCCATCATGTATGGGCACAACGCATATCATCACGTCATCTGAAACCTGCGTCGGAATATCCATGAGTGAAGGCATCAGTACCGATGACCTGACATCGTACAATTCACTTTCATCGAAGTGTAATTACTTCCCGAAAGCGGGTACAAAATTATGCATACCGTCCTATCGCAAATGCAAACCGTACACGGTCCAAACTAACGATACTTGCTCTTCTCTGCAATCGAAGTTTGGTGTAAACTACGCTCAGTTGACATCGTGGAACCCGTCGCTTGGGCACAAGTGTTCTAACATAGCGAGCTATGTCGGTTACGTGATATGCTCGTCTAACCCAGGAGGCAATTGGGTCAATCCCAGCCCGACAAACGCATCAACGACGTCTCGACCCTCAGATCCACCTCTCTGGACTACGACTCTCCTTCCCATGAGCTCGTATCAAAACGCAACTTACGTCGCCTCAACGACTGGCGCTCCTTATGCCAATCTAACACGGCTGGACTGCAACACTTACGTCACAGCGCCTATACTTACGAACTACACGCTGAATGGGACGACTAGCTTCGCCTGTGCGGACGTTGTCAAGCAATACGGTGTGACTATGGACAACTTTCTCGCATGGAATCCGTCGCTGAACGGGTCAAACCCTTGCCGTATGGCTAATAATACTCAATACTGCGTGGCAACGTATGCGACCATTTCCCAAGGTATTGTTGGTGCATGCGTCCAAACGGACGCGGCCCCATCGGGCTACGACTGCAACGGGTTCATGGCGATCCATGGCCTTGACCAAGACCGGTTCTCACTTTGGAATCCTGGTGTAGGTGCGAATTGCGAAAAATTCAAGGTTGGGACATACTATTGCGTCGCCGTCGCACATTACAAGCAGCCAGGTATGTTTCTATACCACATCATAACCGTTGAAACTTGACTGGGGTTCTCTGATATTGATTTATACTCATAGGCATAACATCGAATTGCAATAAGTTTGCTTCTCCAAATAACACAAATTGTACGTAACACGTCCTTGACAATCATCTCACTGCGTCACGCTAACTGGATGAAAAGGGGCAAGTCTGCCATGTCAAGTAATCGAAACCCAATTTGGGTTAAGCCACGATCGTTTCGTCGCCTGGAACCCGGCTGTCAAAGATAACTGCACGGGACTGTATATGGGCTATGACTACTGTGTATCAATACCCAACTATCAGCCAACCTTTACTACTACCATGGCGATTGGCTCGGCATCCACCACCTCTCCATTAACGAACGGGACAACCTCAGTGACTAGCACTGAAAAGTCTTCAGGTACATCTACCACTACGAAATAAGGCAAATTCATGGGATAGGAGGTGATGTCGCGTGAGAAGATGTTCCTAATTAGAGTGGTTGGAGTTGACTTGAATAAAATCATGTTTAATTATATAGAAATATTCAATGGCATCGTATGGACCATATATCAGAAGCCGTAAAGTTTATATTGAAAAGATCCAGAAGAAGACAGTATCTTGTGAAAGCAAGCTATCATCGAGTACACCATCACGGGTTGCCTCCTGCGTCTTCTAAGGCGCCTCTTCCCAGCAAGAACTCTTTTGCCTCAGTATTCCCAATAAGTATAGCAGCTTGCAAGGCAGTCTTTGGATCCTGCCGTTCTCCATGTAACATCGTTGCGTAGTCCCATTCAGCTCTCTCTCTTGGATTAGTTGGAGGAGGTCTATTGAAAGGACCAGGCCCCTGGCGCACGTAATTTACATTCATGTGATGCTTGTCTAGCAACCACTTCAAATTCCCTATACCACCTTCAGGCCGTATCTCGATAGCCTGGATGAGCATGTCATTGGTCGGGGTAACGGAGTAAAGATCGAAGAAATATTCTGTAACTTCAGGCTCGCCGCTAGTGAGCGCCATCTGCGGGAAGACCTGCTTATTCATAGGGTTGGCGTGCATATCGTAGCCAGTTGCAACAATAGCTCTTAGTAGGGCAACACCATCTGGCCCGTTGGTGCTAATTCCTGCCCAAGTAACTAATTTATCCGATGGCGGTGCCCATCCTTTCACTACCAGAGCGGCCCACACACCAGCTGGTATGCTTTCTTTGTCAACGAGGGGCGAAATCCGCATCTTGAATACGCATGTTTCAGGTGGTGGTGGGGCCGTTGGCTCAAGATCAATAATATCTCGGGCGAGTGTATTGTTACCGCTCTCCAAAGAGGTAACCATAAGGGCTTGGCGGAAAAGGGGCGATGCCAAGACATTCTGACTGTCTAACATTCGGATGGACTCGATGGTCTGGGAAGCGACCGTGCATGCTACGAATAGAGGCACCAATCCTTCAGCTATAGCCAAAATTAGGGGAATGTGTTATAAGGACGTAGCATCGAGTGACTAAGATATGGCAACGAACCATCAAGTGATCCCGTCAAGCTGTCGGGCTCGCATAACTTAATCGCGGCAGCTACGGGTCCAAAGCCGTCCTGCCAGAACAGGGCGCCCAGCTGTTGGCGAGGATTTGCATCTTCTGGATGTTGGGCGCGAGCATTAGTAGGAGTAAAATGACTTAGACACCTTGAGAAGAAGTCATGGGTTGAAATGAGGTTTTTGGCCAGTTCCGAAACGGCGTGGTAGTAACATCCGGGTGTGATCCGACTCATCTCCGTAATGACGATTTCTCTAAAACTAGATAATTTCGGCCGATGATACCAGGGTACTGGGATTGGAGGAATATGATATATTTACTGGCCGACGGAAGGATGTGTGTGTGATTTAGCTGATTTTATACCTACCGAGATTCCAACAACAACAACTTAAATGTTAGGTCGTGTACCTGTCATCCGTGACATAGTGTAATTGTGCCTTGGCTCAGCCAGTAAGTAAGCCTAGGTAGTATTATAGGGTTCATCATATGCGGTTGGTAGGTTGAACAAGTGGTCTTCCAGGGGCTCTGTAAATACAGATCTGTACAGCCCCACTTAGATGAAGGCAACAACACATCACATGCTGCAGCAGTGCCTATAGATGTTTATAACCAACACGAAATATTATTGACACAACCTTGTATTCATGTACTATGACTAAATTTTAATGGATACAATATGAAATTCCATTGAAGTCTCGACCCTCCGTCTATTACTAAGCCATCTTCCACTGTCAGCAAGATAACCGAGTGAATGTCGTACAATTATACTCTCATCCAAACCAATCTTCACCCGGCTCTTCATACTCAACATTGTCGGTGCAAGTATCTCTTGCCTGAAGCATTGACTCGCTAACTTCCAAGAAATCGGGATCTCTAGGTGGCAACGGGTCGAGTGGCTTTTGTGTGGTCCAGTCCAAAACGTATTGAAGGTATGGGTTAGCCGCATCGATAGAGATGAGTTTTGTCGGAGCACCGCCTTTTCCAGCTGAGTATCTAGCTAACAACTGCGGATACTCTACATTCCCCCAGATAAACTTATATTTGTATAACTGCATAGGACGCATGGACATGACATCTGTTACAGTTTTGATGTCGGTTAGTTACTTCTATACTCGCTGAAGCCTGTCGAGTTACTCACATATTGTACCGCCACAATGACGTGCCATAGCCCTCGACATGTTCTCGAAGTAAGTAAATCTTGCGTCAGTTCCGTCGAGGAAATTGAGCCAACTTCCTTTCACATGGACTTCCCAATAGTTTCGCTTGCTAGGGATATCTCTGCCACCAGAGACATCGTTCTCACCGGAGTACATGTTCTATCACAAAAGGAATTAGAGGCTTGTTAACAGTCATATTTTTGTGTTATATTTGGATTGTTTATGATGCTACTTACCCAGATAGTCACTTTGTTATTGGAACAAGCCCACTTGGTCGCTATTAACGATAGACCGTGGTGTCTATCCTCGCCGCCGAGTGCCACGCGGTTGAAAAACTCGGCCCTGTCTGCTGTACTCAACGGATCTTTTCTTGGATCTGGCACTGATGTGTAAAACACACATCTGTCTTGGAGAAGAGAATCAGGCAAGAGAATCTGCTGCTCCAGATATTCCGTGGTTAAGTCTGCTAGAGTAACGGTTCTGCCTTGTGATGCTTCATAACATCCCAAGCAACTCGGCAATTTGAATATCGGATCATCTGGTGTGCTGCCGGGCGAGCGCTTAAAGATGTTGCCGTCGCGCGTGTTCATTTGAGATGGTATCGGGCGGATTCCCAATGCCGCTTGAAGTGCTGGGTCTGACCACGAGAAATTGGCTTGATAGCTGTCGTAAAACACATGGTCCTGAGGGATATAAGGCACGGGTGCAGCCTCTTCGGGTTTCGAATCGGTCTGTTTTTGACCGTGACTGGCCTGCCCTGTCACTTTGATGGACGGCGCTTTGTTGGGATGGAGGTTTTGTGGAACGGGGTGGGCATGTCTTCGTTTGACCACGGGAGGTGCAACATTTTTCCCAAGGCCGGAAAATGGTAGTAAAGTGAGAATGATCAATATCTCCAGAAGATTAAGCGCCATGTTGACATGAAGTGAATATTGCACATTCAAGAACATTAGAACAGCTAAAGACTAGAATTATCAACCTAATCTAATAGGTTGGAATTTTAACCACTACATATTCACCAGCGTCTGTCCGATATTGATTTTCCGATGAGCCCTCCGTATGGCATACTGTAAGCATGGCCCCCTAACGAATGTATGAAGGGGCACATGCTGAATCCTTTTCTTTTCTAAGATGGTTGGAAGAAATTAGTCAGATAATTTGGCTACCAACATCGAGTAAGCAGATCTGGCGATGCCGAGATTAAGACATGTATGAAGGTCCTGTGTTGGTATGTGGGCGTATATGCCCCTCCTCTATCTGATGTATCACTCCTTTCATTATGCATTACAAATTTAGCCTTTCTAAACCAACAGTAAGAAAACTGATTCGTGTGACTATGAAGGATCTAACCCCAGCATATTACAGGTGAGGAAGAGAAAAAACTGACCGTTGGTGAACTTCGAAGTCAAAGAAGGATGGACATATTGGCGTCAATACCCCCTTTTCCCAAGTGGCCTTGATATGTTAAGATATCTCTGCTATTCACCTTTACTATCTGAAGAAATCTTCACCAAGCACTAGTTGTATTGAATCTTCAAGATGGCTTCCACGAAGAAGTATCGGCGCCTCATAGTTGCTGTCAGTTTTATCGCTCTTTTCACTCTAGTTACATCTCAACATCGGGATACGCCTACAATCTGGAATTCGAGTCTAAGCAATACCACGCCGGTGGAATTCTCGCTATTCCGGAGACTAGATCCAGGGAGATGTGATGCTAATACGCCGTGTGCGGGAGGTGAATGTTGTGATGGACAGTCGTGAGTTCCACCAATTATACTCAGATCACACGAGTGATTCTTCATTTACTAACCAAGGGAATATCTGATAGCGGCTATGTATGGATTACCTGTCTTTCTCGCCTAGCACTCTTCAGTTTGGAAGAACTTACCATGAGACAAGTCACCGAGGTAAAGAAAAGGCTAACTGATGTCCTTAGTGTGGCTTAGATGCAGAGCATTGTGATCCAAAAGTGTGCACCTCGAATTGCGGAGCTAAGGCAGAATGTGGTGCCTGGGGCAAAACTGCAGGGCAGGAATGCCCCCTTAAGGTCTGCTGCGGTAAATCCGGGTACTGCGGCACGACGGAAGTAAGAGAGCGAATATGCCAGTTTTTTGTTATTGTTAACTCACTATGATACTAGGACTTTTGTGATACATCGAAAGGCTGCCAGAGCAATTGCCCACAACCTCCCAGCACGGGACTGAATACAGGAAATGTCACAAATATTGTGATTGGGTAAGTTGAAATCAACAATCACGACATGGGTCTCAAATTCGTTTGGATAGGTACTTTGGTAGCTAATTTTTACGTAGTTATTACGAATCATGGGCTCCCTTTGAACGAGGAGCATGTAAGTTGATACCATCTCATGAGTTGTATATTTGGTATTAGAGTCATTGACAAGCTTTATATGAGCTAGGTCCCAAACGTCCGCCTTCTTGGATCAAAACAGATTCTATTACTCATTTATATGTGGCGTTTGCCTATATACGGCCATCGACATATGATATCGTCCCCATGGATGGGACTGATGACGACATTTTTGAACAAATTATGGCCTTGAAGGAGAATGCACCGGGACTGAAGATCTTCCTTTCCCTGGGCGGCTGGACTTTTTCAGATAACGGAACGTGAGTTATCACGCGGCCCCTATTCCTCCAATATGTTACACAAGCTAGTTTCATCCGTCTCCTAACCTATATATAGGGATACACAACCCGTGTGGGGAGATATAGCCTCTACTTCAGCGAATCGACAGAAGTTCATCATGAACCTGGTCAACTTTATGAGTATGTCTCATTCGCCGAATAATTCCAGATTCGTTCGATGATTATGCGAAGGACCATACTAATTAAGAACTAATACAATAGCTCAGTTCGGATTCGATGGTGTTGACCTTGATTGGGAATACCCTGGAGCCCCGGATCGGGGGTAAGTTATCAAGGCAAATTCTGTTCACTTCGTTAAGTATATATAACTAAGGCTGCGTCATTTAGTGGACAGGATAGAGACACTGCTAATTATGTATCCCTGCTTCAAGATATTAGAACATGGTGGACTGCGCAAAGTAACGGTGTAAGCGAACTTCCCGTTATGCTCCGAAATCTTCTTATAGCGCTTATTCTAACCTTGGGCGGGAATTTATCCTGTATTATAGTGGGGTCTCTCCTTCACTGCGCCAACGTCATATTGGTATCTACGCTGGTTCGATATTGAGAATATGGTCAAAAGTGCGGATTGGGTTAATCTCATGACTTACGACCTACACGGAAGTTGGGACTCTCCCGAGGACCAGATTGGCTCGTATGTATATTCACATACGAACCTCACTGAGATCGAAGAAGCATTGAACTTGCTATGGCGTAATAGCGTTCCAGCAAACAAAGTCAACCTGGGCCTGGGGTTCTACGGGCGTTCTTACACTCTCAAAGATCCGACGTGTACGCTCCCAGGCTGCCCCTTCACAAGTGGCGGTTTAGCTGGCGCCTGTACAGGGCAATCTGGAATTCTTTCATACGATGAGATAACCCAAACGGCGAGCACGTACAACATCAATCCTGTAGAGGATGATAAAGCCGCATCCATGTATTTTGCCTTCGGAAAGGATCAGTGGGTCTCCTACGATAGCGTGAAAACAATCAAGGAGAAGGTCGACTACGCTAATAAGAAGGGTTTACTTGGACTATTCATCTGGGCATTGGACCTTGATAACGACAATTATGATGCTCTGGCAGCCGTCTTAGACAGCCGGGGCGGCCTCGGGACTTTCAGCGCCCAGAACGGTGTTGGGCCTTCTTCTTCAACCGACTGGCAGCCCATGGACGGTGCGTGTCATCTCAGCGAATGTGGCGGAAATTCTGCTTGCACGGGAGATTACATCAGCGTAGGCCCTCAACTCAGATGTGACAACGAGAACGAACATCGATGGGTATGCTGTCCGCGGAGTAACGCCCCAGACGCGAACACCTGCGAATGGAAGGCCTCTTTCCAATCTTGGGAAGGTGTCACATCGGCACCTTGTGTGGACAGCTGCGAGAGCGACGAGGTGCTGATTGCCCAAAGCCAATGGTACATCGAGGAGAATCAGGGCGACAGGAAATGTTCTAGTGGGACTGCGCAGTATTGTTGCAAAACCAACGAGAACGCGAACCAGGCCTGCGGTAGGATTGCTGGATTTTGTGTTGGTAATGGCGACCCAAACAATTTCCCCAAGATAGATCCGAACGCAGACCCATGCGAAAGGTTTGGTCGCAAGTATGTAACCTTCTCGCAAGACACCTGCAATCCTGGCTATTGGCGGCTTTGGTGCTGTGACAAGGAGTACGATTCATCCCAGTGCAAATGGCAAGGTCCACAATCCGACAATGATGCCTCCACGCAGTGCGAGAATGCCAAGAATTGCCCCAATATGATCAATATAGGCGTTTCGGAGAAGGGAGGAGGGACTGACTGCATACACACGTACGATACACCGGGGGGAGTCAAATGGCCCGCCGTCGATACCCCTTTTCCTGTACTTGGAACCGGTCAAAAGTCATATCAACGTGCCTTATGCTGCCCGGCTGGAGATCAAGTTATTTATAAGAAACAGGCACCAGTGCCCCTATCCTGGCTTTTTGTTGATACTGTGAGTAATCATTTACGCTCTTCCAAAATCACCCCCTTACACTAGCAAGGTCTCGAAGAGATGAATACTAAACACGTGGCTAGGTGCCTGATTCCGATACGCAAGATTTCGTACTTGACGTTGAGTCAGACGTGAATGCGGATCAGGATCCAAATGAGAACGGATTCGGTTGGGTTATAATGACGGGTCCTCAAAAGGACTTGACGTCGCTAGATAAGCGTGACGGCTCCCACTGGGAGTTGTACGATTGTCCTGACCGTTCCTCTATAACGGAGGACTCTAGAACTACCGTTCGGGCCGTCTGTACTGACGACTCCGATGACAGCAATTGCCATACCTTATTTTTAGGGGGTGTATCCGAAACAGTTGTCGAGATGCCGCATCACTGTGGTATCGGCCGCTATGCGATGGCCGTCAGCATGGAACCAGCAGCCGACCAAAAGCTGTCTAGTAACCTTATTAGACGCCTTGTCAAGCGTGGAAGCAACCTCAAAAGTCCACCGACGATATACGAATTCACTTTTGATTACAATTTCTCAGTCCTTCACGGGCGAGATAGCTCAGACGTTCAGATACGCATTGATTACTCAGAAGATCCGGGGTACTGGAAAGCGTTCGTGGATAACGCACCAGGTAACAACCCCTTGAAAGCAAAACATAAGCGTGATATCGATTTGGAAGTTAAACGTAAGCATGGTGGCTCGTGGAAGCGATATGTCGACCACACATATCGAAAGGACAAGAGAGAAACACCCCACCACCTCTTGCCCGAATTCCAGAGAAGGTGGACGGATGTGAACGATGATGACTGGAGTAAGTTTATGGCGGACTTGAACGAGCAGAAATTTGACCAGGAGGTTCCTCTCGGAACTCATCACATCACTAATCAAGTCCCGTTCTACTTATTCAACGAGAACCTACAATGCACACTCCTCGGCCTTCCATATACCGCGTATTTCACCGTTTGGGCAGACCTTCACGTTGATATCCAGACCTCGGCTCAACTAACACTCATTGTAAGTTTGAATGATGGGCATCCTCATCGACCTTGAAATCAAACTAACCCATTATCTTTTCTTAGGGCCGCTTGAATGACCTCAGTTCCTGGAAACAGTCCCACGTACTTGTACGGAATAAAGGATCTATACAGACCGGCCTCCACATGGAGGCTCAGGGCCAGATGCGATTTTCTACTGGGAGAGTTGAGCTGTTCGGGTTGCCGAACTTCGCGGGAAATTTCCAAGTGCCCGGTCTCGTAACCATTGGGCCTAATTTTAGGATCACAGGTGTAAGTTTTGAGGTCCCTTCTTCGCTACCTATAGTTCTAAGAAACATTGACAATCCTTATAGGAACTCACTGGAACCTTCACCGTACATACGTAAGCATTCCTTCTTTCTAGGTCTCCTATTCCTTCAGTATAATTCTTGATAACTAATTCATCTTGCTTATTAACAGCGAAGCACACTACAATCTAGAATTATCGCAATGGGATTATACACAGCGATATCCTAATCCTAACAACGATGTTGTGTCAGGCTTAACTTCAACGTCAAAGCTTGGAGATACGCAAACTGCCCAGGTTGAAAATGGCACAAAGGGGTTTAGCGCGGATATCGGAGTCGAAGGTGACTTGACATTGAGGATGTAAGTGATTGAGCTCGACGTCAATTCCGATTCCTTTAAAATAGGTACAAATTGGTCGACATACGTATGACTAACGAACATGTAGTACTCCGCTTGTTGATTTTGGAATCCGGTGGGATCCTAAGTATAAGATCCAAGACACGGCTATTTCACTCCAACTTGCAACGTAAGCCATATGAATGCATCCCCTTCCGTTAATTTATGCTTACTGACTTTGGTGATAATAGATACGCTACGCTCTACGGCAGTGCAGGCATTGGCACAAGCAACCCCCAGGGCTCTGTATGTTATGGCGCAGTTTGCGGTGCCGATCTCTTCGCTCAACTTGAAGGGCCGTACGTTAAACAATTTTCTCTCTGATCGAACTTGTTCGTATCTTGGGGTACTTAGCTAACTTTCTTCGGATACAGAACCATTTTCGGTGTCGACCCCAACCGCCGGTGGTCCTTTTATAAGCATGATGTAGGTTTATTCTCTCTGCTTCTTTTCCACTACTAAATGCTAATCAGTCATAAAACAGTTTAATATAATTGACGAAACGTGTCAACCGTTGACGAATTTCTTGCCAGACAGCCCTAAGAGTGATTCGTAAGTAGAAATCTGGGGGGTGATATCACGTCCTGGTAGAAGACGAACGTAATACTAAACAACAACAATAACAACAACAAGAATAAGTAATCGCAACAACAAATCTTTACAAGGCAAAATAAGTTGTCTTTCTTTTATTATTTTAATATTAAAAAACTTTGTTTTATCCCTTTTAACTAATTATTTATTTTTTTTTTTTTATTATAATTAATAAATCTTTCCTTCCTTAAAATAAGGAAGGAAAGTTTTATAACATGCCCCTTCCGAAAAATGCCGGTTTTTAACGGCTTAAATTAATATTAATTTACTATACATTAACCTAAATACTTTTTCCTATATTTTATTTATAATTTAATTTATATTATTATTTTATAATTAATATATAAATTATATACGGCATTATTTAATTATAATATTATTTATATATTATTTAAAATTAAATAAATTATTATATTAAATATATTATTTATAAAATTATATATTAATATATTAATTATATTATTTATAATAATATTTATAATTAAATATATTACATTATATACGGTAATATTTAAATTAATTATATTATTTATAAAAATATAAATTATTATTTTAATTAAAGTTATAGTTTTACGTGTTATAACGCCGAAAATTAAAATCCTTTTTTATATTATTTTTTATTTTAATAAAGCTACGATATTACACGTTATATTATTAAGAATTAAAATTTTTTTTTACGTTATTTTTTATTTTATTTTATTATTTATAATTTCTTTTTTTATTATTTTATAAATATATTAAAATAATTATTTTAAAATTTTTATTATTAAGTATTTTCTTATTTTTCTTTATCTTTTTTAAATATAATTTTATTTTTTTTTTTTTAAGGGTTATAAAAAAATAATAAACTTAAACTATAATTTATCCATATATACTCGTAAATAATAACGTTCGGTTAATTTAATATTGTTTTTACGTTTTATAAAAATATTTTTATAATTAATATAAAAGGTTTATTAAAAGTTAATTTCTATCTTTTAAAATAAAAAATTTTATATAATCGTAAAACCATATTTTAACGATTAAACAAAGCTATATACGCAAAATACTTTAAGATTTATAATATAAAAAAATACTTAAAAACGTAATCTACTACTTTTTTATATATAAATTTTAATAAGCCTTTTATTAATTTTAAATAAAATAATAAACGTGTTTAATTAAATAATATTAAAAACATTAATAAATTACTTTAACGTATTAAATATACCATTTTATTTAATATAAAAACAACGGAATCATGGAAATAATTATTTTATAAATCATCTACGTAAAAAATTATAAAGGTTAAATAAAAAATATATTTATTATATAAAAATAAAAGTTTAAATTTTTTATTAAATAAAAAAAAAATTTATAAAATTATAAAAAATTACTTTTTAAAATAAAAAAAATGTATAAATTTAATGGTAAATAATAATTAATATATAAAAATAAATTATTAAATTAAAAAAAAGTTATAAAAGTAAAGAAAAAAAAATATTTATAAAAAAAATTATAATTTTTATAAATATTTAAAATTAAATTATCTTTATAAATAATTTTTTTTTTTATTAATATATGTTTTAATGTTATTATAATTACATTTTAAGGTTATAATTTTTATTAAAAAAAAATTAATTAATTATAATAAAAATTTCCCGTTTTTAAAAAAAATAATAAAAGTTATTATAATTTTAATTTAATTTAATTTATAATTTTTTCTTTATTTTCGTTTATATTTTTATTAAATTTTACAAGTAATTTAAAAATATTTTAATGAAATAACTCTTTATTTTTTTAAATTAATTTATTATAAATTATTTATTTAATTAAATATTATTTTTATTTATCCTTTATTTATTTTTAAAAAATTTATTCCATAATATAAATATTTTTATTATTAATTTTTAAGAATTTAAATGTTAGTTATAATTAATTATATAAGTCCCGTTTTATTATTTTTAAATATTATAATAATATAATTAAATGTTATTTTAATTATTTAAGTAATTTTAATTTATATTTATAAGGTAATATCTTTTTTTTAATTTTAAAAAGCTTAATTTTTTTAAATAATAATTTTATTTAATTATTTAAATAATATTTTTATTATTTTAATTTAATTAATTTTATATATATATATGTTTTTAAGTTTTTAAAAGGTAAATATTATTTGTTATACTATACCTTTATTTTAATTTCCGCGAATTTAATAACGTTAAAAACATTTTATTAATATATTGTTTTAACGGATATGAAATCCGTCGTATCTTTTTAAAAAGTTAGGAAATATTTAAATTTAATGCCGTAAAAAGTTTAAAATGAAATTTATTTCGTATTTTTATAAACTAATATATTTATAACCATTATTATATATAATAAAAAATTTAATTAATTATTTTAATTTTATTTATTTCCGAAATAAATATATAATTTTATTTCGATAATTTTTATTATCGATTTAATTTATTTATTAACTTAAAAATAATATATTAATATTATTTTTATATTTATTTTCGTTGTTTTATATAACACGCTTTATACCGTAAATAGAAATTTAAAGTTCATATCGTTAATTAATACGTTTAATAATAATTAATTTAAATAAATATATTTAAAAATTACATCCGCTTATTTTTTTATTATCCATGTCGTTTTCCCACACAAGGTTTTCTTAAACTTTATTAATTTTTTAATTAAAATTAATATTATATTAAAACTTTCTTTTAATATTAATAAGCTTATTATAAAATTTAAATAAAACACCTTTAATAATGTTTCGAATAATAAAATTAATAATAAATTATTTTTTAATTTATCGTTATTTATTTTAATTCCTTAATATAATAAATAAAATTTAATATATGTTTCCATTATTTTTTTTAATATTAACATAAAAATTAAATTTCTTAAAAAAATATATATTTTATTTATTTTAACATATATTTTATTATCGTAAATTATTTTAAAAAATTATTAATATACTACATACGAAATATAAATTTGTTTTTAATCATTATCCATAAAATATAATAATTTTATCTTTTTATTCAAAATAAAATTATATAATTAATTTCATTTCTTATCGTTTAAAACTTAATCCTTTAATTTAATATAAATTATTTAAAACGTTTTATTATTTTTTAAAGCTACGGTTATTATTTAAATTAAATCGTTTAATATTTATAATTTTATAATAATAATTTTTTTAAATTTTTATAAAACCATTTTTACATCCGGGTATAACATTATAATATCCTTTTATATTTTCTTTTCCACTTTTTTCGTTATATTAATATTTTATTATCCTATCCTAATTTCCGTTATTATTTTAATTAATTTAAACGCCTTGGACCGTATTTTCATTAAAAAAATACAAGTGATTATTATATTCAAGGTATTTTAAATAATTATTAAATTTAAATACATATAAAATAATGCGTTTACGTTAATATAATGGCGTTTTAATTTATAAATGAATTTAATTTAATTTTTATATTAATTAAAAAAAAAACGCCACGCTATAAATTATTTTTATTTTTATAAAATGCCGCTTTTTTTAAAAACATTTTTTATTATTATATAATCCGTTATTATATATATTTTATTATAATTTAAAATATATAATAAAGTTTAAAATGTTTATATTAAATATTTTATTTTTAATTTTATTAATTAATAATTTTTTTTATATTTTAATAAACTTTTCGAGAAAAAAATAATAAACTTATACTTTTCTTTTTATATTTAATATAATTTTATTTTATACCCTTTTATATTACTATTTATATATAATATAAACGGCTTTTTATAATTAAAAAAAATTAATTTAATTACTTTATAAAACTTATTTTTTAATTTTATTTATACCTTTTATACATTTTTCCAAATCTTTTATTACCGTATAACTTCTTTATTATACTCCGTAATTTAATCTTTTATTATTAAAACATTAAGTTTTATTAATAAAAGTAATAATTTAATTTTCTTAATATAATTAAAGCGTTATAAATTCTTTAATAACCTATTTTTATAACTTAAAACTTTTAATTTAAATAAAAGTTCTATTATTATAAAATATTTTATAATAAAATTTTAATAATATTTTATTAACCTTAAATTATATTTAAAATCTTTTAATATAATTAATTTTAATTTATAAATGGCTTTTATTTTTTCTTTTATTATAAATAAACTAAATTAAAATACCTAATGATTTAATATCTTTAATCTTAATTATATAAAATGGTATTTTCTTAATAATATTAAGATTTTTAATTTTTTTAAAATTATTAATATTAAGTTTAAATGTTTTATATATTTTTTAATAAATCGGTTAAAAATAATAATATTATTAATATAAATAAACATAAATTACCATAAATATTACCTTAAAAATTTTTTTATTTAATATTAAAAAAAGCCGGATAAAATTATTAAACTTATTATACTTATTATTAACTACTCGTAACCTTTATATAATATAACGAACGTTATTTTTTATTTATTATTTTATTTTATATTTTATTAAAAAAAACCTTTTATTACGTTTATTATTATAAAAATAATATAATTATATATTAAATTTAAAATATTATTTTACTTTAATAAAAAATAAACATTAAAAATTAATTTTATATTAACTTATCGTAAATTAATAACAACTTTTAATTTTTTATTTTTTTAAATAATAAAAATTAAATTAAATATTAAAAAACTAATTATTAATAATATATTTTTTATTATTTTCATTTCTTTTAATAAATTTAAAATATTATTTATTATTATTTTATCCCTTCGGGACATATAATATAACTTTTACTTAAGGTTTATTAAGTTAATTTTTTCCCGGAAAAATATTAATATTTTAATATTATTATTAAATTTCTTAAGTTTTAAACGGAAAAAGTACATATATTTAATAATAACGCTTTTAATCCTTTTATATATTAATTTATTTTAGTTTTCTAAAATATTTATATC